CAATCCTTCAACTGCTTGGTTCAGCTGCAATCGTCCAAGTTTTCAGCAAGAAATTCCTGTTTGCTGAGGTGCTGATGATGTTCCATTATAACTCTCGATCTCGAGATGCTAAAATATTCTTCCCATTTTTTTTCATTATTGAGACACGACAATTGATTTGTAACACACAAAGTCCGTTTTCATGAACATGCATTTCAACTTCTCCTCCCAATTTCAGGATAGAAAGCAAACGCTTCAACAAGTTGACGAGTTCTTGAACACCAAGATCGCTCCCAAGGAGCTTGTAGACGAGATTAAGGTGTTTGTTGATAATTCTACATTATTTATCATGCTGTAACAAAATATGATTGTTTATTGATAGTTGAACTTGCCAACTGGGGGTAATTCAGCAAATAGGGAAAGCACTTTTGCCAACACCAGTGATTGCTAGCAAGGCTCTACCTTCACCTGCAGAGGCGAAAACTGCAAGACCAGAAGAAGAAGAGGAAGTGACATCGGTGTCATCACCACATCCAACTCCATTGCAGCTCAATTCAGTTGTTAAACCAGAAGCACCACATTCTACCCCAAAACCCCTCTCTCCTTACCCAAACGTACGTAACTCAATTCCTTTTCATGCATGATAATATATTCATTTGCTCGACCCTAACATTAATTTCTTAAACTGTGAGGAACCAACTCAACCAAAAACTCAAACTTGTACTAAAAAATGTTTTTATGCTCTACCATCAATCTATAACTCATGAAATTAAATTTTTGTGTGCAGTACCCGGATTATAAGCCTCCATCCTCACCAATGCCTTCACAGCCATAGATCAACAATCAGTGGTTGCAGCAGAGAACGGTAGAGCTAGCTTGATGTTCCATGAAGCTAAGTATCAATCAAAGCTAAAGCTATATATAACTACCTGTGTTGCTTTCTGTTAGACAGAGAGTTATTGAGTTTCAGCCCATCGCCATATATGGAAGGGGCAGTAAAAGGAAAGATCATTCAAATCCCACCTAGCTGCTTGGTACTAGATTTCATTATGCCTCTGCTGGGATGCCATCATCATCATCATCATCATCATGTACATGGGGATTAATTAATGTGGTAACATCAAATAATAAGTACTATATATTGTGATGATCAGCCAGTGAACCATGCACCAACTCACATCTGCAGACATGACCAGGATGTCATGCATGTGTGCTATCATTTCTGTTTCTCAAATAAATTTTTGGAATTCAATTTAAATATTTTCAAAATGGCTTTCATAATTATTACTCCCTATTCAATTATATATTAGATTTAAAAAGGTACTATAAATTAAAAGAAATAGTTTTTTTAAAATGCTCCCTCTGCATATTGTTGGATAATAACATTCTCTGGCAACACCCTAAATTGTGACAATATATAGGCCAATAATAGTCATTAGCTTTGTTAGACTGTAAGTGATAACTATATATACATATAACAACAATAGTCTAGTTGAATTTCACAAGTGTAAGGTTTGGGGAGGGTTTGTGTACGTGGACCTTGCCCCTACTCAAAAGTAAGAAGACTATTTCCAATAGACTCTCTGCTCAGTCAGCAAAAATAATACTCTGCAAAATATAATACAAGCAATAGTAATAAAAAGTCTCATGCGATACATAGTACAATAGAGAAAACACGGATAAAGTTCAAGGTACACAAAGGCAAAGAATAAACTAAAGCTAATGAAGAAATAATAGTGCAAACTGAGAGTGGCAAGCATATAAGGCATACAAAACACACAATAAGTCTAGAAAACTACCACCTAGCCCATACCTACCCAACTACTCTAATTCTAACTCTCCAAACGCTCTTATCTAAGGTCATATTTTCTACAAGAGCAAGAAGTCATAAGTCCTGTCAATTGACCCCATTTTAATTTTTCCTAGCTAGGTCTACCCCTTCCATGTACTCCCACCCACCAACGTAAGTGTCTCGCATCTTTGCACAGCATCCTACCGCCTCACATGCTTAAACCACAATAACCTAACTTCCTGCAGCTTATATTCCACAAGTGCCATGTCGACTCATATCCAACCTCGTCTGTCCACACATCAATTGTAACATTTGCATCTCCGCTCAATGAACAAGGGTTTTCTTAACTATATAACACTCATCACCATACAACATAGCTACTGGTCTGACTATGGACTCGTATAACTTACCTTTCGTCCTAGCCAAAATTCTTGTTATCGCATAGAACTCCTAAAGCCAACCTCGACTTATGCCAAGTTGTTCTAATAACAAAATAAACAATAGTCTTGTCTAACTCCCATCCCTAGTTCTTTCTTCCAACTACTGAAAATACATTCAATGTATTCTGTCTTGGTCCTAATTAGTCTGAATATTTTGGATTCCAGGAAAGACGATAACTATCCAACTTTTTGTTTAATCTCTCCCAGGTACTATTGATCACAGGTCCAACGCAAATTTAGCAAGATATATACACATATTCTTCTTCTCCTTTTCATTTTGAATTCCTTTTATGTTCATGGAGTTCAAAGACATTTAAATCATGTTCACTAATAAAAAATAAATTTAAATATAAAACAGACTAAATCAGATCAGAATCTATTATAATTATATCAGAACCATTTAAATCACAGGAATAAAATATTACCCTAGCATTGGGTGCTCTCTACCGGCCGCGTGAGGCCATTTTTTGTTGTGAAATTTCGCGTTGAATTGACGTGACTACACAAGTGGCGAAGACAAAAAAGCTTCACAAATTGTCCTGTTTGGAATTTTAGGACGTCTTGATAAACGGAAATTAATGATTTTCGAATGATCATCGGAAGTAAGATAACCTTTTAATCCATGGATAACTTTTTGAGCAATTAGAATTAAAAGCTGCAATCCAGTATTAGAACTTAACCTTCTCAACTTATTCTTACTCTCCCCGTTCCTGAAAACTTTTCTTCTTTCTTTTTTCACTTGTTCTAATTAAAAAATATTTTTTTTACTTCTATTAAAAAAATCACTTTTACCCTTTACTATTTTATACCATATTTATCACATCATACTTTTTTACTACTCACTCCGTTCCTGAAAACCATTCCTATTTTGACTTTAGACCAAAATAAGGAAAATGTAATTTTGGTTGACTTTCCAATTTTGCCCCTGATGTGATGTGTAAAAAGTAAAATGTGATGGTTTGGTTATTAGTGAAAAAATATGATTTGCTAGGTATGGTATGAAATAGTAAGGCTAAAAGTGGTTTTTAATAGAAAGTGAAAGTGTTTTAGGGAATTGAAAAAAATGAAAAAGGAAGGATTTTATGGAACGGAAGGAGTAATAATGTACCTATCAAATCTTACTTTTACCCATTACATCAAAAGAGTTTTTTTGGAAATTCAATAATAAAATATAATACACTTTCCTATCTCTTAAAAATAAATAACTCTCATGTTTTTAAGATCGGAGGGAGTATTAGTTACCGAGTATTATACTCCATAAAAAATTTTAAAGATAAAAAAAATGCGGCTAAAAATGTACTCCGTATAATTTTAATAATATTTTTTAATTTAACTCTTACTTTATTTTTTTAGGGAGGACTCTTACTTTATAATCAAGTAGCTTAGGATATGTTGATATGATGTCTATGGTAGATTAGTCATAATTAAAAAATGATATCAATATTATCTATGTTTAGCGTACATTTTTCGTCTTAAATTTTTTTTATGAGACGTAAGAAGTATTTTTATTAGAACTCAATCGCACTATAAAATTTTCTTGCCTGTATATGTATGCAACACTATACTATATAGTGTCAAAGAAGTGTAGGAATATATGTACGTTTAATTTGTGCCCCATGCCAGCCCCTACTAGAATTTTCCCATGCTTGTATAGATTAAAATAAATCACTAAATGAATAAATAAATAAATAAATAAATAAAAAGCATAAATGGCATATATGCAACTACAAGTCAAAGTAAATGAAGGGGTGGTGGTGGATCGGAGGTTCGGGTTGGTATTATATAAGATTAGGAGAGATGAGTATATAGGACCAGCCGTTCCCTTTGGCTAAATGTTAAACATTTAGTACTCCATATTGAATTGCCACATCACATCCCATCTATATGGACCTCATGACTGTACATGCATAAATATTGAACTATAAAATTTGGTCAGAAATTATAATAAAAATATATGTAGTTATAATATAAATTGAATATAATTAATTTATTGTAAGATGTAGTTTTGATAGGTCAATTGTCTATAATAATTATTATAGATCGGAGTATTTAATAAAATCATTATACATAGTACACATATACATACTCTCTTGATCTCTGAAAAGCTTTCTCCTTTAATTTCTTTTTAGATCCATCGGATCTAAAAATATTTTTGAAAATTCAATACCAAAATATACTTCCTTTAATGCCCTTAAAAATTAAAACCTCCTGTGTTTTTCAGCCACTATCACCTATTGTTTTGTATTGGGCATATCATTTGGTGTAGTTTTTCTAATTTTTTTTTTGATAATTCCCTATTGTCTTTTGTTTACATCAAACATCATAAAATATTATATATAGACTTAAAAAAATTCAGTGTGGGGGGGACGGAATGTATATAGTATGGACAGTATGTAGTGCCCGGCCACTTTTGCGCACGCCCGATCATCAGTTAGTTAGTTATCAATGAAGACAAAATTTAAAGCAACATTTTAATTATATGTATTATGCATGCATCCACTGTTGGGATGAGTGTGTCTGATCTGTATGTATGTATTGTCTCTCTCTAGCTGCATGCATGTGACCTTAAAACAATGATATAATTAAGCTATATATGTAGCTAACCTTAACTAACTGGTCTTCTTCCCCCACGCCCACGCCTATATATATATATATATGTGTGTGTGTATGTATGTTTAACCAACCAACATTTTATTCTCTCCTCGGATCAATTATTATTATTATTATTATTATAATAAACTTATTGGCCAAGTGAATATTTAAACAATAATTCATAATTATTTGTGGACGTCGGATCGTCCTCCCAATTAACTTAAGATGTACAAGCAGCCGCAACACCAACAAAAGAGAAAAGCAAAGAAGAAGATGACGAGCAGCAGCAGCCAGAGCAGTGTGCAGATGAGCAGCAGCAGCAGCCACAACAACAATAATAATAATGAAGCCGGTGAGTTATATTACTAGTCTCTGCCACACACTCTATATTTTTTGGAGCAATGCTAGGTTCACAAATAAAATGCTCACAAATTTTACAAACTTACTACCTATAGTTTATATTCTCATTTTAAAATTATTTTAGACTATTTAATTTCTTTATTGAAGTTCACAATTAGTAAGTTTGTGAACGTTGTGTTTGTGAACTTCAAGTCAATTATATCATATATTTTGATCACTAATTAATAAATAAATGTTTTAGTATTATTAGATACGAGTATATATAAAGATGAACTCATTAGAACAGAGGGAGTATAATATTTCAAAACTATGCATCGAAATGAATCTATTGATATTGAACTTATTTCACAATTCAATACGGAGTATATATTGTTAATTACAGCTAGTGCATATTTTGGTTAATAATTGAACAATTGACGTGGGATATATATATAAAAATGAAATGTTGAGGTAGAGGTGAGCAGCATGGCGTGGGAGTTGATAAAGATGAGCCCGCAGGAGGAAGACCTTATTCATAGAATGCACCATATTGTCGGCGACAGGTCCTTTTTTTTTCCTTTTTATTCTTTCGTACCCATGCATGAAATACTTATTGTTATATACTCCGTATTGGTTATTATATAGATATATAAAAATAATAATAATAACAACATATTTATTATATATTCCCGTATAAATATATACTAATATTTGAATATACTACCTCCGTCCTAGAGTATTTGTCCACTTTCATTTTTACACACCATCTAATACACTTTTTTAATCCATTTTATCTTGTAATTTGTATATTAAAAAATTATAGAAATTATATATTAATAATCTACTATATGTTAAGACAAATCAAACAAGATCGACTATATTTAGGCATACACATTGAGAGAATTTGATGAGTCAAAGTGCTTAGATGAACAGTTTCAAAAGTCAAAAGTGGACGAATACTCCGGGACGGAGGGAGTATAACATTATAATAATTGGATATATGTATGCATGTGTATAGGTGGGGATTGATAGCGGGGAGGATACCAGGAAGAACAGCAGAAGAAATCGAGAGGTTTTGGATCATGAAGCACAGTCATCATCATGTCTTTGCTCATTACACAAGACGTAGTACTACTACCGCTACTTCCATATATTATCCATCACATTAATTAATACTTCCTCCGTTCCAAAAAGATTTACACATTTCAAAAAAATTGTGTTTCATAATCTCCTACCCATTTCTATTAAAAGACCACTTTTACCCCTTACTTTTTCAAACCGTACCTATCACATCATACCTTTTTCTTAATAGTCTACATATCACATCCTACTTTTACGCATCACATCAAGAGTATTTTTGGAAAATCAACACAGAATTATCCCTCCATTAATTTTAACTTTAGTCAAAACGTGTAAATCTTTTTGGGACGAAGGTAGTATATAACTATATATTATTGTGATGTGTTATATATTAATGTGATGATATCATCATTAATGAAGGATGTTATATATATTACATCCTCCGTATATTATTATTATTATTATTATTATTATTATTATTATTATTATAATTATAATTATTATTATTATTACTATTATTATTTTTATTATTATTATTACTCGCTCCGTTTGACTTTCCATTTGACTTTTCACAGTCTTTAATGTTACATTTAGATTATTAATATCTCTAATTATATACTCCATCCGTTTGCAAAAATACTTCCTATTTTGACTTGGAGCAAAAATAAGAAAGTTTTAAATTATAGTTGACTTCCAATTTTACCCCTGATGTGATGGGTAAAAGTAAGATTTGATGAATAGATTATTAGAGAAAAAGTATGATGAGATAGGTAGGGTATGAAAAAGTAAGGGTAAAGTAGTTTTTTAAAAGAAAGTTGAAGTGTTTTCTTGAAAGTGAAAAAAATGAAAGAGGAAGTATTTTTGAGAACGGAAGAAGTATAAATATATACCATAAAAATATTTACAAAGTATATTTCAAAGTGGATCTATATATTGACATTAAATTTATATAAAAATTTAATTGTTTTTTCGTAATTTATTGTTTAAAAAGTTTGACTACGAAATTCTAACTGAAAATTTAATATTAGGACATAAGAAGTACTATTATTGCTTCACTCCTCCCCAAAATAATTGGCCTAACTATTTTTTCAAACACCCGAAAACTTTTGTTTGTGTATGGAAAAACGGCATGTGGCTCCATATAACCCAATTGTTCGTATAGAAGTACCTGCCCGGTGACTCTTGGTCCTTTAGGTGTTGATACTTTTGATCCTTTAATTTCTTGGGGACGGGGAGTGTTAAAGAGTATCCCACATAAAAACTTGAAGAGAAAATAAATCGGTATAGAAACTCTTGAGTTGAGCCAAGTAATCGATTGGATTCAATTTTTTAATGTGGTTCCACACAAGTATCTTGTGACCCAGCCCAGTGATCGCTACCTCATCCTAAATTCTATCATGGTATCGAAGCTAAGTATATAAGCCTAGCCCTTCCTTTTCCGACCGAGCACATCGCCGGTCTTAGTTCACGGCAGTCAATCATCCAATAGTATGTCATCACCGATCGATCTCGAAAGCGTGCCTAACAATCACCGTCCATTATCCTGACCTCTCTTTTCTCCAAGAAAAATCCATTATCTCTCACCCTAAAAAAGCCATTATCTCTCTCTCTCTCTTCCAAAAAATCATGTGTATGATTGAAAAACGAGAAAATTGCATTTGTTTGTGTTTTTTCTAAAGATCGAGAACATGGAAAGAGAATCAGAGAACGGCCCAAAAAGAGAAAAAAAGAAACTCCTCGCCCTCACTTCAATCCCCAACACTTTCACTGGAAAAAACTCAGCAAAATATAATCTCAAACTTGTTCGTCATGCAACAAATTAAAGATCTAGTTATTTACTTAGAGAGGCCATCCTCACAAAATTACTTTCGCTGACTCAATTCCAGCACCTGTGCTCCAAACTGCTCCTCGTTACCGATGATCAGCTCGCTCGCGGGGATATTAGGAAATAGAAGATTATTAATTAATTCCTTTCCTGATTTTTTTATTTTCTTATTGTATTTGTTATTATATTATTTTTCCTACTTGGCATGGATTAAAACTCTCTCATGTAATCCATATGAATAAAGACGTATCTTTCAATATTCAATAAATCAATTATTATCAAATTGTATCACAATTCAATCCTACACTTACTCATCTTTTTCAACCAGCCTCACCATACCACATACTGCATTTTTTTATCACTCTACACTATATATTTTTATATTATACTCTATCACCTCTCATAACCCCCATTTTTTCATCACCATACCACATAGCCTTAATTTAATGCGTCTTGGATTAACGAGAGAAGTCAAGGAAACGCGGAATAATAGAGGGTTTAATTTTGAATATGGGGAATTTACTTAAATATCACTAAAACAATGTAGCACTTTTAGTCATTATCCATTAGTCATTATTCAAGTAATAAATATTCGTCATCACTGGACATTATGGATATTATTAAGTGCTATTTAGGGAATAAAACAGTTTAATTGCTATTTAGGAAAATGACTTATGTTTTAGTGTTATTTAGTGCAAATATATTCGATTCGTAGGTCTTTGCTTTTCAACTCACCTCCCCATTAATCCCTTTCAAATCCTTTCACATATTTTTTTTTTGACTCGTTCTTTGGTCTTGGAGACAATCGGATCGAAGCAATATTTTTTCTGTTTGTGGAATAATCTAATAAGCAATATTATCTTTAGGTGTGGTGCAAAGTTTCTTTCCCTATGGTGTGGGACGTAGTTGGGATGCTACCCAAGACTAACTACGTACAAACTGTTCTCTAAATAACAATAATAGTATTTTAAAGGAAACAACGAGATGCACTCCGGGTGGTGTACACCACTCTTAATTAGCTTGTCACATACGCACACAGATAATAGCTGTCTATTTGTGTTTCACACAGACAATTGGTGTCTTCGAGTCTGCAACTTGTCTTATGAAAAGTGGCTGAAAAATAAGAAATGTTGATACATATACTTTCAAAATGAAGAGGGCATTAGTGGTATTTAGTCGAAAAAAGTTAGCAGCCGGGCAGCGCGTTGTATCCAAAAGGACAATAATGCATGCATTACTACGTATTTTGGATGTGAGACGACCAATTCAACAAATCAATTAACATCGTACTTACGGAGTTTATTATTAGCTTCTCTAATTTTCCACGGAAAGCGAGAGAGACTGCCGCAGGTTCCGCGTATTTAGCTTTCCGCGTCCTTTCCTTCTCTCTCTCTCTCTCATTATCGCTTTTCGGCCTTTTCCTTTTCTATGCTAGCTTAGCTTCTCCCATCCTAGCTCACCTCACTATCTATCTTTTGTCCCAATATTTTTACATTTTACACAAAATGAAGTACACTTTACATTTTTTAAAATAAATTTTATTTAAAAGTTGGTATAGAAACTAAAAACAAAGCTTACATATTTAAAACTACATAAAAAATCCCAAGGAACAAGAAATGAAAAAAATATTTAATTTTATCACATTGTAACTGCCACAGTATCATTGCCATACTCTCATCTGTCGCGTATCGTTGCAGATTACCGATGGTTGACTGATCACATTGACATATTACATTAACATCACTTTTCCGTTATACTGTCAACATGTAGACTAACACCACATTGTCATTATATTTTTATTTTGATCCCAAAAAATATAAGACTCCTTTTTTAACACATGGAGAGGGAGATATCTTTATATATATAGGAAGTTTATACGGAGTATGTATCTATTTCATCGCATCTGAATATCGGATCCACCAAATAAATAAACAAACCACTCCCACCCCATCCAGTATCCCACACACTGCACACACACACACACATTCTAATTAATTAATATAATTAATTATATTGCTACCTTATTGTTAATTATTATATATACTCCGTACTTATTATCATTCTAAGCTAATTCCACCCGACATACACACACACAGCTTAATTAAAGTAGCTAATCACTTTTGCGTGGGGTCGCCGTCGGTGTAATAAGCTGATAGATAGCTAGCAGAGCGAAATGGCGGGTGCCGGATTGGAATTGGCGGCGATGCTCGTGGAGGAGCTACGGCGGGGGAGAGAGTGGGCAGTCCAGCTGCAAGGCGGCAGCCGCGGCGGCAAGATTAATATTAATAATAATGATGATGAAGAATTATTATTCTCATACCCACAACTGCAGCCACTGCTCCAGAAGATAATCTCTTCCCTTGAAAAATCCATCACACTTCTCAATTCCAACTTCAACCTTCCCATTCTTCATCATCATCATCATCAAGAGAAAGACACTATTGCCCCTCTCCCTCCTCCTCCCATCCCCAACAACAACAACAACAACAACAACAACAACAACAACAGTTCTAGTCCTCTTCTTTTGACGACTTCAAGTTCAACTCCACCTACTCTTGAAGTCTCATATGAGGGCGATTCTCCAAAGCCCGGGGGCGGCGTCTTCAAGAAAAGGTTTTTATTATTTATTTTCTGTTCCAAGAATTGAATTAATTCAACAAAAAACTCAAACTCTGCTTGTAATTGTAGTGGTTAAGCAGGTGATGATTTTTTTTATATTCCAACAAGAAAAACTTTCTCCATATAGGACTAAAAGATAGTATGTTTCTTTGAATATGATCAAATATGTTTTATTTTCTTTATGACACATATTTTCATATGATCTGCCATATTTTCCCTCATTAACAACATTTTTTGGACAATGAGTGATTATACGAATGTGGTCATTAGTAACAAGTGTTGAATAATGATTTATTATTTCAATGACTATCCAAATGGTTTTAAATAGTGTAATATTCTATTTGAATTGTGTAATGTATCATTTTTTCCGAAGGCATGACGTTTTAGAATTTTTCATTGCCAAACGTAAATAATATGACGGGTTACATTTAGAGAAAAGTGATATCTTTAAGTTCTATTTACGTAAATTACTTTATTAACAAATACTTATTATTCATTCAGAAAAACTTCGGGGAGCCAACAAGTTCGGGTTTGCTCGGCAACGGGATTGGGAGGCGGGCTTGATGATGGGCATAGTTGGAGAAAGTACGGCCAGAAAGATATTCTAGGGGCCAACCATCCTAGGTAATTTAACATTTCTTTTCTTCTTCTTCATATATTACTCCCTATAGTTTTTTTTTTGATAGACTTTTTGAATATTTGTCACACCTTTATTTGACTTTTCATTTTATCTCTTTTTCGTTTTTACAAACGACTATTAATATATTCATTCAATGAAGAATGTAAAGATTAGGAAGGTTCCTACAGATAATATATAATCATTCAAAATTGCTTTTCTTGTTCCTTTTTCATCTTTATTTCCAAAGGTATCCCAAATAACAGTAAGGGGGCTGGTTTGATTTGATTGAGCAGGGCATATTACAGGTGCACACATCGATACATGCAGGGCTGCATGGCTAAAAAGCACATTCAAAGGTCCGATGCAGACCCTTCCATTTTCGAGGTCACTTACAAGGGAACCCACACCTGCTGCACTTCTTCTCCTTCTTCTTCTTCTTCAATCTCTGCCGAATGCCGGAGCCCAAACGGTGGCGCCCAACAACTTCTTCATCAGCTGCAGAAACAGGATGAAAAACAGCAACATGGCTTGCTGCTGCTGGTAAACGACCATGGACCCACTGAAACTGACCTTGATGATGGGAACATTGCAAGTAGTGGTGATGATATCTTCCCCACCTTTGTCTCTCCAGCATCGTCGGACAACGACACTTTCATGAACTTGCCCTTTTTGTTTGATCAGAACGACGACGACTACTGTTTTGATGAACTGACCCAGTTCACGGGCAGGTCCGAATCTGATTCTTCCACCAACTCCCCTTTCGTGGATTGGCATTTGCCCGCCGCAGCAGCAGCAGCAGCTGATGATGATCATCAAGTACTGAATCTTGATGCAATTGACATCTGGGAGTACTTCTCCTAGCTGATGCATCCATCTGAATATGCTAATTGATATATAAGCAGTAATGAATTAAATTAAAGCTAGAGAGGATCAAATAAGGGCAGATTAGGGGCTCATCATTTTCATTGTGCTGTCTCCTTAATTAAATTCTTTATATTGTTTTGCTTCTGTAAGTTGTTAGTTTGTTAAGGATTATAATGTAATGGCACCTTTTTTCAAAAGTAATCATTTAAGACTTCCAATGTGTGTGTGTTTGCAACATTTACTAATAGAAAGAAAAGTATGGATAGATTAGATACATAGAAAGAAAATCATTTTGAGTTTCAAGAAGTGTGTGCCCAAAGGAAACAATGTTACAAGTGCAAACATAATGACTTGTCAATTTCAACTTCAGAAGGAATTATTCTTTGACAATATGGCATATATATATGCCACACTAGTGTTGAAAAACATGTTTTTTGGTACAAGATACCGATAACCATAGATCAGCTAATATGGAGATTGCAGAATCTCTTGGCGCATTCCAGACTATCGGAGAGTATCGTACTATAATCATATTTCCATTCAAAACCTGCTTCTTCCAACTTACTTGAGCCCCACTTTGTGTCCCTCTTTGTGTCCTCAATGAACCTGAAACAGCAGCCAGATATATTCAAATTTCACCAAATTCAAACCTTAGCTTTGAGATATCCAATAAAGAGTACTTTTGGTGAAAAAGACACTACTTACTCTTGAGGGATTTTAATGAGGGGAAAGTGGAGCTGATAGTAAGACGCGATCTCAACGGATTTAAGGTAGGAACTAGCACAAAGAAACCTGCCATTGATGTGCTGGTGCTCCAAGCAGAAAACATGGGCTGCAGTTACATCTTCCACATGTACAATGGGCACCTTTCCCAACAACTCCTCCATAAACCTTAGCCCTTGATACCGATTCTTATCATTCGTTGCTTGGGAGACCATCAAACCCAAGCTCTCCGGCATCCATGACTGAAGCGTCTCGCGCCCTCCAACAACGCCGAGAGCAAGAGATACGACACGTATCCCTTTCCCATTGTAGCTCAACACTTCTTTCTCTGCTAATGTCTTTGATCTCGTGTATTCCTATACATGTACCCAAAAAATGCATGAATTGAAGAACACTTGTGTAGTCTCATACACACACACACACAAGCTTTTTGGGATTGAGTAATGAGTTAGATCACACGGAGTATATGAGAGTGTCATGCGATAATTTACCATGAAGAAATCACTATGGTAAGGGGTTGGGAAATCAAAAGGAGTCCAACAAGTCTCATCCATGGTGTCCTTGAAACCAGTGGCATTGTCCATCAATGGAGATGCAGCCACCACACTGGCGGTGTATATGAGTTTCTTCACAGTCCCCGCTCTTATGCATGCTTCTGCTATGCTCCTGACTCCAGCAACTGCTGCCTCCCCCGTGTTCTTGTACTACACATCTCATCAGATCATCATGGATCCATCATTAAATTGATCAAGAAGGAATGTTGAGCATTCATCATTCTTATACACTTAATTGACCAACCATAATTAGTTTCCAGTTTTGAAGTTCAACTATTTTTTTTTTAAAAAATAATGGAATCACAAGTGAAAATGAGTTCGACATCAACTACAGGGTTACAAACATACAGACTGTGAAATTAAATAAGCTAAGGGTAAAGAAAGAAAAGATGGAAAACCTGGGAGGTTTGTGGGGTGTGCTGCAAAGGAGTAGCCATATGGATGACGACATGGCAGCCATGAATGGCGGGAGCAAATTCATCAGGTTTGTAGACATCTGCCTCGAACAATTTCAGTTTCGAATCCGCATTTGGAAGCTCTTTCAAAAGCCCCACCTTCGTCGGATCTCCTACAAACACCAAAATTTATAATACTTGAAAAACAAAAACAAAAAACAATTCTTGAACAACAAGTCCCACACTTTGCGATGGGGTCAATCCGTAACAAGATTTGAAATCGCCAAAGCTTGATTGATATTGGTCAGAGGCATGTCAAAGCTAAGATTTTGCACTGGGAGTGGTAATAATAAAACTCACCGAGATTCCTGAGAGTTGCATGGACTGTGTAGCCTCTGTGTAACAAGGATCTTATGAGGAAGGAGGCAAGGTAACCGGCACCTCCGGTCACACAAACAATCATTATCTTCTTCTTCTTCTTCTTCTTCTTCTTCTTCTTATCTTCTTTTGCAAAGAGGTTTCAGGGGATGGATGTAAACTGCCTCCAAGGTTTCATACCAACTTTCACCATCAAGACGATATCTTTGAATATTTCAATCTGTTAATATTTGAAACATTCTAATTAGCTGACTTGCAAAAAAGAAAAGAGACACGCAACTGATTTATTGATTACTATGTTATTGGAATAATCCAAAATGGAACACGCAACATTAGATTGCATTCATAATGTTAATGTTTTCATTTAAATGTATAGTATTACTCCCTATATTTTTGCATTCCCTTCTCATACCAATGTAGCACGTTTATTAATCTTCATTTTACAATTATTCTTTATGTATTCAATATTACGGGGTATTATATTGTGCATAACTTTAAAATAAAAAAATTTACCTTGAGCATGTAAATCTAGTTTATTTCGAATTTGAAACGTGGGGTCTTAGCGGGAAAAATAAAGATCAATGAGTTTGTTTTGGAAAATTGAAATAAGTAAAGTAGAAAGTTTTTTAAAGGACAGAGAAAGTATTTGCTCAAGTTGATAAAATTCAGCTATGCCACGGCCGTGAAAACGGTCATCAAATTTTGTTAGTGCGAATAAAAACCGTAATGACATGCCAATTAACTTCATAAGATAATATTCTTAGCCAATATATACTACGGTTGTATTGATAAACATGTTTTTGGTACAAGATTCTGATAACCATAGTTGAATTAAGGAGATAGTAGAATCTCTTGGTGCATTCCGGCCTCAAGATACTAGACTCACGATACTGATAAACATATAGTTCAGTTGAGGATACTGCAGAATCTCTTGGCGCATTGCAAACTGTCGGAAAAAATCGTACTATAATCATATTTCCATTCAAAACCTGCATCTTCCAACTTCCTTGAACCCCACTTTGTGTCCCTCTTTGTGTCCTCAATGAACCTGAGAAACAGCAGTCACATTCATTCAAATTACCAAGTTCAAACCTTTAATATATCCCCCCCGAAAAAAGAAAGGTACTTTTGGTGTATAACACAAATGGACATACTCTTGGGGGATTTTAATGAGGGGAAAGTGGAGCTGATAGTAAGAAGCGATCTCAACAGATTTAAGGAAGGAATTAGCACAAAGAAACCGGCCATTGATATGCGGGTGTTCCAAGCAGAAAATATGGGCTGCAGTTACATCTTCCAAATGCACAATTGGCACTCTTCCCAACAACTCCTCTAGAAACCTTAGCCCTTGATACCTATTCTTTTCATTGGTCGCTTGGGAGACCATCACACCCAAGCTCTCCGGCATCCATGACTGAAGCGTCTCGCGCCCTCCAACAACGCCGAGAGCAAGAGACACGACACGTATGCCTTTCCCATTGTAGCTCAACACTTCCTTCTCTGCTAATGTCTTTGATCTCGTGTATTCCTACATACAATGCATGAATTGAAGAGCAACTTTAGTCCGATATCCAACAAACCCGGTAGAACCCCACAATACACTACTATGTGGCCGGGGAGGGTGTGTGTTAGAGTATAATACTTTTCCTAGGCTTACAACCACAAACTTGAGCTTTTGGTTGAGTTGGTTCCTTGATAGCTCGAATGTTTGTAAACCTTACCCCTACTTGGAAGTAGAGAGAGACCATTTCAAGGGGACTCCCGGCTCAACAGAAAAGCACAAATAGGGAAAACACAGCACTAAACCCAAAACATAGAAAACACACTTGTGCAGGCTACAAACGTAGGCAACAAGGGAAAGAACAAAACAGCAGCAAGGCTCTCATATGTTGAAAGCTTTTTTAACGAAATGTGTAAGACCCTATTTACTAAGACAATAATAGTTGAGAATAGCAAGCAATATACCACAAAGTGATCGATAAGGTAAGGAGTTGGGAAATCAAAAGGAGTCCAACAAGTCTCGTCCATGGTGTCCTTGAAACCAGTGGCGTTGTCCATCAAAGGAGATGCAGCCACCACACTGGCGGTGTATATGAGTTTCATCACAGTCCCGGCTCTTATGCACGCTTCCGCTATGCTCCTGACTCCAGCAACAGCTGCCTCCCCCGTGTTCTTGTACTACACATCATCAAATTGAGAAGAAACGTTGAGTACAATTTCCAATTTTAAACTTCAAATTGAGAAGGAATGGAGTTTGTTACCATGGAATCATCAACTGCAGGGTCATCACAAACATACACGCAGGGAAATTAATTAAGGGTTACAGAGAAAAGATGGAAAACCTGGGAGGTTTGTGGGGTGTGCTGCAAAGGAGTGGCCATGTGGATGACGACATGGCAGCCATGAATGGCGGGAGCAAATTCATCAGGTTTGTAGACATCTGCCTCGAACAATTTCAGTTTGGAATCCGCATTAGGAAGCTCTTTCAGAAGCCCCACCTTCGTCGGATCTCCTACAAACACCAAAACTTTCAACAACAACAACAAAAAATCAAAATCAAAATCAAAACTTAAGGCCACGCGAAAGGGTGATAGAACTCGCCGAGACTCCTGAGAGTTGCATGGACTGTGTAGCCTCTGTGCAGCAAGGCCTTGATGAGGAAGGAGGCAAGGTAACCGGCACCTCCGGTCACACACACAATCATCATCAACAATCAGCAATCAGCAATGGAGATCGATATAGCGAGACCCTGAAGTTTCTGGAGTAATAAAGTGCAAAAGACTAAAGCAAATTATTGAGACCCCGCCCCCAACAAATCCAAAACTTCATATCATCAGCATCTAACTCCAAACGTAATCCAAGTATACCCTCAAGAAAACTTATTTCTTTCTTTTTGACTTTTTTGGTTCAAACAGTTAAAAAATATGTTTAATTTTAATTTAAGTTGAATATAGTTAAGTTCATGCTAAGATATAGTTTGGATGCATCAAAATTTTATACGGAGTAACATTTAAATATACAAGTTATTTTTAATTTGAAATTAAAAAGTATCATTGTTTGACCAAAAAATCAAAACAAGAAAAATTTTACCAAGATGAACATAGTAGTAAACTTTTGCATTAGCATTTCCAAACTTAATCATCAGCATTAAAAATTTTGTTCCAAACGCTAACGTGACAAAAAATAATGTTCCTAAACAAGACTAAAGTGCCAAACTGAATCAATTCCATTGCATTTTTTTTATTTAAAACACTAACGTAATAAAAAACAATGTTTCCAAACAAGGCCTACACGACACACCACATTAAAACGTGAAGTAGGTGCACCTCACATTTGGCAAGTTCAACATTTTTACAAACAAAATAGGAACAAAAAACCAATAAATGTGATTTGATCAAACGGAATAGGCTTTGAGTTTGGAGGCGAGGCGGGCGAGTGCGTTGGCGGAAGAACCATCAGGTCCGAGTACCCGATGAGCCGCTTCTTTCAGCTCTCTCATCCGTTCACGCACTTCTTTCGCCTCGTCCCCTTGTATCAATGCCTTTATCGTGTCACCAATCTCATCTCTCCCGACCACCCCGTCCTCTCCGATTTTTAACATCAGCGCGACTTTAAGATCTTCTATCAACATCACCGCGTTCATTCTCTGCTCGGCGTACATGGGCCACGCGATCAAAGGCACCCCGCGGACCACGCCTTCGAGGATCGAGTTCCACCCACAATGGGTCAGAAACCCACCTACGGCATCGTGACTCAAGATTTGGGATTGAGGAGCCCAATCGGGCACGACCAAACCCAACTCCTTGGTTCGTTCCCCGAACCCTTTTGGCAGGAAGTCAAAAGGGTTGGTCAAACTCTGGACGCTAAAATAGGCAGCGTTGGAAGTCGCGTCGTTTGGGCACTTGACCACCCATACGAACCGCTGCCCGCTTGCCTCCAAGCCATACGCGATCTCGGTGAACTGCTTCTGTGTGTGGGTCCCACCGCTCCCGAAAGACACGTAGACTACTGACGCACGTGGCTGTTTGTCCAACCACTCGAGGATCGGACACCGGTTCGCCGCCCCGTTGACTCTCCCCGGGTCGCTAATCTTCGTGAGCGGCCCGACCGGATAGACCGGAGGGTTTCCGGATTCCGGTTGTTGCAAGGCTTTCAGCGCGCCGGGCTCCAAGTCCTCGAAGGTGTTCACGATGATGCCCTCCGCCATCCGGTACCGTCCCGCGTGGCGGAGGACCCATTTGTAGGCCTCGTTCTTCCGGTCCTGGACCGGGTCAAGGAGGTCCCCGCCGCGAACCGGGATGCACCCGGGTAGCCGGAGCGGTTCGTCCATGTCTCTGTACTCGCACGCCACATCCCGGTCGATCTCGGGAAGGTTCAGAAACAGGGACAGGCACATCGCAGTCGTCGGGTAAAAAATGAACGGCGAGACCCCGAATTCGACGGCGACATCGAAAGCGTCGGTCCCGAAGAGATCGACGACCAGAGCGACGGTCGGGGTGGTCTCGACGATCGAGCGGAAGGCGTCGCGGAAGGCGGGGAGGGAGCGGGTGATTTGCAAGGATATGCGGGTCTCGATCTTGACATCGGGGGACAAGTCGTCGAAGCTGACCGGCGGGAGGAGGGTGTAGGCGATTCCGGCGGGGAGGTTGTGGAGGATGGTTTTATGAGCGGCGGAGATGGGGCCGTCGGTGGGGAGGATGAAGGTGACGGAGAAGTGGTGGTGGAGGGAGAGGCGCTTGGCGAACTCGACGAGGGGGGTGAGGTGGCCGATTCCGGGGGTGGGGACGATGACGACGTGGGGAGCGTTAGGATGTGGTGTGTCCGCCATTTTTGTGTGTGTTTTATTAATGAGTAGTTTCAGAAAATTGGAACGGAAAAAATGGGGACGATATGTGGCTGTGGGTGTCACACACAAAAGGATTACGTTAAATAATGGAAGATAGCACAGTGCCCTTTGGAGTAGTATTTACGACGAGTAAGTTTGTCTTTATGGTCAAATTTTAGTGTTTTACGTCGTTTTTCTTCTTATCTGGCTGTTTCCAGAAGACAAATTAACATGTCAAAGTTGATTGAAAAGGCAAACACCAATAAATACTTTCTAAATACTTTCTATATTAACAAAAATTTATTTAAAAAAATAATTAATAAATATGAAATGTAGAACTTATTTTGTGGTCTTTAAGTCCACATATGAAATGTAAACTTTTTATACATTTTAAATTATTTCCGAGTTACCTTTTTTATGCAATATTTCTATGGTGTCCGTGTAATAAGAACAAAAAATAGGTGTGGATACATGCATTATTTTTTCTATTCTCTATCACGTTATCTTTTTTTTTTAATTCCGTTCTAAAACGTCTACAATGCTATTGCTCTCTCGCTCATCTTCTGTTTCTTTTATACTCCGTATTATTTGATGGTATAATTTTGATATGTTAAGTTTGATCATATCTGACAAAGAAAGAAATCGTGTGTCTGAATTTATATTCATTACTCTGTCTTAAGAGTAAACATGTTTGTCTCCGTATGAATGAATGTCTCATCCTCCCTTTATTGCAACATATTTATATAGAAAGGAGGAGATCAAATAAGGTAATTAGCATCTACTCAGTCGTAAGTCTAGCGCCAGTCAACAACCATATATGGAAACAATATCTTGACCCGTCGCTCATTAGTTTCATTAATGAGCGTCAAACTAGCTATCAACCAAGTTGCCTAGCAAAGACGATGGAGCAGAATCTTTGCTCTGCAATTAACTCCCAATGATGGCATGGTTGGAGTAGTTGGGTCACACATGCTCCCTCATCGCATCATCCCCACTGGTTTGTCGTCATTGGGGTCCAGACTCATTCGAATAGTCTTTTTTGCCTAAGCCAAGCAATATGATCATGCTAAAAATATGACCGTCACTTGTCGATAAAAAATGTGACCGGTTATTTTTTTTATGGTTCCCGAATCTTCCACACCATTATTAGTTCAGGAACACTCTTAACCTGACCAGTCACTTTTCGGGTCTGGATGAGTATAAGCTATATCCATCATTATTTATCGTTTTAAATTCAAAATTTATATGAATAAAAAAATACTTCCTCCGTCCCAAAAAGAATGTTGCGTTTCATTTTTTGCGCATCTCTTAAAACACTTTTATATGGTATCAAATGTCAAAAAAACTTTCAAAACAATTTCATTTTATAATAAAGAGTAAATATGGTAAATTTTAGAAATTTTAGATGTGAGTAGCAGTGCTTTTTGTGATGCACAAAAAAAATGAAATGTAACATTCTTTTTGGGACGGAGGGAGTTCAAAATTAAAACAAAAACAATAACATAGACACTCTTTATTTAAAAAACACTATAATAAAAGAAAAAATTCGCTGAAAGAAATACACCAAAATAAAATTAAAATGAAAAAAAGGGAGATGGAATTGAATGAGAGATAAATTAGAATTGCGGAATTGATGAATTTATAAAGTTTTGCTTTCCACGGTAAATTCCCTAGTGGCTAAATCGCCCTAGCTTACGTAGTATTTACAACGACAATGCGTAGGTTTTTATGTGAAATTTTACCCCCTGTATTTTCATTAAAGTCGTGTTTCTTCATTTTTGGTTGTTTCTGGAAGACATTAACATTTCAAAGTCAATTGAAAAAGTTAATTATTACCCCAAAAAATTATTGAAAGTTGAATGGCGTAAGTGAAATGTGCACCTACAAAACATTTTATGGTCCCATGTGATTAGGGATGGCAACGGGTCGGGTTCGGGTAGGATAGTACTATACCCGAACCCGACCTGACTTTTAAAACCGAAACCCGAACCCGACCCGAAACCCGACCTTTAAAGCCAAAAATCCGACCCGACCCGAACCCGACATTTCAACCCGAAACCCGAACCCGACCCGAACCCGACTTTTAACCAATAATCAATTCGACGTACCCCAATAATTTTGAAAAAATTAAATCTAATTTTTTTGTGTCTCTTTTTTTATGTCTCCTTTTTTATTAAGGGATTATAAAAATGATTATAAAAGGCATATTTGATATAGTAGCACTTTGTCAAGAGATTATACGGAGTGCTCATTACATCCATAGATAGACTTTTTTGTAATAAAATATTCGGGTTTTAGTCGAGTCGGGTGCGGGTTCGGGTCGGGTCGGGCAAAATTATAAATCCACACCCGACCCGACCCGATGACGGGTTCGGGTAAAAAATTTCGGGTCGGGTTCGGATTAGTTTATTTTCGGTTCGGGTTCGGATATTTTAGTAGTCGGTCGGGTCGGTTAAGCTCGGGTTCGGGTTGAATTGCCATCCCTACACGTGATATTGTTAGGTTTGCCTACGGTTCAAACTTACTTTATTCAATTAGTTCGGAGTACTTATTCTTTTATTTAGATTAAATCAATCAAACCAGATCGATTTAAAAACAACTCTATCTATAATTATAATCAATTCAAATGAGAACAGATTAAAGTAGATTTTCAAAAAAAATCAGATCAAGCACATCCTACTTTATTGAAACAACAAATGATCAAAAATTACTTTTTGAAGTTACCATAATGAAATTTTTATGCTATATTATTATAGTTATTTTTTTTAAGATAAAAATCTAATACATACGGTGGAATAGTTTTTTATGTTACTAATGAGATTTTTCTTGGCACTCTTTTTCTTCAAAGATGTATATTCTATATAAAGAATTATATATTATTATTTACTATAACCCTCTTGAGAGTGATGACAAGGAGGCCGCTTCATCATCCAAAATAATATATTTTCACTACTACCAAACAACAACTCAGTTAAATCCCACAAGAGTAGGGTCTGGGGAGGGTGTGTGTACGCAGACCTTGCCCCTACTCGAAAGTAGAGAAGCTGTTTCCAAAGAGACCCCCGGCATATTTTCAATACTATACCATAGTATCTTAAATAAGAAAAAGTCTAATCCTAATGCCTAATCTCAAAGCTCACTTAGAGTGCTCGTTCCTTCACATCTAACTATTCCTTGTGTGTTTGATGAAGAGATGGAACGTGCCGCGCTACAACTAACGGTGAAGGTTTCGACAATCTATTTCCACGGTCATGTTTATGTTCAAGAAACAAGACCTATCCATTTCAGTTACAATAGTTGTATGGGAATAAGAGTTCAGTTTGATGAATGAAGTCACATTAACCAATTTTTGTTTCCAACTAAGTTTCATGTTACTTCACAAGCTCGTTTGCGGATTAGAATTGGTTGTTAGCTCAATGTAGATAACAGAAAACAAGTTACGTGAACGATTAACACTTTTTACGGGTAGAAGCTATAACTACATAAAGGAGTTAGGCTCCGTTTGGTACACAGAATTCAAGCTATGGAATTGGAATTGAGAACCTCAATTCCAATTCTAGCGTTTGGTAGCACAAAAAATTATGTGGACTTGGAATTGGTAGTGCAAAAAATGAATTGGAATGGATGAATTCAATTCTATGGAATTGAACCTCATGAAATTATAATTCCAATTCAATTCCAATTCCATCAATTCCGTGTACCAAACGGACCCTTAAAATTTCAAAAATAGTTCGTGAAAAAAGGGGCAACTAATTTAGAATAATTAAAATGAAGGTAGAAAACTAATATTTACCAAAAAGTATAAATGGAACAAGTAATTTGAAAGTGAATTACAAAGAGGGAGGGAGTAGGGATTCAATTTGCTACTTCAGATTAGAGTCAAACTTTTATTTTCAACAAGTTTCTAAGCAAGTGGAAAGAATAAATTTGGAATGATTTATTTACACCAGAAGCAAATGCTACAAATGATAATAATAATAATAATAATAATGTTACCTCTCCTCTCTTGAGATGCATAGAAATGTGCAGCAAAGCCCATCTATAACCAACCTACGAAACCTATATATGCATGAAAAAAAAAGGAAAAAAAGGCATGCATCTTGATATATGGTGACTCAAATACAATCGGACTGTATCAATCTACTGTTTGGCGAATCGTCCTGAAGGACCGGCCCTAAAGCCGAGGCTCATTCTTTGTTTTTGACTGTGGAAAGAGCATTTCCATCATCAAATCATTCCAAGAATCAATCGGCCCGGGCAAGCACCAGTGGAGACAATCATTCTGAATCGCCAACGGGTGCGGATGCCTGTAGATTCCCGGGTGCCCGTCCGGCCTCAGCAGCGAAAGATACGTGGTGTCGAAGAGTTCCATGCCCCCCACTCCCACATTCTTGGATCCCATCCCCAATGCCCACTCAAACTCTTCAACTTCTATCCTGTGCATCACCCCATCCATACTGCCCATTTCAACCTCCCCTCCTCTAAACGGCACCGTTCGGTTACAGTACCCGCCCGTGTCCCACTCCCCGTTCTCAAAGTGGTCCGGCGTCGTGGTTCTGAACAACACCTTCACTTTCTGCTGGTTTGATGATGAGCTCAAAATGTATCTGAGAGCCGAGCGCAAAGCCTTGCGGTACGCGTAGTAAAACCCTATGTTTGTTATGTTGTTCTTCACACCACAGCTATGGCACCCCACAATCTCGCCTTTCTCGTAGTATATTGCGGGTTTCGTGTACCATTTGCCACCCGCGATGACGGCGTAGTCGAAATTCTTGAACTGTTGGGTCCACACATTGTCGAGTTTGTCGAGGTGAAGACGGACTATATCCGTGGAAACCCCTTCGTCGTCTTCCGATATAGTAGCTTTTGTAAGGTAAGGAGACCATACCACTGAAAGAGTGAAGTTGTTCGCCGGGAAATGCCATCTCCTACTTTTGTATTGGTCGTCATGGTAGACCTCTTTTGCTTTTTCCTCCTGCAAAAAAAAAAAAAGAAAACAAAATAATCCCATGCATATGAACTAGACCGGGGAAAACCCGATAAAAATTGGCAAAATGTAAACACACTAATCGTATGTTTGGTTCGAGGGAAGGGGGTGAAAAGAGAGGAAAATAAGTACCTTTCCTTGTTTGGCCTATGATTTTGGAAGGCAAGAGATCCAAAATTTTCTCCAATCATTCCCTTCCCTCCAAATCGATGTTTTTAGGAAGTCAAAAATTAAGACTAATTTGTCCATCAATTCTATTATATTGAGAACCACACACAATATCATTCATTTCTTTCCTCCTCCATCTCTTTCCCACACATCAAACCAAACAATTAAGCTTTTTGGTTGGATCTTAGTTTTAGCAATTTTAAAGACCTGAACTACCAAAATGGATCTGGCCAAACCCAAACCGACAAACCCACTACACCCCTAGACAAACCGGCCTAGGAGTAGGCCACCTTGGGAATGAGTTGGCCAATAGCCTAATAGAGTAATACTTATAGTAATAGTAGTACCCTTTTTCCAAAAATGGCCGGAAGCAATTTTCAGAGGCTAAAAAAATGTAAATGAATCACTAGAAGATCGACAATGGGAACCCATCTGCTCTATGGAATACTTCATCTAGAAAAGACAAAAGAGTCTCCAACTGGGGTACAGACAAAGACCACCCACCAGACATATTACCAACTTTGCCAAAGCAACACACAACTTGTCTTTTTTCATTGGAAAATGTTACTCTCATAGTCTCATGTGGGTTACAAGTGACACTCTGTGTCTGTGTGTGTCTGAATTCGTTCTCGCACTTACTTAACTGTCTATGATCTTGTTCTTAACAGTAGCGGCATCGACTGTTAAGAACAAATTCATTGATGTGGTATCAAATACTCCGTATCAAATATGGGCCATGAGGTATTTTATTGCCCCAAAGAAATATTATTAATTATTAAAGAATAATCATGTCTAAAGCTAATGGCAGCTGTAAAGAGAAGATGCATGCATCAATCAACTAATTAAAGAATATTTAAAAAAAAAGCAATGAATTGCCCATTCAGACAAACCATCAAACAGATACTGTACATGTGCGAGATCCATACCAGTGAGAGAATGCAGAGCAGTGACTGAACATGGTTGCGCATGATCGAGTCACCGATAAAAGCCATTGATTTGTTCCTCATGAGATTGAGGAACTTGGCCGGATTAAACCTGGGGAGTTCACAGCCACTGGGCTCCCATCTCCAGTGCATATAATCCGTGTCGGGTCGGCCGTTCTTCATGCAATTCTGGTGGGTTTGTATGGAATCGCAGGTCTCGTTTGTGTAGAATGGACCCTCATCGTCCTCGACCCAATCTCCCTTGAACAGATCACACTTCACTGCAAACCAGATCACATATATTCATGCAACCAAAGATCATGAAATCTTCTTATAATTTCACATATCACAAATTGATAATTGGGCATGATCACATTATTTGAAGCTCTATTTGGTAAAAGTAACTAAAATTTATCAAAAGGACATCAGAAGATTTAAGAGATGATCATGATCAGGAATCTGGGCATGATGATCTGATCAGCAAGTATATTTATGAAACAGAGAGCCTGAACCGAATCACAATCTGGGTTGACCCGAGAGTTGAACCCGGACCAGGCACTTCATGCATGGGCAGAAATTAAAAAGTTACCAGATTTAGGGAAACCGGGAATTAAGTTAAGTACTGGGTAATTAGTTCACTGACCCGTCTTAGAACGCAGAAGGTCGACGGGAAGGGACGGCGGCGATGTATGATCGGCGGTGGCGGTGGCGGGAACAGGGGCGGCTGAGAATCGCGCAAAGGTGGAGAGAAACGAACGGTAGGCAAGTGCCAGAAGCACAAAACAAGCAGCGAATTTGAGAAAGAAGCCGAAAGAGAAAGCCTTGCTGTTCATCATCGTCTTCATCTCTGGCCGGGCGATTGTAAGGTTGATATAAATATTAACAGGATTGATTACATGTTCCGATCGGTCGATCGATCACTATGAATGTTATAAATCAATCCTCCTACTAGGGAGTAAATGATTTCGATCTTTCCCCCCTGCTTTCTCTCTGAAAAAATTAAATGATTACGATGATCACTGGTGCAGAATGAATAAGAGAGGGAAACATGAAAACAGCTGGAGGAGAGAGTTATAGTGGCTGCATCCAATTACAGTAAGATTTAAAAGAGCAATAGTAAGTTTGTGAAGAATACTCACAAACTTCACAAATTTACTATTTATGGTTTAAATTTTCATTTTAAAATTATTTTAGACCATTTAATTTTTTTATTGAAATTCATAAATAGTAAATTTGTGAAGATTGTGACCATTGTATTTGTGAACCAAGTATTTCCCAGAGCAATAACTATTTACTATGCTCCACTAATTTGGCTGGTGCCTGGTGGGGTTGGGCACGAGCCACCGCCATCTACCTCTTGTTCCAAAAGGCTAACTCGGGGCGTCCCTCATCCCTATTAGACCAGATTGGGAGAAAATACAAAGGGTTATGCTACACTTACACTACAAATTGTACCCCATTTGTACACCACAGTTATACACAAACATTTTGATTCTTTACACCGACACAAGTGTTGGTGTATTAACAAAAATTTACACAGACACAAAGTGTTAGTGCATTAACAAAAATTAGTTTTACACCAACACAAAGTGTTGGTGCAAAGCTACGGGGTACAAAGTGGGGTACAAAATATGAAGTACAAATAGCTTTATCCAAATACAAAGGGTAATCATGAGAAAATAGAGGTTTGGAACAGTGCTAAATGTGCACAAAGAACTCCCTTCATTTTTGAGAACCGCCATCAAACTTAAATAATTATAGTCTATACTCCCTCCATCCCAAAAAAATTGACCATATACTGATTTTCAAGAGATTAAAAAGAACATATACTACATATATTGACCATATACTACTTCATTAATGTTTAATGAATAATTTTAATTTCAAAAAACATAAAGATAGAATTTTGATACAAGGTCACTTTTGAGGGTAAAATTGTCAATTTAATATAAAAGGTGTGAACATAGCCAAAATACAACACCCTTAAAAAAATATTTAAAAATGAAATGTGTATAGTTAGATTTTCTTGAAAAAGAGCCAATTATTGGTATCCACATATTTATTACCTTGGTGTCAAAATATAGAGAATAAGGGGCTGTTTGGCAACTTCTGAATGGGTAAGTGCTGAACTAGTAAGAGGTCTGAACCATTAAGTGCTGAACCAGTAAGAGGTCTGAACCATTAAGAGCTAGTATATTGCTTAACTATTCAGAGGCAAATGTCTGATCAATTCAGATAAGAGGTCTTAACCACTCAGACTCTGTATAATACTTAACCATTCAGAGGCAAATCTCTTAACCATTCAGACATCTGAACCATTAAGAGGCTGAAACAAACAGTCTAAACCATTAAGTGCTGAACCATTCAGACATTAAATAAGTGTAAAATATTTTTATGAACATCTAAAAAAAGAATGTGTAAGAAATTTATATAAGAATGGAGAGAGAGAGAGAGTAATTAACACCCAGGCCAGCCCAACAATTTGGCTGCCCATTTATATTTTGCTTTAGTAACAAGCCTACTCTGGGCCGAGGACCAATACATAGGCTTGAGGACGGCCAAAAGCTTTAAATAACTTTAAATATATTTGCATTCATATCTGAAATTGTTTCAATCACATCAGACCAAAGAAAACATGGCCTAATTGGCTATATAATATAAAAAATAGGGATTGATTTGCACCCTTTTTTACAAGAGAATTGATTTAATTTGCCCTTGGTATAACTAAAATCTTCAGTTGTTCTTAACAAGTAATACTCCCCACAACACTAAATTTCAATTTTTTTAAAAAAAAATAATTGTAAGATTTAGCAGTTTCATCATAATATAAATGATACTCAATAGATCTCTTTTTCAACAAGTACTTCTGATCTGATCTGATCTGCCTAAACAAAATACAGAGTACTACGGATATATTTACTCAACCCTGGCTTATAACATTCACATATAAAAATCTTAGGCACAATACATGCATGCTAAAGACCATCTTCTTTTTCTGCAGTGTTGTCTCTTGATCAACACTCATAATTACTACGGAGCAGAAATTACGTTGCGTTTTTCGGGACTTTCATGCCGAATCCACACTTCATTCTCTCAACTCTGCACTCAAGTTTCAAAGGGATCGTGTTAAGGTTCGCGGACCAATATAATCATACAGATATCAGAAAATATGGCAAGAGACTTACGTTGGAGCGAGCTTGCCCAGGCTCTCAAGCTCTTTGCCAGTATCCTCATCAAGCACTCTCCCAGAAATTTCAATGATATAAGACCGGCCTTTCAAATCCGGGAGCCCTCTGCTGCACAGTAATTGCAAGTCTTTGTCATGGAGCTGTCTCCCATTCACAAACACACCCGTGTTTCCACCAGTGCAGTTTTCCGGCATGGGATAGTTAAATTCTTCAATGAACGGCTGAAATGAAATGGGCAGGTTTTAATCATCAAAATTTGCAAGATATTACTAGCTATAGCCATGCTGCTTTCTTTTTTTTTCTTTCTTTCTTTGAGTGTTAAATCTTACAGGAATTATGCCAAGACAAGGACCTCCCATCACTCCCCAAAATCCAGCACGAAAGTCATACCTGCGTCACAATTAGAGTTTTGTGAGCAAGACATGCATATACATTACAACTTGAATTATTGTTTTTTTTCCTTGTTTAATTGTTCTTTCGAACTTGTCCTAAATGTTTTTTTTTAATAGGAAAGAAATCTACCACGAATGAACTTACCAGTATTGTCCGGGGCTAATTTTTCCCGCTAACCTTTCAGCTTTCTTGACTAACTCATCCGATATGCGATGCCCATTCACTATGACATCGCCCCTTTTCTCACCTAGGACGACCTGCTTATTGGACTTGAAACTTTTTTTGGCAATGGCAAAAAATGATCCATTGGGTTTGTTGGAATTGGTCTGGTCTCCCATGCTTGATTCGCCCGACTCTAAAGATGACCCAGTGTTAGCATACTCATTGGATGATATGTCCATCTCAGATGCCACCGGTACATCCTTCATGGAAGATTGAGATGAAAGGGTCTTCTTCTTTGACCTTGTTTTTTCTGGACTTGAGGGCCCACTCCCATTCCCAATCTTGAACCGATTTGCATTGCCATACTTGGTCGAATAATCAAAATGATCCTGCAATGGTGACCCCACAGGTGGGGGCGGCGGTGGTGGTGACACTTTCTCCTTAAGGGACAACTCCGTGGAGTTGATATCTTCTGCGTTCATGGAAGAAGATTTGGAATGACGGGTCCTACCCTCCATTGATCTGTGATCTTGATCCATTGCATGGAAATCATATCCGGAATTGTCAAAATCTTCAGATGAGAAAACAGTAACAGGACGATTCATCAGGTCTCCTGTCATATTATCATCTGATGAAGCAAACATGTCACCGTTTTTTTTGACTTGTCCGTGAATAGGAACGAGTCTCGTATTACGCACTTCAAAATCCATCACACAAGAGCATGCCCCACATTTCACCTTCATTTGTTGATTATCCCTTAGAAAAGCTCTCTTATAAGACAAATGAAGCAACTCCAAACAACTGTGGCAAACCAAGAACGGCGCGGCTCCAGCCACAGGGAGGCACCGTAGTCCACTAGGTTTAAGGGTCCGTTTCCTAATAGGAAGAGAACCTGAAATTCTGGGATCATAATTATGCAGACCAGACCTGCCTAAATGATCATGGTCATAAAAGTAAGGATTCTTGTGGGAGACATCATGGAACCTGTCAATCCCAATGGCAGGTGGAAGCACGCGGACAACATTTTGGCTTGTATTGTAGCAATGGAAGCAAGAACATGATGGATGATGAGGTGGAGGAGGATTAAAAACAGGACCATAAGGTTGAAAACCAAAACTTTGTGGATAAAAACCATGGCCAGGTAGGATTTCGTGCCTACCCATGGCAGGATATTGCGCAGAACCAAACCGATCATGGGAACCGCCGTAGGGATGATCCTGATTAACAATCTTCCTGTCGAGAGGGAGCCTGTCCTTGGGATTATCAACAATTTGACAAGATCGACTCAACTGTTCTTTCAGATCATCCAATTTCCTCATTAGCTCAGCTCTGTCATCTTCACCATATTCAACCTTGGAACTCTCCCCTCTGTCCCCTCTCCTAGGTAGTGGTTGATAGCCATAATCACACCCTAACTCGTAACTTGAGGAAGCATCAATGTCAAATCTCCGGCCTCTATTTGGACCGGCTGATATCCTTGCCTCCCCCCTTCTCCTGCCTACAAAACTCTCTGGTCTTTGCAACTCATTTTCACTTTCACATTCGGGAACCAAATTCTGAAGGGGTTCCCCATTTTTTTCTCGAATTTGTTCACCACTAATCTTAGATTTGTAGCTTTCAACTCTCCTCTCAGATATAGCAGAAGAACTACCTGCATTTGACTTCACATCAATCTCAGAACTATCGCTCAAGTTTTCCACTTTCTCAAACCTCTCAGAAATCCCCAATTCACCTTCTTCACCAGACTTGTCTGAAAATCTCTCCAAACCCTCAATTTTTTTCTTTGCTGTAACATTAATGCCAAGAGAAAAACCATCAAACCCATGAAAATCAAGAAAAAGAAAACATGAACTCCATGTTTAAGGAATCTGAAGTTCCTGTTCCGCAATCCCAGATGAAACAGTCGCACAAACCATAGAATCAGAACCCAAAAAAAGAAGGTTTTTTATACACGAAAACTTACCTCGTAAGACAACGCCACATCCGCCACACTGGTAAACGGAGAAACCAGTGACCTCTGGGAGCAGATTTGCGCAATTGGGGCAACGAACAAGACGAACTTTAGGTGGTTCGGACATCATCAAATGAAGCTGAAACAAGGTGTTGAAAACTGAATCTTTAAAGAAAGAAGAAGAAGAAGAAGCAGCATAATCACCGCATCATATGTTCAATCAATCCGCGCATCTAACAATCATAATGGGTATCGCTGGAGAAAATGAAGGTGCAAAAACATCAACTGGGGGGGGGGGGGAGTTCGTAGACTGAAATGAACATGGAGTTGAATTCTTGTCTGTTTAGGGAGAGCAGGTGGAAGAAAGAATACCAAGATGTATAGCAATGAAAAAAAATCACCTTTGCTTTCACATGCTGGGTCGTGTTTAGTTTGGTGCACCCCAAGTCACCAACCATCAATTTGCCAAAAAATATGTCTACCACACAACATGCACATTAAATTATTAAATTTTACAAGTTCTAAAAATTTTATTTGGATGACTTTTGTTGTTTTGACTTATTTTACAAGTAGTTGTTTTGACTGGTTAAACTGTTAGATACAGTTTGGCAATCACAGTTGGAGTTGGGTTGTTGGCTATTCGTGTTCGTCTGTTCGAAAAGCCAAGATATGAAAAACTAGATAGAATAGACTTTCGAGTAGGATGTTGGACGAAATAGAATATATTTAATTATATTAAAACTATTTATTGTATAAATAAATATATAAATAAACAAATAAATGAGTAAATAATACAAAGTAACTACTTTCTCATTCTCCAAAAAAAATCACCGGTTATCTTCAAGGTAACAAAAAGTTTTTTCAAATTATTTTATTTAAAATTGATACAGAATTAAAAAATTTAAAAGACTAAGCCTTTTAAAAAATACTCCCTCCGTCCCACTCTCTTTGTCCACTTACCTTTTGGCACACCATCCAATACACTTCTTTAATCCATTTTATCTTGTAATTTGTATATTAAAAAATTATAGAAATTATATATTAATAATCTATATGTTAAGACAAATCAAACAAGATCGCACATGACTATATTTAGACTTACACATTGAGAGAATTTGATGAGTCAAAGTGCTTAGATGAACAGTTCCAAAAGTCAAAAGTGGACAAAGAGAGTGGAACGGAGGTACTACATAAGTAAAAACGAAATTATCGACTTTAGAATAGGAACTTAGAATTCATTTGGCGATGGAGGGAATAAATATAAATAAATAAATAAAATACTACCTCCGTCCCGCTATATTCGTCCACTTTTGACTTTTGGAACTGTTCATCTAAGTACTTTGACTCATCAAATTCTCTCAATGTGTAAGCCTAAATATAGTCATGTGTGATCTTGTTTGATTTGTCTTAACATATAGATTATTAATATATAATTTTTATAATTTTTTAATATACAAATTACAATATAAAATGGATTAAAGAAGTGCATTGGATGGTGTGCAAAAATGAAAGTGGACAAATACTCTGGGACGGAGGGAGTATTAGGTATATGACTTGTATTATACCCCACTCCCAAAAAAGGCTTTATGTTTGATTTGGCACAAAATTAAGAAAAGTAAAAATGTGTTATTGAAAGTGATGCAGAAGAGAAAGAAAGATTATATTTCACTTATAATTTTCCATAAATAAAAAAAATTTTGAAATGCTCTAAAAAGGGAAAAATGAGTCTTTTTTTGGAAGGAGGAGGTTTTATACGAAGTATAATTTATAAAATATAACTTAAAAAATTACTCTCTCCGTCCCCAATTTGATTATAAATTGCGGGTTACGGAGTAAAATTTCCTAGTTTTTGAAATCATTTTATTTACAAATTGGTATATCAATAAGATATAAAAATTACATATTAAAAAACTACGTCAAAAGTTCTACAAAATAAGAGGTGATAAGAATATTTTATTTTATCAAATACTTAATGAAATCAAGTAAACAAACAAAAGTTATCGAAAGGAAAGAAGAAAAAAAATTGTAGTCTATTTAGGGACGGAGGAGTATATAATACTCCCTATTATATACTCCCTCCGTCCGCCTAAGATGTTCTCATTTTGACTTTTGGTGGTTTTTAAGGAGAGTTGAAAAAAGGTAAAAGTTTACCATAATACCCTTAATGAAAAATGGGTGGAGTGTATTAAATGAGGTGGGTGAGGTGTAATAAATAAAGTAAGTGGGGGTAGTTGTGTTATTTTATTTGTTAAAAAATGAAATGAGAAGATCTATTGTGGACAAAGAAAAAGGACTATTGGGAAGATCTATGGACAGAGGGAGTAAATTATATTCTTCCAATATTTTTTTCTTGTGCTAGAGTATGGTGGAGCAGAAGTAATTTCTAGTACAGCTTTCCCCTCAACGAGCAATTCGGCTGAAGATTTGAAATTGAAGAATAGCAAACTGTATTAAACATGAACAGCATTCACCGCAGCAATGGAGTGTTTGGATTTTAATCCCAGGTTTTTCATCTTAATAGATCTTATCTTAATACGGAGTGTGTATGATTATCTGTTGCCCCAGTAGATCTTTAAAAGGAAGTGATTTTGCCCAGTTTTCGCCCATGGAATCAGCTTAAATGAAATCCATCCCCCATTACATCTTTGAAAGGTAAAGGGCACCACAGTAAGGTACTACTGGATTTTACTATATTTTTCATAATTCTTTCTTTTTCCTTGTGTCTAAATTACACAAAATAATGGTTCATGCCAATCAGATTTGTTTGAAACACTTAACCCCGAAAATGATATCTAGCTACTTTGCAGCATCCTAGCTTCATTGCAAGAGATCGATTATATGCAATTGCATGCTTTCTGGCATAGGTTGCAATCTTCATGAAATAAACAATCTTGCAATTCTTAATGAGTAGATATTTCAAACACTGTACTTGCTAGGAGTGTGTGAGCTTAATTTGAATCCTCAGAGCATACGTAACAATGGGAAGTGCCTATTGGGATTAGGAGTTTCAACTCCTAAACAAAGGGAGAAAAATGTTAGCAATATCCTGCATCTGAATAACTGAATTCTGGTACTATGAATTTCAGCCAACTTAAATGCCAAATTAACAAAAATATGGCTATGTTAATCTCTAAGCTTTATCACACCCTATTATAATGTTGGCAATTCTTAACGAGGCCAATTGTGGATGAAATAGCCAGGTTGGATTAATGTCTTGAAAGTAGAAATTTTAAGGGAGCTCAGAATCTGACATGTGACCAGAAATCCTTCTTTCTCTTGGGCTCATAACCATCAACTGACTCTCAGAGTTCATTCTCTTAGGACGTCCATATCGGCTCATATGCGGAGGCCTGACTGAAGTGACAGAACGTCCCCTTGGTGTTCCTAATCATGTTCAAATCACAGCAGTGTTAGCTCTATAGGCATGCAGTAAGTTGATTGCAATATTTTTCAAAACGCTTTACTTGATGTAATTATGTATCTACTCAATCAAAACTTGAGACCTAGGAAAGGTTTTATTTTCTAAGCACACCTGGCTGTTTGCTTGATTTGATGTCAACAGATTTCTTTGATATTGAAAGCTTTTTGCTCAAAACTTCTGGTGAACCGAGAGACTTTCTCTCAGTAGGTGATGGGAGTGGGTCTTCTGCAATCAAACCATCATCTCCACAAGCTGAAGCATCACTTCCCGATTCAGAGTTATTTTCCCCAGCTGATTTTTCCCTTTCTGCCATTTTATATGCAAACATTTGGAAAGGGATCTGTGTTACTTGCAATGGAGTTTGTGCCATTTTATTTGCAAAGAAAGCATCACTGTAGTCTAATGGCGGCATGGGTGAATCTGGCTGTTGCGCGTGTTCTGGGTTCAGAACCATGAACCGTTTTATGTAGCGAAGGATCCTGCAGATGGATGAGAATCCTGGCCGTTGGTTGGGATCGGCATGCCAGCACTTCTTTGTTAAGCTTGTCAGATACTTTGGCAAAGGAAAGGGGAAGAGAGGCCTCTCCCCCACCCTTATGTTTCTGCTCATTTTCTCTCCTTGGAGATGCCCGTCTTCAAATGGGACCTTCCCCGTCAACACCTCAAAGCAAATCATCCCAAAACTGTACACATCAGACTTCTCAGAGTACTCTTCTGGTTCAGCGAGGACTTCTGGCGCATGCCAGATGTAACTGAGTGAGTTTTGTTGATTAGAATGTGTTTTCCGAGTGTGGCTTACGCCAAAACCAGAAACCTTAGCGTGCAAGTAACCTTCCACATGGGGGCTTCTGGCTTTTACTAGGACATTATAAGGGTTTAAATTCCCATGATTAATCTTCTTCGAATGGAGATATTCCATGCCCCTTGCAACCTGAAGCATCAAGTCAACTGCAGCTGGGAGAGAAAAGGGGACCCGTTTCTTCGGACCACAAACCTCTTTGATGTAACTGGATAGGTCCTTGATCATGAGATCCATGATAAGGAAACACTCTTTCTTCTCTTCATCCGTGAAGCCACAGAATATTTGCAACACGTTTGGGTGTGAGAGTACAAGTTCGCGAGAGATTTCTGAGACTAGCGGTTCAATGTCACCAAAAAAGTGTCTCAGACAGAAGCTCTCACCCAACCACTGAACCTCCTTGTACTGGCTATCGATTTCCAACCGCCGCCTCACGTGGTAGTCTTTGGACCCAACTAAAGCCGTGCAGGGCACCAGTTTATCTGGTGGTGATGATGGGTCCACAATGTTTAAGTTCCTCAAGAGGAGATCGGCAAGTCGCTGCTCCTGCTTAGACGAAACCTTCCTCTCCTGGACTTTTGTCTTCAGGACCCATCTGTCCTCGTTCCACGCCGAGTTTATCCGAGTGCAGAAATCTGGAGAAATCAGGTACTGGTTCCCGAATCTCCAGTTAAAGATTCTCTGGTCTTTACACTCCTTGAGATACTTGAGTGCGTAAACAGTTCTCTTCTTCTGGATCTCGTCGTGGTCAAAACCGGAGACTTCTCCAGCCATTTCGATGGCCTCAATCACAACAGAGAAGCAGGAGAGAAGGTTGTGGATGTGGAATTCTACGCAGTCGGTGTTCTGGTACAGGGTTATGGCTTTTGCCCAGAAATCTTTTGCGTCCAAACAGTGCCTGACGTACATTTCGCCCTCTCTGAATACCCTGAGGAGCTCTCTCAGTGGGGCTTCCATGACTTTCCACTTGAAATTCCTCTCTTCAAATCTGAGGTTCTGTTTCATCAAGTCTGCAGTTGTGTTGTATGCACAGGTGAGCATGTCCACCAATAAACAGCATTGCCTCTGGTTCACCTGTATGCAGTCTTGGAAAACCATTAAAGCCTTGATGCCTCCTAGTGCCTCCCCGATCTGCCTGAATTGTTCCATCTGGAAATCTGCATTAAAGGTAATGAATCAGTCTGGATTTGATCCTTTTACAATTCTTTTTTTCAAGGGCTGATGAATGAATGAATGAATTCACATTATGGTTTTTATTATCAAACAAAAACTCACCAATAGATGATGGTCGGAAGCATGCAGAGATTATGTTTCTCTCCTGATTTAGATGGATCAGTACTTGGAAAAAAACCAGATTCTTTTCTTGAAATGCAGAAGTGCGCCGTAGATCAAGAGTGAGTATGAAACAAACACACACACACACACACTCTCGATCTCTTTATCTCTCCAAACACAATCCAATGAAGATCTTGGAAAAAAAAAGCAATTTCTCTAAATTTTGGTTGTGTTAGATTAGATTTGATGATCATGTGAAAAGCAATTTCAACAAAGTTCGCAGTTTGTGTGTTCCAATACTCCGTAGAATATATTCCATCTCTCACCCATATATTTCTTATTAACACTTTTTTATTTGTTTCTCATGCATACAATTATACAAATACGATACCACTAAAGTACTACTTATAAAAATAAGGAAAAATTACCCAAAATAATCCCAACTTTACCCGGTCTTTCAAAAATAATCCTATCTTTCACTGTGATGCATAATAATCCCAACTTTATTGAAATTTGCCAGATTTGGGTTGCCGTTAACTTTCTAACGGAGGGTTAATGGAAATGCCCGTTTTAGGCAACAAAAAGAAAGTTGGGATTATTTTTAATGAATTTTTTTAATTTTTTTAAAATTTTTATTTAAATTTTTTGAATTACTTTCAACCTCCATTTCTTTTCTTTTTTAAAGATTATTCTTACCTTAAAAAAAAAATAGATATAAAAAACAATGAAAATGAAAAAAATAATTAAAACCATACAAAATTAATCAAATAAATAATGTAATCAATAGAAATTAAACAGAAACTGGGAAGAAATAAAATAAATATATACAGAGTGGTGGATTTTAACATTTTACACATTATACGGAATCTTAATGTACTACTTATTTTTTAAAAGAATAAGCCGTCTGGTAAAGTTGGAATTATTGTAGATAAGTTTTTTCTAAAAAATAAGAAGTGATATGTTAAGACTTTATATAGTGCATAAAATATTAAAACCCACCCACATATTTTTATTTTACTTATTACCAATTTCAAGTTAGTTCCTATTGATTACCTTATTTATTTTATTATTTTTGTATCATTTTAGGTACATTTCTTATTTTTCAATTTTTTATATCTATTATTTTTGTAAACTAAGACTAATCGTTAAAAAGGAAAAAGAAATAATGATGGAGGTAGAAAGTAATTTTTATATCTATTTTTTTGCACTTCGGACAGAAGAAATAATCCCAAACAATGTTTGACACACTCCTGGAGGCTTCACACCATTTGGAATATCTCTGAAAGCCTATAATTCATTGAAACTTTTTTTAATCAAACCTTCAATCTAGAGGTGTCAATGCCCATTCTGTTCAAATATATACTGAACACACAAAACAAAATGTTTAAAATAAATGTAATAACTACGATGTGATATATTTAATTAAAAGAAAATAATATTTCAGACAAATTAAAGAATTTTCAAGTACATATTTAACAATCAAGTTTATATTCGTTGGGAATATCTTTAAAATATAAATTCTGGACTATATCATCTTTAAAATTCTCTAATTTTTTTATTTGAGACAATATCCATCATTTATCCGATTAAAATAGAAATACTTAATTTTTTTAATTTTAACACATTTTTATTTCAAATCGACTTGGAGGAGGGTATTATAATGCGTTCAAGGTATTTTTTGAAAATTAAATTCCAACTCATACTTAATACTTATTTTCAATATTTTATTCTTACTTTAGTCTTTTCCCCCTAAAATACTCCTTCTGTCTCAAAAATTTCTTTTTATTTAACTTCGTGGTCTCTAATGTACGGAGTAATTTATAAATATTGCTCCGTCGCTGTTTTGCAGGTTTGTAAAAGTTCATCATTGGTCCATTGGAGACCAACCGGCGATGACAACATATTTACGATGGATTAGCGACAACATATTTACGATGGATAAACCGTTGCAGATTTATCCGAGAATATGAATCTGCTATAATTTTGTCGAGTTTGCGATAGAAATTACCCGTTGCAAATCTGACAACTTTTTGTAGTGGTAAATTTTAATTATACGAGTTGTTCCATTGTAGTTTTAAAAATTGGAAAATGCTAAAAACCTCCCACCCTTGCTACCAACCATGCCTCCCTACATAAACATGTGGTAGGCAGGCAAGAAAGCTAAAATTACAGAATGGGTGGGGAATGAGTAGAGATAAATATGTGGTGGAGAAGTGGGTGGAGGCAAGATTAGTAGCAAGGGTGGGGGGTGTGTAACACGGTCCTTAAAAATTTACATTTGAAATGTGATTCTACTCACATATTTTGAATGAACTTAAAGTTAGATCTTTCTTTTTTAAAAGTCAAACAAAAATAATCATTTTAAATATTAAGGTCATGTAATGACCATTAACCTAAAGACCACAATAAAAGTCAGAGAAATACTAGAGTCGCAAGCACTACGGTCACAGAATACATAAATTTGTCATTTATGCTTCTCACCAAGTAAATAAAATAATGTTAAATAATTAAAAAATAAATATTTAAATATACAAATAATAAGTTTGTGTATTTTACTATAACGGAAGTATTTGTGATTCTAATATTTCTTTAAAAATTACCTAATTATACGGAGGATAATTAATTAGACTATTCCTTAATTATTTAGTAAAAAAGACTTTGGGGCTTTTATTATTCCGTTTAGCGATATAGGAGTTGTTTTTGACAAATGTCGCGCCTTCATGAATGGGGTGAATTGTCGTCCCTGCGTGCATCATCATCCTATGTGGGCCAGGCTACAAAATTATTTTTGTACAAATGTGAAAAACTTACTCCCTATTTTTAAATTTCATGTAAAGTTTATTTTTAAGTTTGGGACAGAGAAGTTTTTGTTTAACTTATCATCAATTGTGTGTACAAATATATACTCAATCAGTCTCAGAGTATTTGTCACGTTTTGACTTTTTTATAGTCAATCAGAACTAACATTTTTCTTATAGTTAAATAAGAATTACATGGTACGAAGTATATTAATTACATAAAATATTATTTTGAATAATATGTTTGAATATACAAAATAAATCTAATAAACTTATTTTTGAATTGATGTTTAATATAAATTTCATTATACTAATATTCAAAATTTATCAATTTTGATTGAAAAAAACCCAGAACTAAACAAATACTCTGTATATAGACACTCTATGTGTGTATATATATGGACAAGCCGACCTTGTTCTTTAATGAATTAAGACTTGATAAGTAATTAATGAGATCAATTGTGCCATTATAATTAATGATGTTGAAGTTGAAGCTCCAATATTATTCTCTCCCCCATCGTCCATGCCTTTTAACTCTCCTCTTAATAATATTATCAATAATGCCTCTGGATTTTATCCGCTGCGAAGTGGGCACCGCTAGCTGGAACTCCCCGCCATTCTTACGTAAGTTAGTTAGTTCATAAAACACACATATATAAATTAGCGTTTTCATTTTGAATATATACCATGCATTATTATTATTATTGGGAATCTGTAATGTCAAGTCGTGTGACATCCTAACACCAGTGGGTTTTGGGACACCTACGATGCTTTGTTCGTAAAAATGATGGTTCCTACTGTTACCTCCCTAAACTTCCTCACAAACCACCCGGCCCATCAATTTCTCCCAACCACTGCACCCCCCCTATCGCCGATTTGGAGAAATTGATGGGTTAGAGGGTTTAGGGAGTAGGAACAATCAATTCTACGAACGGAGTATTGCAGGTGTTCCAAAACCACTGGTGTCACGAAGAGGTGTTGTTTTTGTTGGGGTGACATTACGGTATGTATGATATTTTATATATATATATATATATATATATATATATATATATATTTATAAATATATAATGACAGCTACGGCTTGTTATGGATTCGATCTCGGGCAATTTCCGTCAGGGTATGTTTGGGAACATGGATTTGGATTTCAAATTCGGATTTGGCTTAAATTCCATGTTTGGGAAACTTAAGCATTTTAAATTTGGATTTGAATCAAATTCTTTACATTCAAAATCAAGCTTAATTTGAAATCCATGCACCTCCCCTTGTCATTTGAAATTCATGATTTCAAATTTTGGAATTGAAATGCATGAATTGAAATGAAATGCTAGTTGCCAAACACTACCTCAAGTAATTTGTTTGGAGCAGTAGGAGAAGGGATATGGGATAATGGAGCAGCTTGTGGGAGGCAATATTTGGTGAAGTGTATAAGTGCATCCATACCGGGGACGTGTATTCCGAATCAAGTTATTCAAGTTAGGATCGTCGATTATTCACTACGACTGGTTTCCTCACCAAAAAAGGATGGCACAACCATGGTCCTCTCCGATACCGCTTTTGGCACTATTGCAAACCTATCTGCCGATTCCATTAACATTGAATTTCAATAGTAAGTTTTCCCTGTGTATATATAATGATGCTTACTTTTTGAGGTTATCATTTTTCTCATTAAGATTTGTTCAAATCAGATCTAACCAGATCAGATTAAAAATAGATTTAAACATAGTTACAATCCGAATAGATTGGATCCAATCAGATCTTATAAGATCAGATCCTACCAGATCAGGTCTAATTAGATCATATCCGATCAGATCATCAAAAATCACATAAGATGATCAGGCGAACACAATGGAATCTAAGAGTAAGAAATTTTTTGTGGTAAAAATAATGGAAATATTAAGTCTTTTGCAAAAAAAAGGATAATCTAACTCTCAATCCATGCAAATTGTGTGTGTGTGTCTTAGATCATTTTTAATTACAGTTACTAACAAAGAGTTCTTAACTAAGATACAATTGTTTCATTAAGCAACTCTGTTGAAAAATTAAGCAACTGGTACTCCACATAAGCCCCACATCAACTTTTTTAGTTGAATCAACTCCTTAAGCATCTTGTACTAAAGATGCTCTTACATTATCTTTAATAGCGAGTGCTTGATGAGTTGCTTAGGCTTTGTTTGGTAACAGCGTTTTCGATTAGCGTTAGCGTTTTGGATAAAATTTTAACGGTGCAGATTATTTCTGAAAACGCTAACGCTAAAGGCTACCGTCGGATAACTTTTTCAAAACGCTAACGCTAATCTCTGACGCTGATGCCAAACGGGGCCTTAGTTTAAGCAATTGCTTATGAAAAAATCTCATTAAAGCTAATCTAGGTGGCACACAAAGTTGCTTACATATAAGCACCGTTGCTTCCACGAGCAACCGTATCTTAAGATATAAAAATATTTTTTTAATAACAACCAATAAAAGTTAGTGTGGAAAAAATATTTATTATTATAGTAAAAGATGAATAAATTGTTTATGGTGTTGGTTTGATGATGTGGCAGTGCACTATAGGGACAATTTATGATGCCAAATATTTGAATCCTGAGCTCTTTCAAATAAAGATGCTCTTAGGATCATAAAAAACAACTCTAAAAGAGAAGTTTTAAATTAAATACTCTCCTCGTTCCTAAATAGATTGCGGCACACTACATGATTTCAAAATCAGGGTACCTTTTATTTATTTACTCCGCATATATTTTCGTTGATAATTTTATCAATTATATTACTCTTATCACCTCTTGTTATATACAAATTACAACTTTTAACATAGTTTATAAATATGTAGTTTTATTTTTTTTCCTATAATAATTTTTAAATAAAATATATTGAAATTTTTTTTAGATACCTCTGGACTTGGCTTGCATCCATCTCGCTATTTAGGGAGGAGGGTATCATACGGAGTAATTCATAACCTTTGTTACAGTCAATTTGTGTTTTGACCATTGCAAATTTTAAAAAAACAAAGTCTTCTTATAAAAATAATCCATATAAGGAAAACATTTACTTAAATAATACGGAGTACTAAAATAGTGGTACCACTAATCATTGCCCACGTGTCATTGTTCAAGTAAATGTCCACCGTCAATAGATATTGTTCGAACTAAATGTCTATCCATATTATTACTGGACATTGTTCTCGTCACTAGACATTATTCAAGTACTATTTAGGAAATAAAAAAATTTCAATACAATATTGGAAAATGACATACTCCCTCCGTCCCTAAATAAACTTCCCCTTTAGTTTTTTCTGTCTCCAAATAAATTTCTTTTTTCCCTTAAAAAACCCATTTTACCCCTTACTTTTTCATACCCTACATATCACATCGTACTTTTTTACTAATAATCTACCTATCACATCTTACTTTTACACATCACATCAAGGGTATTTTTGGAAAGTCAACACAAAAATATCTCTCCCTTAAATTCTCAAAAAGTCAAAAATGGAAATTTATTTAGGGACGGGGGAGTATATTTGAATACTATTTAGTGTAAATTTCACACTTTATAATTTTTTTTAAACAATCCAAATAAAAAAGACCGAATTTGTCTAAAAAGGTTGGAAAATGAAATGCCCACTTTGCTTGTTGCAAGATTAATTACGGAGTATTAAATCCTTACTTTACAGCCATTTACCTAGTTAATATCGGTTACAATTTTTCATTTTTCTTTAAGTAATGCTAGAGTCACAAACACATCGTTCACAAAATTCACAAATTTACCTTTCTAATGTTTTTCTATAAATAAGATTCACTTAAATAATAAAAGATATCTTAATTTAAAATACAGAAAAAACAAGTTTATAAAGTTTGTGAACTATATGTTTGTGACTCTAGCATTTTCTTTTTTTTTTAAGTTATCAAATAATATTATGATTTTTTTTAATTTCTGATTATAATGGGATTTAATGTTTCATGTGCAGGATTTAAATATTGGTGACATTGTGTTTTTCAAATAATACGTACTTGTATTCATATGTAATCAGCAACGTTTTTTTGTTGCTAGCTAGCTACTCTACAATGTTTTTGCCTTTCGAATGGAAAAAATCAAAGGAGTATTTATCTCGGTATCCTATAGTCTAATTAATATAGTTCAATTTATTATTATTATTACTATTATTATTATTCAGTATTATTATTAATATAATTAGATATTCATAAATAAATATATATAATGTTGTTATGTACATAATATTTGTTTTTGGATGGTACAATATAATACAGAGTATTATCGAATAAAGAAAATATCGGAAAATTATTTGATGTTCCTACACAATTTAACAAAGATTAGTTCAATTAAATTATTTGTTAATATCAAAACAAGAGATTAAGCATACAAAGGCTAACATTAGGTCAATTGTTCTTATCATCCATTCCATATTTCATGCAAAACCAACATATTTTCAGTTTAAAGTTGTGAAGTTATTTTCAAATCAATAAATATAAGATTTGAAGTTAAATTAAAAATAAAATTTACATATTTAAAAATTACTTCGAAAGTTATACAAACAAGTGGTGACATGATTATATTTTTTATCAAACGACTAACGAAAATTGGTAAAAAAATAAGAAAAATTTGAGCTTGTAAATAATAAACATGCAGTTTAATTTGAGGCAGAGATCGAGAGTACTTCGCATATGCTTTCTACACATGATTGTGCAAATCCATATTTTCAAGAACAAGTTATCAAGTTTTATAGGAACATGGAATTAAGGCCAGGCCATGTTTAGAAGTTGGTTGTCATATGTTATGAATGTCTTTTTTGTTTAACTGGTTTGATTTCGATCATAAATTAAAAATTACGGAGTAATTGATAAGATTAGCTATTTTCAAATAGCTCTCTCAAGATTTAAAATTAAAAAATACTTTGTATATAGAAATTTGATGCATATTACACACATAGACACGGACATTATTTTAACCAAATAAATACAATACTTGGCTTTTCATTTTTGTCCATGTAAAAGTTAAGGCTTCATTTGGATAAGAGGAACAAACTAAAAGAAAGAAAATGGCAGGGAAAAATGAAGAGGAGAGAAAATAGAAAGAAAATAAATGGAGCTTCCTTAAATTTTTCCTCCGGATTTTCATTTCCTCATCCAAACAAACCCAGTGGACAAAAATCTAGAAAATTTTGAGAAGAACAAAACATGAACGGCTTCACTGATGCCAGCAAACAAAAACATAATAATGACTTCATTTGGTCTGGTTTTTGGTGCGGCAAAATAGACATCATCATCATAAAACATCCGATCAAATGTTCATAATAAACATAATTACATCATTATACGATCTTAATTTATAATTACCTCCATATATATCCCAATAAGTAATAATAACAACGTAACGGACTCCAACTCTTTCAAAGAAATGAAAGAATACCAGAGGCATTGTGTTATATTATGACATCAACTCTTTTCATTGAGCCATTAAAGAAATTCATCTCTCGTTTTCCCGATATTACCCTCTCCCCCTTCACCCCTTTCTACAGTTTTGTCTCCTTAATCCGGGGACTCTTTCGACAATGAAATAAACTTGTTTGGGATAACTCCAAATTTCGCTGCCCCCACCCCGGCCCTTTCGCCGGCCGCCGGATTCTGCCCGCGCCCCCCACGATTCAAAAATAGCTCAAAAGCGTTTAGTGTCATAATATAACATTGCGCCCTGAGTGTCATTTAATTTACCTTAGGATTTTGATCTAATCAAACACAAAATCGTCCACGTCCCACGAACAAGCCAAAAAGTCCTCATCAGCTCCAAAATCCATCGGAATATCGTCCAAACTCTCCCCAATCTCCGCCTCCGGCAATACTATCATTTCCCCCGTTTGGTAATCCGGCAACAACGACGGCGACCAGGAATCCAACAGCCCGTCTAGGCCATCTAAGAAGCAATGATCGGTTCCGAATTCGCCGTCTTGGCCGCCGCATGCCGCTAAAACGGAAGTGGGAGACGGGGTGATTTCAGAGTCTCCCGTGGAGTCGTAGTCGGAGTGTGGCGGGGCGGCGGACTTCGGCGGCGGCGTCAAGAAATTGGTTGTGGCGTCGGGGCCGCGCAACTGGATCGCGGCTGCGTCGTAAACATGAGCGGCCTCCTCGGCCGTGTCGAACGTGCCTAACCATTTCCGGGTTTTCCGAATCGGATCCCGAATCTCCGCCGCCCATTTCCCCCACGGCATGCGCCGCACTCCCCTGAACTTCCGATGATCGCCCGCCATGGCTGCCGCCTCCGCCGGCGGCTTCTTCCCCCCTCTTGTTGCTCTTCTCATTAGCAGAAGCAACACTCTTCTTCCTCTCTAGCCTGACCTCGCTCACATGCTTCTTGGTGGTCCGCCGGAAAACACCGTCCTCCTCCACATCATCATCATCAGAGGAAGAGTCCGTGGCATCGTCATCCGTCACGGAAATCCTTATGACCCGAGGCATCCGTCCATTTTCTAGCTTCTTCACAGTGACATTCTTCTCAACTCTGTATTTCACCAGAAGAGAATTACTATTATCCTCCATGGCCATCCTTTTAGCTTTAGATCAAATCTCAGAATGGAGAAATGAGAGTTAGGACTGACTAATTCTTTTTAAGGGCAATTTGAAGAATTTAAAGAAGGTGAATAGTGCAGTTGAAGAAGTAAACTAATAGTCTAATACTTCAAAATGTGAGATTATTAAAGATGACATGTCCATCCAAAATAATTTTTATCTTCTTTTTTTCTATAAAATTTTTTTATTTGATTTTAACTATCACAAAATTTCCCTCTTTAAAAAAAATCTTTGTTTAGTTTTAGGAGGTTAAGAAAAAAATATTGAAAAAGTGAAAAAACTAGGATTAGAATTTAATGCGGACAATTTTTTACTATATATGGAGAAAAGTCATGATATTTTGGCACGTTCAAAAAAAAAGATTGAAGTTTATTTAAAAACGGAGGGAGTTTATTTGTAATAAGAGAAAAACTTAATAGATTTAATTTACCATTGTAATTTTAAATTTTTATTTTGTCCACATAAAAATCAATTTCAATAAGTTTAAAAAATGTTCTAAATTAGTTGAATGTGTGATATCCTTTTTTTTCAAGATAATATTCACTTTTTCTTGGGTCGTTCCAAAATAAAACATCATCTTTATAAATATAAAATATTAGATATGTTTTTTATACAAACAATTTCATTTTGTTTTTAATGTTTTTTAGTATTCCAAAAGTAACAATTTTGTTAGATTTTTATGGGTGTTCAAAAAGACCAAATAGAGAGTATTTGAATGCCGTACCGAGTCAGCCATTCTTGGACCCCAAGAAATTGGGTTTTGGAGGTAAATATATGATTGATCGTTAATTATTACGGTGATAAATTAAATATAGTAATCACTCGAGAAAATCACCTCGTGATTAATTGCACTTGTCACCCAATTAAATTGGTACTTCGTATGGAACATGGACATGTATTTCCTTTCACTTTCTTTTATTTCTCTTAAAAAGTATGTGGAAGATGAAAAGAATATTTATTGCCTACCGAATATATTTAGCAAAAAATAAATTTTTTTCCATTAATAAATTAGTGTATTCAATTTCCACTACTGCCAGGCTATTATTGTACAATAACTGCTATGTATAAATTTATTGCCTAAATTTAACTTGATTAATACGTAGAGAATATTTGGAATTGTGAATTACATATATACTGGAGTACTGGACTACAAAATGAAGTTGTATGATTGAAAATGATACAGAAAAAATTAGAAATATAAAATCTACGAAGACAAAATATATGATGCAAGGAAATTAAGAATTACTTCGCACTAAAAAGAGAAATCTCTCTTAACAAAATACTTAATTAAGTCAAAACATGATTCATGTACCAAAATACGTAACATGACATCTAACGTTAAATAATGTCAAAGAACACTATAAAATGAGATCTTCTATGGATAAAAGTAAAAAACTATGAGAAAAGAAAACTAAGATTATTCCGTCTTTTAAGACCAAAATAAGAGTTTACAATGTCATTGGTACATTGCCACACTCATTACATTATCACAATGCAACTGTCACACTATCACTACTGCACTATCATCCGTCGTTTTCATCCACCAAAGTGTCATCGCTTGTCGCCGACAGTTGAGTGATATATTACACTATCATTATGTTTTATTACAGTGTCAATATATATACTCTTACATCACACTAACATTATATTTTTATGTTGAGTGAAATCTTATGTATTTTATCTATAAATTAGTATAGAAATAAAATAATACAAATTATATATATTTAAAAAAGCTACATAAAAATTTTACAAAATAAGATACGACAAAAATATATTCCGAAAAATAGATGAGCATACAAAAGTTAACGAAAAACTCAAATATTCCTTCCGTCCCGGAGTATTCGTCCAATTTTGACTTTTGGAATTATTCATCTAAGCACTTTGACCCATCCAATTCTCTCAATGAGTAAGCCTAAATATAGTTATGTGTGATCTTGTTTGATTTGTTTTAACATATAGATTATTAATATATAATTTCTATATTTTTTTAATATACAAATTACAAGATAAAATGGATTAAAGAAGTGTATTGGATGGTGTGTAAAAATGAAAATGGACAAATAATCTGGGACGGAGGTAGTACTCCGTAGTTAAAAAGAGGAACACATGGCTATAANTAGGCACTGTAAAAAGGAGGAGCAAAGCAGTCAAAAGGGTTGCAGGAAGATAGATAGATGATGACAGTCCGACTCGTTTTCAAAAGTTAAAAAAAAAACAAAAAAAAAAAAAAGGACTGCAGGGTTAAATTAGAAGGACAGTATCCGTACAGACAAGGGTCACAGACCCAGGTAAAGCTTGACCCCCAAGGCAATTTGTACCAATCAAAGGCCGCGCATTCAATGAATCAATCCATCAATTAATTCCTACCCGCCCGCCCAACTTGTTCCTCCTCAGTCCTCACCCCTAACCCTTCCCAACTTGTACCCTATTTATACACCACCATTTTTACCTCATTTGTACACCAAGTTAATACAGACACAGACACACACAAAATATCTATGATGCACAGACACTTTGTGTTTGTAATAGCCCTATGTACTACAAATGGGGTACCCCACGTTGCTATACCCTAATATTTCCTCCCAAATTATTGTCTTTATGAAAAACAAGAATACTAGACGATGACACTATGTATATGTTTGTGAAACACTTACTATCAAATTTTTTGTGTCAAACTTTGTAAATTTTTTGTGTCAGAATGAATCATATCAAGTGAAAGAGAACAAACCTTTAATGCATACTTCGTACTTGTTAACAAAACAATATCTTCGGGTTCATCAAAGATTTCTATAAAAACCATTCCAAACACAATTGGAACGTTGGTGGAACACGCAGATAAAATTTGAAACTTTTTTTTTACACAAGGAGAAAACTTAAAGTGGAAATGGTGGGATTAACCCATAGCGTACTTCTGGGTCCAGGCCCTGGCACTTGTTTCGTACTTGCTTCGGTCGGTCTTGTACATGTGGGCAATCTCGGGCACCAACGGATCGTCAGGGTTTGGATCCGTCAAAAGAGAACAAATCGAAAGAAGCACCTGAAAGTATACACATTTCTTAAATTGGTGCAGTTCTTTTTCTCAAACCCATTGCTTTCCTATATTGTCCCAAATACCAATAGATTGCCACACTTTTTTTACACACCAATGGAAGGGACGACATAAACTATTCAAACTAATAATGCACACAAAAAGGGGCATCATATTCATAATTTATATCATGAAACAATTCTTTTTTCATTTGTATCACATTGGTTATAAGTGAAATAGTAAGAGACATCGAATGTAACAAAACCTTGGAGATAGTCAAAGCAGGGCTCCACTGGTCCTTTAGAATATCAAGGCATATGCTTCCATTGCTGTTAATATTTGGATGAAAAACCTTTGTCTTAAAAGCAACCTGAAAGGATTTCAAAGGTAAAACAAAAGAAAGTCTAATTAAAAAAAACAAGCAGAATGGAAAAACATTCACTCAACCATGCTAAAGATGTTGGTATCACATTTATCCGTATTCTGTTTTACGTATTTTGAGTAAACACCTACGCTACAAATGAATCGAATCAATCCTGCCACTTCTCCCATAGATGATAATAGCATTATATTTTACTTGGTAACTTTTAACTCGTTTACCTTCGGAGGTTTGAATGGATAATCTGGTGGAAAATGGATAGTAACCAAAAACACACCCCCGTTGTATGGGCTATCTGAGGGGCCCATAATGGTTGCTTGCCAGTGAAACATGTCCTCCCCCACCGGTCCTGTTCAACATAAAAGTATAAAACATATAAGAGTAAATATGCTATCAGATTCCGGCAATCCATTGTCGAATCAAGCTATGTTGTTTGAACATAATGGGGATAAAACAATTACAATAAGACCCCAAACACAATTTACTCAAAGCAAGTCAACAACCAATCGCCTCCTTACTGATGTAACAGAGTTAGTGCTGAAGACGTTTAGACGTTTACTCATTAATCACTTTTTATTGAAAATATATTAAAGTTTTGGAATTTCATATGGTGATCTTCAACATGACACTGGTATTATATTGCATCCATTGCTAAAAAGAGCCATTACTGATAATGTTTTAGCTTTGGGTAAATAATGGACCACATCAAAATGAAACATTAAACTTCCTTTGCTTCTTACTTTCTATGACATATTGGGTAGTAATCGCAGAAATGCACAAGGGGATGGAGTTATGAAAACAACCCCTTTGCTTTTTACAAGGGTTAACCTACACAAATCTTGGTCCCCACATGCCAATTGAGTTGGAATATTATTTGCTTTTGTTGTTGGAAAAATACAATATATTCATTATATCTTACATGTGGAGTGTGTTTTGTGAATAGAAGGGATTCATTTACTCTTACAATATGTTTTGTTCAAAGAATCGGGAAGGAAAAGAAAATGGTTTTCTCTCATTTTCCTTACCAAAGTGGGACAAATTTCTTTTCCCTCCTCTTAGTTCATTTTGCTTACTCCTTTTCTTTTCCTTCCACTTTTCTTTTCTTTTCCTCTATAACTAAACAAGAAAAACTGTTTTTCATCTAATTTTCTTTTTCCTTTCAAATTCTTAAAACCAAATATAGTGTTAGAGACTAGTTAGAGTAAATAGTAGACACATACTCTCTATAGAACCAAAGAAACATATATACAGAGTATTAATTATAAAGTACACAGCGTAATCCTACAAGTGCTTTACTAGAAAAGTAAGCGGCACATAATGAACAGATAACATTATTATATACATAACTCCAATAACTCCAAACCAACATATTTTAGCACAATCTTCTTTACTCTTTTACTAGTAAAGTTAGTGAGACACAATGAACGAATAACATAACTAGATGCTCCATGTGTCTGAAAATAAGATTCCACATTTGACCGGACACGGTTATTAACAAAGGTGAAATTTTGCAGTTGAGGTTTGTGAATAGCAGAGGGAAAAAAATGAACCATACAATTCTTTCAATAAAAAGGAAAGAAGAACCTAATGTTTGGGACAAAACAAAAATGAAATGTGGAACCTTTCCCGGGACAAAGAGAGTACATAGCTCCTAATCAGCATATTTTAGCATAATATCCAAATTCAATAATGGCCATATACATAAGTGATAAGTCCAACAGAAATTCATCAAACAAATATAAAAGAAGTGACTTCAGAAATGTGCTCTAAGATAAAGAGCAAAAGACTTGAGACAATATAATTCCATTAAGCATTTGAATTTCTCCATTAAGCACAATTTTGATCACAGTTGTAGTCTTTGCAGAATGAAGAAGGCTTGCAACTAGAGGTACGAAAAATATTTCAAAGTGCTTTCTCGATGTGAATCATAGCTAGAAATTACATTATTTCTCATTGCTACCACATTTTCACATTGCATCTCAATTCAAAAAGAAATAGGCCACCCAGACCAGATCACATAGGATAACAAGATAATTGAAAACTTAAAGCAAAGACCCAAACGCGCCGCAAGAGAATTTCAAATGCCAAGATTGAATTTTTCCAAGAAAGACGCAGAACATGAGACAATTGTTGTAAACATAGAACAAATTATTAAGAAATTATGAAGAAGAAGAAAAAAATACCAGCGCTGCAAGAGGATGGAGGATCTTTCTGGAGATCCTTGAGCTCCTTTAAGATCCTTCTCGAAGCCATCTATGAGACAAGAACCCGCGAATCAAAGAGATCGGCTCCGATCTGTGGATGGTAATATCAGAAAACGAAAAGCTATATCAGAACATGTCTGCATAAGTCAAAGCACATCAGGAGAAAATGAATAGATATACGAAGCTGTGGGTAGGGATGCGTGACGAACCCAGACGAGAAACTCGAGGTTGAAGAAGGAAGAGTGGTTCACAAAACTATCAGAATTCAGAAGTCTCTTCCTTCTTGCTTTACTTTTATTATTGGATTGGGGAAGAAAGAATCAATCTTTGACAGGTAGTAAATCTGTATTTGTGGTTTGTTGACTTTGATCTCTTTTTTATGTTTTGAATGTGTTTTTGTGAATTATTATTATTTTGATGAACTAATCCCTCCACCTTTTAGTGCTCGATTTACTTTGGATATTGGAGGGATAATATATCTTAAAAATATAATCAACAAGTAATTATCTGAAGTATATACTTCGTTTCTTAAAAGCATTTTTTAGACTAAGAGCATGTGTAATGGCAAGTAGAAAATAGAACGTGTAATATTTTATCCAATCAAAACTAATCCAGTCATCGTGTGACAAGTGAATGAAGTGGCATGTCTTATAATAGCAAATACGGAGTAATTATTTTTATCCATTTTTACATTTTTTAAACATATTTTAATTATTAAATTTTATTTTACTTATATTTTTTTTTTACAAAAATAGATGTACTCCTATTTAAAAAAAATCTTCTTTTTTGTACAAAAAAAATTAAAAAAAATTATAAAGAAATTAAAAAAAATCTGACTCGCGGAAGCCTCATGTACAGTGGAAGAAGTGGAATCCCACGCGAGACAAGCCGATGAATTGTCCAATATGTCATGTACATGTCATGGCATGGCAAGCGGGTGGAGCTCTGCTGCACATGCTCTAATATTACCCGATTATGGTATAATTTTAAATTTTAATTTATTATATACTTTTTATATATAGACATATAGTAAGTCAAAATTTCAAATTAGAAAAAAAAATTGAATAATCAAAGAAATCTCATGGAGTAGTTTTTTAGTTCATGTAAACACAGAATTTTCTATTATTGCCATCCACTTCTGAATTCAATCACAAATGCAGGTCTAACCTATAGCCAAAAATAGCAAATCATTTCAGTATACATTTTCTTGTCTGAGGACCACAATCCCCAAAACTCCCAAATGTCAACCCCACACCGAAATAAAAAACAAAAACACTCAGTAAAACACATATGGTTGAACCCTTGAACAACTCAACTCTTTCCATATAAATACATACGGAAGGCGTAGTTCAATTCACGATATACCCAATGCGTGCAGTATCTAATTCAGCACACGACTCGACCGATTCACTCTCTCTCTCTCACACACACTAATGTGTGAGCGAGAGAGCGAGTGAATCGACATACCCGTGTCCCAAATTAGCCTCTGCCCGCACGGCTAACATGAAACGAAACTGTAACAAACAATGTGGAGCCAAAAGAAAAAAAGTGGAGTCACAGTCTGCCAGCCAAGTTACAATATTACAGATTACAATTGAGTGTATGCAGCACCTTGTTTCTCTTCTTCTTCTTCTTCTTCTTCTTCTTTCTTTTTTCTCTAGGAGTTAGCAGTAATTTTGGGCTGATTAATATGCCAAAACCACATGAGACCAATTATATGCGGGCAGCTGAATCACCTGGCAGCCACAGCATCTGTTCTGGGACTTGCATCAAGGAGCTGGTGCAGCTTCGTTCTTGATTTGCCGCTTCTCTCGTACCCTTCACCACCTTCCTCTCCATTTTTGTCCCCACAGTCCGAGTTGTCCACTCGCGCAAGCAGGTTTGCAGTAGTCACCGGCTGCGCCCCTTTCTCCTCAATCCTACCTAATATCATCTCCCCCATTTGCCCAAGTTTCTCTCTTTTCAGTCTCTCCTGCAATTTCGTCAAACACCCTTTAATCGCAGGGGTAAGGTTGCGTACTTCTTGATCTCCAAGACCCCCAACAAAGTTGGGATTTTACTGGGTTGTTGTTGTAACCTTTTTTCTTCTAAAAGAATATATATTGGATGCAAAAAAAAGGGGGGAAGGGTTGTGTTTTTTGTCAATTCAATGGTAATGAAAGTGGTGAATTTATAGTTACCATGAGAGTGACATTTTCAATCTTCAGTTTCTCCGAGTTCTCTGCTAATTTGTTTATCTCGGATTTAAGGTTTACGTTCTCAGCAGTTAGTGTTTGGACGCGCTTAGCTAACTCTTCAGTCTCAGCCTGGATAGAATTAATCCATGTAAAGTGAATTGATGAATCATGGTCTTTAACTTGATACTGACATGCCAAAAAAATACCTGCTTTCTCAATCTTGATCTCCTAGCAGATTCCCTGTTAGACTGCTTCCTCTTCTCACGCTTCAATTCGCGCTCATTCTGATACAAATGGAGTATGGAAACAGCATATCAAATACAGGAAAAGAACAAGAAACCAATTAAAAACACTGATATATTACACTAAAAAAAGACCATTTTTCACTTTTGGTGTATGACTATGGATTTCTTGTTATTTTAGCCCTTCACGTTCACTTATGCGTCTGAATCACAAAAAAAAAAATATTATACCTGTGTCCAAGCTTCATTTGGCATAGGTGGCCCAAGAGATGGAACATCACTTGGGCTAGATTTAGTATTTGCAATGGAAGGGCTTCTTAGATCCAGTGATGTTGTCATGTTAGGGGTAACAGCCATTCCCATTACTACTTGCCCAGCTGAACCCGGACTAGCAGCCACTTTCTTAGATGGCCTTTCAAGTTCCTGAGCCAGAGCTGTATGGCTTTTGGTAGTCTTATCAGCTGTTTGGGAGGGGGGGGGGGGTCAAAAACTAATTGCATGAAAGCTAATAAAAAGGTAGAAGGTATTAAAACCAACTGCACTGGCTGTTAACTCTTACCGGTAGTGGGAGTCGTCTCCCTGCTTCCTCTCCTAGATTTTTCACCCACCTGGAAAGGAAAAAAAAAGATTCATTGAAAACAAACATCACCCGTAGGGGAAAATAAATGAAACAACTAGGATGTCTGTTTTGCCCCTGCCATTTTGTTTATGTCCTCCGGAACAATGGTAATGAAAAGAAATGGAGATGTTCCTTAATTGCTAATGGAAAACCCACTCACCGTTGCTGCATTACTTCCATCACTGGAACCATCAGTTTCCATGCTATTTATGCCAAAACAGAAACTAAAGTCAGTATGTATTAATCGGCCTACACCGTTTTCCTCCCCACACACAAACCACAAATTTATTTATATTCACAAACCTATTGGAATGTGGGTTGTTAGTCTTTCCATTGCCATTGTCAGCATTGTTGTTTCCGATTGACATTGCAAGCCCATCAAACCCTTTCAGTCTACTGATCAATCCTCGGTCTTCTTTTCCAGAAGACTTGCCCGATATATCCATACCCGTAGAATCAGCAGCCTAAGCAATATCACACATATACAGCCAGCAAAATGGTAAGCACAACCAACAGCCATAAAACTTGAAAGAGATACATATATGATCTTACAAGTGCTTCAGGTGGAGGAATGTCAAGACCATTTGCACGTGTTCCCTAGAATTTTAAAATAAATTAGATTGGGTTGGGGGTTAGTCCACTCGACAGTAATGTACATTTAAAGCTTAAAAGAACTCTAAAAGATAGTGAATCCAATCATTTAGTTAGTCTACCACAATTTCTTATACACCTATATATCTCTCTTTTTGAGGTTTTTTTTTGTGTCATGTTATTTATTTCTTACCTTTATTGCCCAAGGATTAATTAGCATACTGCTCACACTCTCCTTCACAATCGGATCATTTGGATGTCTTTTTTCCTTCAACTTCAACATTTTACAAAATCTTCAAAATTTTCCAAAATTCTCACATATTGTCGAACTTGTAACATCTTCCAAAACTTCCCCAAAAAAGCCACTTTCTTATGACTTAGACACTTTTCCAAAATATTTATACTCATAGGGCAAGAAGTAAAGTCAGCGTACATCTCACCCTTCCCATTACCTTCTTATGACTTAGACATACTAGGTATGTTTGGTTTTGTTTACTCTTAACAAAAACGGATACTTACAACTGGAACTCCAGTGTGAGCATAAACTCCTCCATGAGCATATATTGCTGCATAAGGTGCACCATAAGGAGGTGGCATCATAGGCTGGCAGCAGATTATAAATAAAAATTAATTCATCGTGTAATATATATATGTTCAAAAGACTATAGGTTTGCATGGATCCATCAATAAAATTGTTAAGAATAAGATTGGGGACATAACTCAACTTTAAAAGAGCTATCGAGAAGATGATTATTGTCCAACCTTTTTAAAGGGCAAATATTTAGCTGGTGTCTGTTCAACATATAACGACTAGATTAGATATGGTTGGTTAAATACCTGGGGTGGGCCCCAAATGTATGGGTGAGGGGCATGACCAGGTGCAACGGCTGAGTTGAAATACGGAGGTATGGCAACCCGGTGACCATAATAACCCTGCAGATAACACCATCACATTACTTACTACAATCACTAAAGCAGCAATGCAGTAAGAAAAATCTTCTCTGCATGCTTAATTCTATCATCTACCTGTAATGCTGCCCAATCAAGATACATGGGAGCGTTCCCGTGGTCCTGCCAACAATTTTAAAAAAACAATTATATGCACAAATTATGGAGAAATTTAGCATTCAAATTGTAGAGGGTGTGGGAATCTAAGTGTGACTGTATTTGTTGCCTAACTCGCCCCAAAAGAGTTCTGAAGAGGTGAGGATATCTAATCGATGTGGGATAACTCCAGCAGTATTGCCACTTAAATATACAAATGTTATGTTAACTTTCCTAATTTCAAGAAAAATGTGAATTTTTTTGCTCACCGGTGTGGAAGGGGATGATTTCTCGGGCTTAGAACATTTCCCTTCCTCGCTGCTCCCCATGACTAATCAATGATCCAGAAGTACCCCTTGTGTTTTCTTTTCACTGATTAATCAAAACTAAGCTAAGTATCTGTGTATCGAAGCTTGCCGAAAGACTTCAAGCTGAACAAACTGCATACATAGCGAGCTTGTGTTTAAGCATAGCAATAAAGTTGAACATATAAGGTGGAATACAGCACGCGAAAAACACATAAAAACTAACTATTGAGGTTGAAGTGTGAAACATCCTAATCTCTCCTTATTTTCAGCTACTCAGATTCTTTGTTCCCACCAAAAACACTCCAAGCAATTGATTCATTAGGGTGTGTTTGGCATGACATTTCTTCCCATTTAACATTGAGGGCCTCCAAATTCTGTTTTTTTAGGATTAGCTTTTAGCTATGATTGTATGAAGGGTATTAGTTTAATTGAAATAAAATTGTTTTTTTTCTAAGCTTTTGTACTGAATTTGTCCTTTTTAAGTACCCCAAACATTTCCAAATCATAATCTACTCGCAATAAACGATAATAATGATTGGCTAATTATCTGGATAGAAAATAATTCTTCTTCCCCAAAATCGGAAACGTTTGAGAAAAAACAAACAGGCAATTAAATAAGAACCATAATCATGAACTGTAATTATTATTATTATTATTATAACAAAACATGGAAAAGCAAGATTTAAATTGAGATTAATGATGAAATAAGCCCTCACGTCAAACACGTACCTTAGAAACTCCGAAAGCTAACAGCCTGAAACGGTCGGTCGGAAATTCATCGGCGAATTTTCATTTCTGAGGAAACAGAGAAAGGGGGAATAGGAGGGGTGGGGGAGACAAGGGGACATCCACGTCACGGAACACGTGTAGGGGGGAAGCTGGAAGGGTGAGCTGGCACCTGGATAACCGTGCCAGCGGAATCCGACGTCAACTTGCGTGTACACGTGGCAGATAGCGAGTCGATCTACGCGTCCCCGGGTTTTGCGTCTCTATGGGCCTCCCATTGCGACCGGCCATGTGGCTGACGTGGCCATATTTAAGCGTGACGATTTATTTTAGGTGGCAAAAGGAAGAAATTACACCGTGAAACTAAACCACATTCTATATGACATTTCACGTCCGAAAAGTCAAATTGCCGAGTTGGAGACTATAGGAGGAGTTCTAAACGAAAAAAATCTCTTCTCTCAAAAAATAATACGGAGTAGTGAACTCTTTTTTTAATGATGAGAATTATAAATATACAACATACAAAGTATTAATTAAATAAATTTTATATGGTATATTCAATGTTCTATTAATAAAATTATATGTATAACATATGATGTTTATTGTGTTTTTATGTATTTTAAATTCTTAATTTAATAGAAAAAAACTCACAACCTATGTACCCGTAAAACCGAACTATTTGAAACAAGTCGGGTTATGATCGGTTCTAAATGTTCTTTTCAACAACCCGGCTCGTCTCTGTCAGTTTATTCTAAAAATAAATCGGAGACGGATCCTGTGAAAATCAACTCGTGCCCCTCCCCCTAGTTATACCCATATAAGTTAGATTATTTCTCCCGGACATGTGTTTGTTCTTTGATTTTTTGAGTTAAATCAATGTATAGTACTTTAATTACCAATTTCTCTCAATTTATATTTCGTATTTTTACAATTAAATAAAATTTTAATAGTTTTCAACAAATTAATCTAATGAAATCATTCTTTATGTAAATGTACATTACCATTTTTTTAAAAATGAGGCCTAAAAGTCCATCAATTTTGAGTAAAAATTTTAAATTAGACGAATACACTAGAATTGTGAGGTAGTATAAATTTGATTTGGTCGCGATGTAATGCTCACATATATAATGGTACCTCCGTCTCAAATTAGATTACAATTTCTATGTTATGAAATAAAAACATGTGTTTTTAAAAATTATTTTATTTAAAAAAATTTATAAGAATAAAAACATAAAACTTACATATAAAAAATTTATGTGAGAAGTTCCAAAAAAATGTGACATAAGTATTTTATTCTACCAAATAATCAATAAAAATAACACGTGACAAAAAAAATTTCAAATTATTAATGAAAATATCCAAATAAACAAAAGTTACCGTAATTTTTAATAATAAACCATAACATTTTTTTAAGCTGAGGAAGTATTTAATTTAGCCTTGTTTAGATAAATTTTTAAAAAAAAAGACGCGAGTACGTGCTAATGTGGGGCCCCGACGAGCCCACAACAGTCATTGCTGATGTCGGTCACATTTTCGGTCCATTATGACGTGTCAGGTCCACAATCCATTCTCGAAAAAATGACCAGAATGTGTATGCTACCTCATCCTCTCAGCTTTTTATTTTTCAATTTTTTGGTTTTTACATGAATGCTTAGAATAAAATATATGTCATCTTTCTCAAATTAAAAATTTTCATTTATTAATTTTTCAAAACAAAATATTTTTTAAATAAATGTCATAAAATAAAATGAAAAATAAAACATGAAATAAAATACACTTTTTTTTATTATAAGTAAAAGTAAAATAAATAAAATAAAAAAAATAGATAACATATACTCACTCTATCTCTAATTAATAATTCTAAATTATTTTTTAAAAAAAGTAAAATATTTTTTTAAGGACTTTGAAAAACGAAGAACAGAAAGATGAAATAAAATACAGAGTTAAAGAAAAATACTGTGTTTTATATTTTTCTTTTTTTTCATTACCTTGTCCAATTATTTTTTTTACTTCATACATAATATTTTATTTTTTCATTTTATTTGGAAGCATAATTCAAAAAAAATTTGTTTTCAAAAATACATAAATAAAAATTTTAATTTGAGATGGTAAGCATATATTTTATTTTATATATTTTATAATAAAGGAAAATAAAACAATGAAAATCAAGATAGAGAAAAAGAAAGGGCATACGTGTCATTTTTATTTTAAAAGCATGTAAGGGGCATTTGTGTGTTCTATTTAGAAACCATAGAAACTTTACAAATAACTTTTGAAAATAGATGGAGTTTTGACGCTTTTTTGTAAATCATGGGGGACACTCATGCTATTAGCTCATGCTTTAAATAAATTTTGTTGAACTAGAGTTTACAGCGGGGAAATTAAAAGTGAATAACCGAACTTATAATATATTCGAATATTACAACGAAGAAATTTAAAAAATAGAAGGACGCCGGTAGTCAGAAGTCGAACGTAACAGATAAGGAAAGCAGAGTAAACTTAAGGTAATATCGCCCGCCTCCCGCACTGATTAACGAGGACGATCCCCTTTCGGGATAAAATCGCTAACGTGCAAGACTTATAGTGGAAGGCTTTGGCTATTTGTATGGACCAGCGCCTTCGCCACATCATGACGCGTCGCGCGCACGCACATGTGTGCCGAGTTGGATGGCGGTAGTGTATAGTGGGTCCTTTCCTTTCTCTTTCTCAAATTACTTTTACCATATAATTCAATGCTAACATATAAATAATGGAAGATGAAAGGTCTCAAATCCGATATGGAATACATGAGTTTACTCTTTCCAAGTGTCTGCTTGTAATTTATCCGTTACAAGCCAAAAATTCTACTCCCTCCGTCCCAATTTAAATCGCCTGTTTTGATTTCTAGACATATTTAAGGAAAATAAAAAATAGAGTTGATTTTTCAAAATTGTCATTACTTTTTAGAAGGGGTGATGATGACTGAGAAGATAAGGTGAAGAAGAGTGGCTTATTTTAGGGTTAGTTTAGATATTTTATTTTTAAAAGTTTACAAAAACAACTAATAGACAACTTATTTTGGGACGGAAAAAAAAGGCAAACAGACAATTTAAAATGGGACGGAAGGAGTAACATAGAGTAAAAAAAACAATCTAAGGGGGGTGTATTCAATTGAGATTTTAAAAGATTTTGATAGATTTTTTAGAATCCATTGATTATATGAAATCCATAAATTGTTTTAATTCTATGCAGAGTTAGATAGATTTTGTGAATTCGTGAGAAAGATTTTAAAAGATTTTGTATGAATATGGAGGTCTACCGCTGCGCTTTGGAGATGGAGGCCTGCGGCAGAGTACTGCGAACAAAAGGGGCCAATTGTATGCTTCCCAATTAGCCACAATTCATTTTTTAATATTTTTCCTCATTCCCAAAATGGAGTGAGAAATCTTCATCATTCTTCTGCTCAACAAATAATAAAAACAATAAGTTACAAAGATAAAAGAAAAATCAGGTAGTTGAAGGGTGTTTGAAGATTTATTACACAAATTTAAACTTTTGAAGAATGAAATTGAGAATACTCTAACAAATTATTGAATAGAGATTGAAGAATGAATTATTGAATAGAGATAAGAGATTGAAGAATGCATTCACAGAGAATACCTCTGTACATGGAGGTTTGTGGTTGTGCGGTTTGCCGCTGTAGATGAGGAGGTCTGGGTCGCCGCATCGAAGGTAGAGGTCGGCTGTGGGCAAAAGAAGTATGACCGTCGAGGAAGAAGGTCATTAGCAAAACTAAAGTCTGTTAAAATCTTTGGTTCTGATTAGAGATTTGTTAGAGGAATTTCATTTAGAGAAATAACCAGGAAATCCATCAGAATCTTTGTATAATAAAAATACTCTTAAATCTATGAATTATTTAATACCATTAGATTTTGATAGACTTTTTAAAGTTCAAATTGAATACACCCCTAAATGTTTATTTGTCCTTAATGAAAGCGAATTGAGCATGTTAATTAAGGTGAGTAAATTATATTACAAGGAGTAACTGTGAAGTTGTAATACAAGGACTGTGTACGTAGTGATCCGGGAAAAAGATGAAGACTACGATGTGGGAGTTCTGGGCGGTGGTTTTGGCGATTGGGGCGGCGGTGCCGAGCAGATGTGAGGGGAAGTGCTCGTCGTCTTTTCCGGCAATCTTTAACTTCGGCGACTCTAACACCGACACCGGCGGCTTCTGGGCAGCTTTTCCGTCTCAGGGCCCTCCCAATGGCATCACCTTCTTCGGAAAACCGGTCGGAAGGGCAACCGACGGCAGAGTCATTCTTGATTTTCTGGGTACCTTTATTAATCATTTTAATTATGTCCTTCAATTTCACTCGTTCTAATCATAATTATTCAAATCGTTGAATTTCTGGCTCGCAGCAGAGGGATTGGGGTTGCCATTCTTGAGCCCATACTTGAAATCAATCGGGTCGGATTACAGGCACGGCGTCAACTTCGCGACATTGGCTTCCACCGTCCTCCTCCCCCACAGCTCCCTATTCGACACTGGCGTCAGCCCTTTCTCCCTCGCAATACAGCTCAACCAGTTCAAGCACTTCAAGGCCGCGGTCGACGGCGGCGGCGGCGCTTCCACCTTCTTGCCACCGGAAAACGTGTTCGGAAAAGCCCTCTATACGTTCTACATTGGCCAGAATGACTTCACCGGCCGCCTGGCGTCTCTGGGCATTAGTGGTGTCCAGCCCTTCTTGCCCAAAATTGTCTCTCAAATAACAGACTCTATCAAGGCAAAATATTTGCAATTTTTTCATAATTATGACTAAAATTGTCACAATTTAATTCGCTTATATATGATGTGACAGTGATGTGCAGGAAATACACGGGATGGGAGGACGCACATTCATGGTTCTCAACCTCGCACCGATAGGGTGCTATCCCGCATTTCTCGTGGAGCTCCCTCACAACGCTTCAGATATAGACAGTTTCGGATGTTTCATTTCTTACAACAATGTAGTGGTCAACTATAACAACATGTTGAGAGACGCCCTCCGGGAGACCAGGAAAGACCTTAATAAGGACACAAAGGTCATATATGTGGACATTCACTCCATCCTATTAGACCTATTTCGCCACCCCACATCTCATGGTACGTCGATCAACTAAATATAAATAAATGAACTTCTTAATAAGCGTGAAGTAAAATCTATCAGTTAGGCCTAACACGTACTCTTAAGGCAAATCTTGTCACACATACTAGGCTTGTACTAGATATGTGTGTGCTCTAATTAGATGTGTTTTTAATTTGTTGCTAGGCTTGAAGTATGGAACAAAAGCATGTTGTGGGCATGGAGGGGGAGAGTATAACTTTAACAAGGATGTTTTCTGCGGGAACACAAAGGTTGTGAATGGAGAGAAAGTGAGTGCAGGAGCATGTGATGATCCGCAGAACTACGTGAGTTGGGATGGAATCCACACGACAGACGCAGCAAACAAGCTCATCGTGTCTGCCATTTTCGCCGACAACAACAATGCTTCATCTTATTTTGATCCTCCTTTTGCATTTCATCGCCATTGTGATATCCATCACAATAGCTAGCTATATAAAAATGTGCACTATACAAGCTATACCTAGCTCTCTAACTTAAATAAATTGTGTACCCTTAGCTTTGTTAAGTGCAAATAAAAATGAATAATCAAATTAATTCTACTTTAAGGAACAACCTATTGCACACCAATACAAACTAATAACCAAGAAAGGTTTATATATAGTGATATATTACTCATAGTACTGTCTTAAAATACAGAGTGAATATCTGAGGATAAGGATTCAACATTTTTGCTACAAGATTCACAATCTTCCATCTACTTCTTTGGGTCAGGATGTAGTAGACCCTTGGGGTTAACTGTTCAACATTTTTGCTACGAGAATACTTGTTCATTCCTCAACGAGTTAATGGTAGTGGTTATCAAATTCTTTTCTAAAATTATAAGAACACCCTCCTAATGTTAAGTTCTTTTTTAAATGTCGGTTACACTTTTCGTGACAAAACTTTAATAAAAATGTCTATTAAATTATATTACCAAAAAATATGAGTATAAAAATATTATACTTCATGTTAAATGAGTGTATTTTTAAATATAAAAAATTTTGTTTTAAGTTTTATATATTAAATTAATTCTATAACTTTTCTATTATCTCCGTATCAATAAAATTTTACAATTAATTTTTCATGATCAAGTTTTACAAACCTTAATCACAATTATAAAAAATATGGTATGTATGTAGTTATCATAACACATAAATTTAATATAATTAACATGTTTATTTTAAAATATGGCCTTGATATATCATTTTATTATCACAATTATATGTATAAATAAATTAATGAAGGATAAAAGTATCACATCAGTGAGCTTAAAAAACGAAATGTGAAGGGAAATACTTAGTTCATAAACAAAACCGCAATAAATTTCACAAACTTATTATTTTTAAACTTTAATAAAGTAGCCTAAAATAACTTTAATATGAGATTTATATCTAAAATCGTAAGTTTATTAAATTTGTGATAATTTTATTTGTAAACCTTACATTGCTCAATGTGAAAATGTACATAGGCAATACTTAAAAATTGTCAAAGAAATTGCACAAAATCAAAAGGAGTGGATAGTCCGCACAGAGGCACATAAAAGATTTCGAAGATAGAGAAGGGACCAATGAGAGGATTTCTCTCACAAAACTCTTCTTCCCCTTAGTAGATAGATAGAACCCAAAGTGTTGCAAGCGAAATACTACTCCATTTCTTCCCCTTCCATTTTTCTCCATGGCAACCGCAGCTTCCAGTTCCATGGTAGCGCCGGCCGCCGTGCTCAACCCAAGACCCACCGCTGCCCCCTTCAGATGCTGTGCCTTTCCCCGCCTTCGACCACCCCCAATCTCCGTTCCTTCTTTCCACGCCACCTTCAAACTAGCTGGTATTATCTTCTTCTTCTTTTTTGCTCCAAAGATTTAATTTTATTTTTATTGTAGGAAAGGGAATTTCTTTATTACTCTCAAATTCATTAGACAATTCATTTTTTTAATCATTTGGGATTTTGGTTTTAAAGTTGGGATCTTTATTGCTTGAGTGATCCATCCATAAAGTTAGAAACTCTAATGAAGTCTTAATTCTTAATGATTCTCAAATGGTCAAATCTAATGCCACACTACCAGTGTTGAACAGCTTCAAAAAGATTGTACCTTTGTGCTATAGAAATGGAATGTTTTAACATTATCTTTGCCCTAATCATGAAAATGTTTTCTTTCAATAGCATAAATTTGAAGCCAGGGGGATCAACCTTATGTACAGACTACTTCTGCTGATAAAAATTACATTATGATTTCTCAACTTAATATTAGTTTAAATTGGAGACTTAGTGGCTACTGCATTGGCATGACCATCTCAAAGTGGAAGCTTTATCAATTGGGAGTTGATTTTTTTCAAGTTGAGATCTTTACTGCTTGAGTATATGCATCTACAAAGTTGGAACCTTTACCCTTTGTTTGGATCGGGAGAGAATATGAGAGGAAAGAAATTGGAGAGAAAATGAAGAGAAAAAAATTAGTGTTTGGATTGATAGAAAATGATAAGAAAATGGAGAGAAAAGAGATTAAAAAAATGGAAGGATAAGAATCTTGTGGTGGGAGGAGGATGGTTTCATTTTCTCATCTATGTCGGGAGAACTTTTTCCCTCCATTTCTCACTTAGTTTTCTCTCCTCCCTCATTTTCTCACCAAAACAAACAATAGAAAATGTTTCGTTATGTGTGTTTTCTCACCTTGCATTTTCTTTCATTTTCTTATCATCCTAACAAAGTGTTGGTGAAGCCTTAATTCTTAACGGCTCTCAATTCAAATACCCACTGTCAATCTTGAAAAACTTTAAAAAGATTGTCCCTTTACGCTAAGAATTGGAACATATCTTGTCCTAACGATGCAAATGTATTCATCCAATTAACCAATAGATGTGTTAGTGCATTTTGATTGCATAAATTTGATGCCGGGGGGATGAATCTTACATAAATACAGCGTTTGCTGAAAGGAATGCAGTATGAATTCAACTAAGTAATTTTTCTGAAAACAGAACACAGGAGGTCTTCTTGTCTGCAGGTCAAAGCATCTTCTTCACCTAAGGACACATCAGCTGTTATCGATGCTGAAGAACTGTTTGCTGATCTAAAAGAAAAGGTACCTCCCATCCCTTCCTCATTGTACTTTTTTCCCTTTTCCTTTTCTGCTATACTTTCTCTTGATGCTTTACTATGATAGTTTTCTGTTTTTTTTTTTCACTCGGAAATAGGAATAAGACTATCAGTGTCAGTCTCTGTGCTTTTACTTTGTCTATGCTTCTCTTGGAAATAGCCTCTCTACTTTCGATAAGAGGTGAGGTCTGCGGGCACACACAGCCTTACCAGACCCTACTTTTTGAAGGATTTTACTGGGTTTGTTTGTTGTTTGTTGTTGTACAGTGTTAGTTTCATTTATTCCTTCTGGTCATACTTTTAGTGGGATGCAATTGAAAACAAGTCAACTGTACTTGCCTATGGAGGTGGAGCAATCTTTGCAGTTTGGCTATCTTCAACTGTTGTGGGTGCAATCAACTCCGTTCCTCTGGTACGCGTTCTTTGTGCTCCTTTATATAGATTTTGTGTAGTCATTTCCAGTCACTGTTTAATACGGAGTATATTTTTTGCATATGCGATATTTTTTTCCCTGTCTTCTCCAGCTACCCAAAGTGATGGAGTTGGTGGGGCTCGGGTATTCCGGGTGGTTTGTGTACCGTTACCTTCTCTTCAAGGTATGTTTTGGGGTTTGCATGCATTCTTTGTTACTTTTATTAACTCTTATCCTTATGCTAGTCTTTTTTTTCTCTGTATTGCTTGCAGTCAAGCAGGAAAGAATTAGCAGAAGACATTGAACAGCTGAAGAAGAAGATATCAGGAACTGAATAAATAATGCATAAGTTGTTACCCCCAGCCAACATCATTTTAAATTGATCATCTTTTACATTTTGTGTAAGAAGTATTCTTGTTCAGGGTTAATCATGCAGCGCCAGAAAGCTTGTGTGTTTTTTAAGGTTTCATCTTGCTGTAATGTAGAATCTACACACCCATTACAATTTCATTACCCACTGCTATTTTCATATAGTTTGAAATTTTGCAACATTGGACAAGCACTAGATAATGGGAAATCTGAAAAATGAAATATGAATAATGTCATGTAGCACACTGAGAGTAGAAGAAAAATCACTTGTGATTAGTCAGAGAACAGATGATCATCAGTTCACATCCCATTTACACACCATTTCAGAAAGATTTCTCATTCATGCATACAAACTTACAAAGGGTTCAAAAGATTTAAACTACAGCTGCTACCATTGGAGAGAAATCAAGGTCGCCGGAACTATCCCCACACACATGAAAGTACAGAGGAAAAAAAATCATCACCTTTCTTTTTTATTGGAAATACTCAATGAATAGCGAGTGTCAGCGGCGGATAGTGAGCTCGGCCCTAAGGTGGAGAATGCCATTGATGAAGTAGGGGCTATCATCGGCCATGAAATTAGCCCAAGACATGCCAAACAAGTTCCTGTACCCCACAGCTTTCCCCCCAATAAAAGTGTAATTCCCCTTGTATTTGCTGATGAACTCCTCTGTTAGCTTCGACCTAGCTGCAAACTCGTAGTCGACCGCAAACGACATGGACCCCTTTTCTTGCATCCCAAGAAAGAGGCCGAAGCAGTGCGACGAGCTCTGTTGGTCCATGTTGCAATGGGCAGACAGGAAGAAGCCCTGTCCTCCCAGGTGGAACGCCTGAGAATACACTCTCCCTGATGGATACAGATTTGCACACTCCTCGCGTTTCAGATCCAAGTAGACGATGCACTGATGACGTGGCGTCTCGAACTCCACCACCTTGATGGGACGGTACTTGTAGGCCCGCTCGACGAAGCGGCGGCTGGATGAGGTGGAGCCTTCCGCGTATTGGGTCCGCTGCCGGTGCGGGGAATCTGCCTTGAAAAACAGGGCGTCGAGGACGTGTTTGGTTGCAAACTCGTGGTCAAAGTCGTTGCAGACGAGGATCTTGCGAAGCTTCCGGCAGCTCACGTAAGGGAAGCGTATGTATCGACCGAGGTGGGACCCGAGAATCCTGTGTCGGTCCTCCAACTTGGGATAGTGGGCCCTTGCCCACTTCACCACAATGTCATATACTGCATCCTCTGATGCCACTTGTAGGTCATCACTTGCCAATATTGCTTCAATTCCAGCCAAGGGTAAGTTCATGACCTCCTCTTGAAACCTGCAGCCCCAATGTTGAATGGACCCATTATGACTATATGCACACAAAAGCCTTGAAATTGAGCCAAGAAACTAAGTAAGAACAGGACTTTACTTGGAGACATCTTTGTAGCGAGCAGCTAGAAACTGCTTTGCTGCATCTGTTAATGGCTGAACAGCGTCGGCCATCAGGACGCTTGAAGGAAGCTCTAGATACAGCAATGCTGCTTCAGGAGTCATTGGTAAGTTACGTAGTTGGCGGCTGCAGTGCCTCATGCATGAAGCAACCTCAAATTTATCAGCAGCCAAAAGTATATCCAACAAACCACTTGCAGATGTTGTTGTGAGTGTATTGCTATACATGAAGTTCAGGAGCTCCATCAGTGCAGCTTCCTCTGTTGAACAGAATAAAAAGCAAGCATATGATTGCAGAAAGAATGGACGATTCCTATCAAAATCAGAAAATAATCAAGAATATCATGTAAGTTGTTGAAAAGAAAATTACCGGATGCATAAATTTGAAGGGTGACTTGTCTCTGCTCTGATTCCCTCATCCCATTAGAGAAAAGCTGCAGATGTTACAAGACAAAGGTCATGCACTAATTATATAATGTATGACAATGTATGTGCATACAGCTATATGAGTTACTTGCACTTTTCCCCCAATGTGTTTACAGTAGAATACAAATCTACACGATGAATGAAGTATTTATATTTACCTTGTAAAAGAATGGACTTTTTGCTGCCAGGATAGGAGAGCTGATGTGTATTGTTTTGACTTTAGTAACCTTTGAATCCATATTCCAATCGGAATCTTCGCTGTCAGGAGCTTCATCTCCTAGTTAACCAGATAGTCTAACTTTAAACATTCAGCTAATTCCATTTGACTGATGTATTCATGTATCATGAGATCCACCTCATATTACAAAGTACTGCTATAGTGCTATATTGACAATAAGCCTACCAAATCGTGTGAAACAGCTCCTTTCTTTCTACGAATACATATAAGTTCATTACTTACTTTTAATGCATTCAATCTTTCTCAACCAGGTTTTTTAAATTGGACTTCAGAAAGTTTGACCATCCTAAGTTACTATAGAATAATATGTATATGAGCAAATAGGGCACAAGAGATTTATAAAGACCTGAAGGTGCCTCTTCAATCATTGCAACCCCTTCCTCTTCTTGGTTGTCAGTATCAGCATCAACATCTTCTTCTGGATCAATCTGGTGACAGCTAAGAATCTGTTCCTCTGGACATATGGTTATATCCAAAGCTGCAAACGAGTGGCATATGTCTGGTTATCATCATAGAAAAACATGCTGGCATAAGAAAGAGAAGAGGTTTAACTAGTGCGAGATATATTTGCTGCTAATGCTTCATTTATTTCCAAGTGACCATGCTAGTTAGTTTATTTGGGGAATAAAATGGAAGAAGCAAACTAAGGTCCCAATTTACAACCACAATGCAATGGGGAAAGAAGAATGAATGTTAACATCTTAGTTTGAATGAGATATATGCCAGAAATCCAAAATGCATTAAAATAGTTTTTAGTCTCTAATTCAACAAACATACCCCGTGGTAGAACGTTACAGCACAAATACTACTTGCCTACTTGGATGGTAATCGAATCACATTGAAGAAACCCTTGTGTGGAATCCAAGGATAAGGATGAGCATGGTTAGATGCATGCCAAAATTTGAACTTCAAAAGGGTTTCATTGACATTCCCAGCAAACTTCTATGTGAAAATGGTGATTTAAGAGAACACAAGAAACAATATAGTAATAAAAACATATCTTCATAGACAAACATTGCAAGAGAATTATATTCTTAATTCCTTGAAGAAAGCAATTCCAGCTGCCAATTTATATCCAATCACGGGGATTGTTAATGGATTCCACAAATTCACCCATAACATCTATGCAAATCAAAACAAAACAACAAAATTGTTCATCAAACATTGTTAATTCTTTTCAAAAAATGATAAAAAAAAACCTTTTTTTACTCTTTGTTTCCCTATCATTTCTTCATCACCCCAACCCAAAAAAGAGAACAGATACATCTACATATACATATACACACTCAACAAAAAAAGAAAAAAGAAGATATATTGAGGTATAGGGGACGAACCGTTTTCGTTGGTGGTGTCATTTTCCTTGCGGCGTTTGCGGTTGCGAGCCCAATCGGCGATGATCTGATAGCCGTCGGATTCGGAACGGTGGTCGGTCGGGTCGGCAACAATCTCGATCCGCAACAAGCGGTCGGAGAAGTTGCTATCGTTAAAGGCGAAGGCGAAATCGGGCTGGTGGCCGGACGTAGGGGAGTAATCGGGGTCCATCACGGCGGTTCCCGGGTCAAACAGGTCCAAATTCCTATCCTTCATGATACTGGTATGATTTCAACCTAACAAGATCAAGATTCCACTGGTAGGGATGAGCCCAAAAGTAATTCTTCTGAGCTGAAGGTTGAATTAAGCTCTCGTCTTCATCCCCTTTTATGGTGAGAGAAAGAAATAGAGAGATCGAGAGAAAGACAGGGGAGGGAGAGAGGGCATTTACTGCACAATTCAGATTTCGCATATAATTCCCGACTATTACAGTAGAGTTTCAATAAGTTTAAATTGGCAAGCAAAGTTATTTTGACAAGAACTCGTTAAGGGTTCGTGTGACACCAGTAGTTTCATTTTGAAAATAAATATTTTCAGAATTAATTTACGGTATTAATCTTGATATAAATTTTTTAATAAAGACACTAATGTTAATAAAAAAAATTGATTTGAAACAAGACCTTAATCCATTTGGAACAATTACGATGTTCTGTTGAATTTGAAAATTATTTTTATCATTATCCTTACTCTGCACCACACTCTAGCTCTCCTACCCGTTTCATTTCGCCACAACGACGAAATGGATGATGCGCCCGGATTGGGATGGGGTACGGGGTAGGAATTACTTTTAGATTAAACGGATTATAAAAATAAATCTTGAAAATGAAATTACAAAAATTCATACATTATAATTTACTATATTACAATGTAATATATGTTTATACCTGACTTCCTCTATAGAAGAGTTATAGTTATATCACCCGACCATAAGGTTTTTACTTTTTTGGCATTTACGAGTTATATATGTTATATTATTTTAATGACCTAATATATGTGAACTAACAAACTAAGATGATTATACTTCTTCTAAAATTTATATTTATATTGGGTTAATTAAATGATTGAGTAAATTCCAAAATTAATTCTTTATAAAAGAGAGTTTTCATATTCATTTTTCTATCATTAAATATTACGCTTATGATCTTTCTTTTACAGGTATCTTTCTACCAATAGTCTTTTTTTACTTTCTCTCATTTTGGTGTTAAATTGAAAGTTAAAAGTATAATTTTACATCGATCATATGTTTAGTCACGTATTCTTATGTCGACTTGACGAATACATAATAATAATGATTGTGGTTGTGGATTAGGATTATAGCCAGGAATGAAATATATAAACTATGATTATAGTAAAAAATTCATTGATTGACAAACGACACATCAGCGGTGATCTTTGACATAGATTATGACATGAAATATATATTATGGGTGGACAAGAATTTCAATCTCATTGTCCCGAACAATGCCCACCCCTAATATATACGATAATTGTGAAATCGGGCTTTTGACCCTCAATTTAGCACCAACATGATAGAAGATTAAAAAAATTATTTATGGAAAGATATTCGTAAAAAAGAACTACAGATGCGATAATTGATAATATAGGATTGAATATGAAAATCATCTACTATAAGAACCAATTACAGAGTTTACTTTAAGTGATTTAATTTAAATAAAGTAGACCTAATTAAACATCTTATACGGTATGAGTTTTGTAATGTGTAAAATTCAATAGTAAACTTAGTTAAGGTTAATAAGGTCTAGGGGCTGTTTGTTTCAGCCTCTTAATGGTTCAGATGTCTGAATGGTTCAGCACTTAATGGTTCAGACTGTTTGTTTCAGCCTCTTAATGGTCCAGATGTCTGAATGGTTAAGAGATTTGCCTCTGAATGATTAAGTATTATACAGAGTCTGAATGGTTAAGACCTTTTATCTGAATTGATCAGACATTTACCTCTGAATAGTTAAGCAATATACTAGCTCTTAATAGTTCAGACCTTTTACTGGTTCAGCACTTAATGGTTCAGACCTTTTACTGGTTCAGCACTTAATGGTTCAGACCTTCTACTGGTTCAGCACTTATCTATTCAGAAGTTACCAAACAGCCCCCTAATCCAGTTGCTATAATGTCATAGAGGTTGGTCTCCAAGACGAATCTTACCACTACTTCTCCTCTATTCCCATCAATCGAGAGAGATTCATTGGGATAAAATATTTGTCTATGAAAGACAACATTCCTTTGCGGTCATGTCATCCGATGTTATGAAATCGGGTTCTTTACTTAATTGTTTATTTCATAATTTTGATAATTTAAAATAAGTTAATCTATTAAGCATGTCCCAACAATATAGTACTCCGTAATACAAAACTGATATACATAAAATTAAGTAGTCTTGATGTATGGTACATACCCGGTTTATAATTTGATACGGTTTGAAGATTCAGTATAAATAATTACTCCGTATAAAACAAATTAAAATTGAATTTGACCCTTGGAAGTAATATTATCTAGTCTAAAGTATAAGTGTGAGTCTAACTCATTAGTTATGAGTTCTCTATGTAGTATTCAAAGAAAAACTCATGTGAGGTCGTGATCTAGAACGAACAATATCATATTAAAGCGAATTTAAAAAGTGAAATCCGCAATCCTAACACAATCTCATACGTTGCGTTTTAGCCCCTAGCCGCGCTTCAAGTAGCATTGCCTTAAGTGAGTTCTCCTTACAACTTTGAGCCAGTTTTGCAGATATTTCTTCACCTGTTTTTTCTGATGTCCATTTCTCCACCACTATACTACTGCCTCCACCTGTAAAAGGACCAAAAGAACCTTGCTCATGCCTCTGCTTGCTCCTTCTTCTACAAGACCCATTGCGCAAAACCTTTGTTTTCTCAGCACCCTTTGAATTCCTCACCTGATGAATCTCATCTCCATGTTGCATGTTTGGGCTAAACAGCGCGGGCAGCTCGGGCAGTCGTTCCGATTGACATTTCTTCATCAAAGGATTCAATCTCCTTCTGCCCTCTTCTTGTTCATGTGATTTCCTCCCATTAGAGGATTCTCCTTCGACAATCTCGTTTCTTGGAACAGTTTTGGTTTCTTGTTTGGCTCTCAGAAACTCCTCTATTTCTGAGCCTAACCTGTCCAAGATTGTTTCTTTATGAGAACTGTCAATGCCCTTCATCTGCACACGTTCGTCCAGCCATGCTTCTGAGATATGAACAACCAATTTATCATTTTGTTCTTCAAAAATCTGATCTTTTCTTGATTGGCACCTCAGATTCCTAACTTGTTTTTCGTACTCTTTTATCTCTTTGGCAAATTCGTCGCATAAGTTTTCCAGCACAGCCCGCACCTTCTTTTCTCTTTCGACCTCTATCCTGGCATCAAAAAGAGAGGATTTTGCTTCCGAGAGATCTTTGAACTTCTTATCTTGTTGGAGCTCTTTGATTCTGGTTTTTGAGTGATGGAGTTCCCTTTTCAGGGACTTAACCAGAGAAATGTGGGACGCGCTTTGTTCTTCGAGATTCCAAATCCTGTTGAGCACCCGAAGCAACTCAGTTGATGTATTGAGGCTGTAACTTGAATTTCTGCTTCTGCACTTAGTGTCCATTTTAGGAGGGATCATAGCTGGTCTATAAGTGGGAATCTGTCTTCATACAAAAAAAATGATTGAATCCCATCGATTGGCTGATATTTCTACAACTTGACCTCTATATATAGGAGAAAAAGGTCTGAAAATTACCTCCATTGAGCTGCTGCAAAAACCTGCAGGAGATTCAAACAGCATAGTATTGCAATTTTCTGCAACACGTCGATTATGTTGCTTCTTTGAAGCTGCTGCAGGCCTTCTTGAATCATCAGCTGGCTGTCACAAGAACAAAAAGAACTATAGTGACAAAGATTTACACTAGATGATCTTCTTGAAGGGTAATTCGAAGTTTAAAACCAGAAAGTTATGGAAATACAGCCAAGAACCATGCAATGCAACACCAATAGCTAGCAAAATACTTGGAGAAAGAGAACCAAAAGAAAGTATCGAAGAAGTTTTTACCTGACCTGGTGAGCTAGGAAAGTGAAAGCCCTTGTCTTTGGAATAGTAAAAACTGGGTTTAGGTTTGTTCATCATGACTATGAGATGGGGCTGCTGAACTTCCCAGAAAACAGACCCAAGTTTTCTGACAGAGACAGTGGAATTGGAAGGAAAGGTGGGATCTTGGAGAAGAGAACCATCAATCTGAGCCAACCCATATCTCCATTTTGATGAAGGAGTAGAATTGCCCCATCTTTTTTCCACCAAAACCCCTATTTTCAAGCCTTCTTCTCCCTTTTTGGCCCTTCCTGCTTTACCTTTTCCCTTTATTTCCATCTCTGTCTCTATTTCTCTTTTTTATCTCCCTAATTTTCAAAATTCTTTGCCTCTTTGGTGCTAAAAGGAAGTAGCTGTCATTCTCCTTTCCTTCCAAGATTTCAAGACTCTATTATGATTGCCCACCGCTTCAGCCATTTAACTTTATCTTAAACATGGCAAAATTTCATGTTCCTGTAGTTTTCCCCCCATTGAACAGAGTAATAGCCGCCCCTGTGACATTCTGGTTCACTAATTGTCTACTTGCCTTTGTGTTTTTTTTTTCAGTTTTTTTTTTTGTTTTTTCCTACATATAAGAAAGTTGTCTTTTTCTATAGAGACTCAACCTTCCAAAATAAATTTTATACTTCTATAATTTGAAATTTAAAAGAAGTGAACATGTATATGAAGTTTATTTTTGACACATAAAAAAGAGTGTGTGAAGTTTATTTTGAAACAAGTGAAATATATTTAAAAAAATGTTTTAATCTCATCATTAGTCTCCGGAAAATGAAAGATGGTTTTTTCAAACGAAAAAAGTGATGGATCTTATTCGTGGCCCAACAATTACGCGAGAAGAGACGATAAATTGATCATAACTTCTTTTATTTAGAAAAAAACCCTTCTGAATGAATAAATATGAAATGTATAGAGTACACAATTATTAAAGTAACCAGGATAAAGCATTAAAATAAATGTGTTTAGTCATACATATACATTGTACACAGCCATCACCAACACAAGCATTTTAGACCTCTAGCTTTTGTTATATTAAGACCTTTAACAAAGCTCTAACCTCATTACTCTGCCCAGCACTTTCAAGGATAGATTTGTAGGTTATATGATCATATTCAAAACCATTGGCATTCATCTCTTTCATCAGCCTCCTCAAACATGCCGGCACCGCTCAGACAACCAAGAACCATGTTGTGTGAGACCACGTCCAGTTTAACATTATTCGGTTCATTCATCCCCATAAACATGTCGACCCCGGGTCTTGTGGACCCAAAACTACTCTTGGCCAAATGTTGGGAGTTGTGTGTTGGGTTCGATCCCAACCGACAAAACGAATTAAACATTACTTCCAAATAAAGAAATGTGAATATTTAGTCATTGGCTTAAGCTTTTTGTTAGAAAGTGCATTAGATCTGTACTTTATATGGGAAAGTGATCAAATCTTATCTGATACTCTCCACCTAGTTCACTCGATCCACCGAAATTTTAACACAACATGACCATTAAGATGCCATTTTCGTTACACCTTTAGCGGTAAGTGCTTGGAGAGTTGCTTACTTTATGCAATTGTATCCTATGATAAGCTCCCAGTAGAGAAGATCTATATGACATTCAAAATTGCTTATTATAAGCATCGTTGTTTCTACAAGCAATTGTATCTTAGATATAAAAATTAAAATATATTTTATAAGTAACAACCAATAGAATTTAACATATATCGAAAAATGTGTAGCTAAATCCATCCCGATTATGACTAAATACACCCTATTTCTGTAAAATAGACAAATTTACCCTTAAAAGTTTGCTAACATCTATTATCCTTAAACGAGGGTGCATCTAGCAATACCAAAATATAGAAAAATACACTGTGTTTTTCTTAAATGATACTCCCTCCGTTTCTGAGTATTTGTCTACTTTTGACTTTTTCGGTCAAAATTGATAAACTTTGAGCTCAAATTAAATAAAAATGATATAAGATATTGATACAAAAAGAGTTTTATTAGATTTATTATATAAAATATTTTTAAAATATCATTTTATTTAATTAAAATATAATATATATTTTATATAATTATAGGTCAAAGGTTGAAAACAAATGACCAGAAAAAGTTAAAACTGAACAAATACTCAAGGACGGAGGTAGTATATTACTATGAATTTGTGACTTGTGGCTTGCTTGCGTTTACCATTAGAGCGAAATGTGTATGTGCACTAATTAAAGATGGGTCTTAAAGATTATTCCTAAACGCATCCCAATTCCAAGTGTATGTGTATCAAGAGCTAATTTGAATATTCAAACTCCTTAATGCGGCAATGAATAACATTCCAAGTCAAGAGTCAACTGTTCAAGGCCCCGCGTACGTCCCTTGCACAATTGCAGCAAATGGTTAGCTGCTAATATATGTTAAATAATTTTTGATATGGCATTATGGCTATATTTATTTTCTTTTCGTTTCGTTTTTAATTTCACAAGCCAAACATAGCGTAAGGATTTTATTATGTGACTTTTGAACAGATGTTGACAGATCAAACCAATGATTTTTTTTCCATTGAAATTCAGGGGATCACCTTATAAATACACATCATTGTATAAACACAAATCAATTGATTTTTCTAAAATTACATTTGCATCATTTTTAACAAAAAGTTTACATTTTCTTAATGACCAAGTCGGTCTTAATGTAAAACTTTTGAAAAATCAAATATTGTGCAGTAGATGGACACAACTTGCATTGATAATGTCAACCAATTCATCAATCCAAATCTCCACAATTTTCCTATGGACCATTGATATTAATATACTACCCTTACTAGATCATTAATATAAAGTTCTTACAAAGTTGATTTACCTAGAAAAGGTGATGTGCGGTTTTGTTGTTGAAGCAACCGCAGCTTAACTAAAAACTCTTCATTAGCAACAAGGTTATTTTTAACTTATAAGTTAAATATTCTTCCGTGAAAGTAAAAAGACTTCAATAATAGATAAGTCATTTGAGAATATTCGTAAATGGTAAGAAATAATTTTGTAAATAATTTTGTCAAAACGGAGTTTTGAAAAAACTGACTTAAAAATTAGTAGTTAAGACCTATTAATTTTTTCCGTCTTATAAGAAGCTTATAATTCTGCTAGCTATTAAGCACAAAGAAACGTCATCAGCTGACTTATAAGTTAAAAATAGCTTATATACAATTTTGAAGTGTTTATAAACACAGAAAAACCCACTAAATTATTTGACAAGACATCATGTGCTTGCATCATGCTCCTCGGAATTTTCCTAGTCCACCCATTCACACTTACGTACAGAGCTAGTGGAGGTCAAGAGAGTCGTCGCCATAGCTCCCTCAGGTGCCGTTTGGCTTTAAATCTCTACACCTTAATTAATTAGCAGGCATCATCTTGAGCTTATAAATAGGATACAGGCTGCCCTGGTTTACTTAGCTTCCATCATCATCATCATCATCATATCATATTGTAACTAATAAGATGGCACATAATAATAATATGGCAGTAGTTTCCTTGTCATCCTTTTTGATCATTTTCTTGATAAAAATGTGCGCGGCGGGAGAAATAGCGATATACTGGGGGCAAAATGGGAACGAGGGCACTCTCGGAGACACTTGTGCCTCCAACAACTACAACATCGTCAACCTCGCTTTCCTCACCGTGTTCGGCAACGGCCGGACGCCGGTGCTCAACCTGGCCGGACATTGCGATCCGGCCAGTAATGGGTGCGTCGGCCTGAGTGCCGACATCAAAGCCTGCAAGAGCCAGGGCATCAAAGTGCTCCTCTCCCTAGGGGGTGGTGCAGGAACCTATTCCCTCTCATCTGCTGATGATGCCAGGTAAATAAGTTCATACTCCCTCTGTCCCTAAAAGAATTGCCTAAAGTAATATTTACGAGTATTTATTTATTTTCGTGACTTATTTGATATATAGGAATGTGGCACAATACCTGTGGGACAATTACCTTGGAGGGCAATCAGGGTCGAGGCCGCTAGGGGCCGAGCCCCTAGACGGAATCGACTTCGACATAGAACTGGGCGGGGGCCAGTTCTATGATGAACTGGCCAAGGCCTTGACCGCTTTCGGACAAAAGGTCTACTTATCAGCAGCCCCTCAGTGCCCATTCCCAGACCAGATGCTGCAGGGGGCCATAAACACCGGCATCTTCGACTACGTCTGGGTCCAGTTCTACAACAACCCTTCCTGCCAGTACTCAGGGGACGCCTCCGGTCTCCTCAGCTCTTGGAACAGTAACTGGGCAAACATTCCCGCCAGAAGAGTGTTCCTCGGACTGCCTGCGTCCGCCGGTGCTGCCGGAAGTGGGTTTGTTCCAGCCGGTGTGGTCACTTCCCAGATTCTTCCCGCCATCAAGGGCTCCGCTAAATACGGAGGCGTGATGCTCTGGTCTAAATTCTATGACAATGGCTACAGCTCCAGCATTAAACCTGCAGTTTGATGGATAGAAACTTCATATGTTCTTCTTAGCAGAAGATAAAAATATAAACAAATAAACATACCCCGGGGTATATGAAGTTTGAACACCAATAATGCCCTCCGTTGCCAAAGGGAGGGATCCAGTGCAGTTTCTCCTTGTGTGAGAGAATTGTAACAATAGATTTACTAGTCCCATAATTCTGTGAGATAATACTATGAGTGAATTACATTACATACAATAAAGTTCCATAACTTCTACTGTCTAGTCACAACATATATTTACCTGTTTTCTATGGAGTATACAACAATAGACTTTGTTCTAAAACAAACAACAATAGACCTAGTACAATCCCACAAAAGCACAAATATCTAAAAACACAAGACAAGAAGCACATATATTGGCACCATCAATTAGCCCATAACACAAAAAACACACATGTACAAGCCACACACTCTGTACCCACACACCAACAAAAACTATACACTAAAGCTCAAATGTCTACCCAACTACTCTCGTCTCCGAACATTCATCTTTTGCCTCAAAAGAATTTTATAAATGCACTCAAAACTGGTCCTGCCTTGCTTTACAACAAAGTTCATGCTCATCAAAGATAAATAAATCTGCTTTTGCCTCTTGAAGAAAAAAATTACTATCATGTAAATGATTCGAATCAACGTAATAACTACATCTTGAGATTATAGAAGTACACCATATGTAGTGAATATAATAGCAACCCCAACCCCCACTAGTTGTGATATGGTGTCGTGGTGGTGATGTTGACGATGATGAAGAACTGAAGGGTACCCTAGAAGCAATTAGTGTCAAGATTAGGAAGGGGGGCCTTAGTCTAATCTTCCAAGAGGGGACTCAGCAGCATGATCATCCACGAACCACAGACCAAATTCTCTGAAACGTTTTATCTTCTTGTCGAAGCCGGTGATGTAGTTATTGTGAATAATAACAGTCATTCCCTTGGTGTCTTGCACCCATGTTTGGTTCTTGAAGTATAGACCACCCGTTGGGAATGCCGCTTGAGGAAGCAGATACAAATCCACCTGCAATGATGATTTCATTTCATACACATTCAAACTCAAACTTAACTCCCATACAACTGAATGAAATATAATGAGCCATGACAATGAATACCATCAATCTGATATTGCCAAAATCTCATATTCAGGGAAATGGCTTAATAGGAAACTCAGAAAAGGGCATACCTGTCCGGCAGTTTTGTTTAGAGCCCAGTTAAAAGCAGGCTGGTCATTAGATTTTTTAGCCTTGGACCATGGCTGAGCTTGTAGTTCTTCAATCCACTTCTTCATAAGCAGCTTTGCTCCATTCGTGGGACGCATATAAATCATGCAGCTGCATATGTAAGTTCGCCCTTTTTTCCCCGGAGGTGGCAAATCATGAGAGTGATCCAGAGGTTTGACCTGGAAGTAGTTCCAAACGACAGAAGAAACAGGCCGATTCTTAATTTCAATAAAGTAGAAATTAGTAAATGATTTGAAAAGAGTAAAAGAGCTTGAAAATGTGAAGATACCGCAGCCATGTCATCTGTGAAGTACACATCATGCTCCCCTTGCAAGTAAGGGAATGGATCAGCTAACCAGACCATATCCACATCATTATACATCACATTATAACCAAGCTCCAAAATCTGCAGAAGATGGCGAGGCCTTCTCGATGTAAAATTGAAGAAACCCTGTAAAACCAAATTATCATCCTTACTTCAAACTGGAATTCATCAATTTAGCAAAATGATATACCATTTAATTCTTTCTTAAAAAAAGATTTATGCAGAAAAAAAAGTGTTAGCACTGCCGAAACCCAGTAATCATCAGCTATAATAACGTGAAAAGAAAAAACACTACTGCAACTATAATCTAAGCATCATCAACATTCTTGACGAAAGGCTTTACCAGAAACAATATTTAGTGAGAAAAGTAGCAGATTCCAACCATAATACACCCATTAATGACATGTTTAAGGATAGCTAATTCAAATGTTGATGTGATCAGAACATATATATACACAGACAACTCCGTATTGCTAAACATCACACGAATTTGTTTATTTCAAGAAAGTGATTACCTGAGAGCCAAACTTGTGAGCACTCTGAGACTCCACAGCAGGAGGGATCAGCACGGCATGGCCAGGCCACCTTTCGTTCACCTTATACAGAGTCGCGTAGTCCTCAGCAATCACCAAAACCTTCTCTTGCTGCTTTTGCCTGGCAATGCTGATTAGCCAATTGTTCAAGAAGGCTAAGTAAGGCTCACTCACAGCGCAGACAATCAGGGTCCCATTTCGAGCCACGCCGGCCGCCGCCGCCGCCAACGTGTACTCCCGCCACTGGGATTGGGAGATCCTGGAGCTATTGCGGGCCTGGAAAACCCCGATGCCGGGGATTTGAGCCCACGGAAAGAGAACTCCGAGGATCACCAGAAGAACGAGGAGGATGACTAGAGATGTTCGGTTGAAGAGGAAGGCGGTGTGTTTCTGGTAATCCTGGGGTGAACGCAGGGATGAACCGTATTGATTTCTCAGGGTGTTTTGGATTGCCCTCTGGTGTAAGAAGGAGGACATTGTGTGATTTGAGAAAATTTCATGAATTTGTTAAATTTTGACCAACTCAGATCTGTAGAGATCGGGAGAGGATTTCTGCGAGTCTGAAAATCATACTTATCAGACTGCTTTGAGGAGATCGCTGAAGGAAGAAGAATGCGGATCTGGTCAGTGGTCACAGAGTTATGGGCCGCTGCCCTATAAAGGCCCAACAGCTCACGAATGTCGGCAAATCCATAAACCAATTTTTCTTTCCATATTCAAACAATTTTCTTTAAGCTCCATTTGGAACACGGAACCCAAATTATAGAATTAGAATTGAAGAAAATAATTTTAATTATATTGTTTGATAATATAAAAATATGTGAATTTAGAATTGGTAGTGCCAAAAATGAATGAGAACTAGAGAATTATGCATAATTCGATAGAGTAGTTCTATATATCATGTTCAAGTAATTCCTTGTACAAATAATGTATTCATTCTATAATATTTAGAATTGTACAAGACCAAATGTCACCTAATTTATTAAACGATATATCAAACTAAATATATGTGCTCTAATTAAGCTCCCGTCCTAATCATCACTCGTTTAATTTTGTGCTTCACAAACAAAGTGGTAGAACGTGCAATATTATTATTGTTGCTCCTTGATGGCACATGAAGTTTAGCATTCTCTTCTTGTTCGTCACCAAATAACTGCTGATTTGGGGCCGTGACAATAATGGGTTTATAGCCCTCCGATGAATCCTGAGCAAAAGGTACAAACAATGCCACACATGATATATATGTTTTAGTAGGTACTCGGTACTATTTTGTACAAATTTCAAATTATAGTATTGTCATGAATAATAGTCGTCTTACAATTCCCAAGGTTTGCATGGCAACAAATGATGCTGGACCAGGCCTTAGTGACCTACGCCGAGTTGACGATGAAGTTTTTGCCCTTGTTCCCTCTTCCACATCTGCACCAAACGATGTGTATATTGTTTACAAATACAATAGTCAATAAAGCTAAGGTAACTTTTTCATCAGATTGGTAAGGATTTGTGGCAAATCTTATACATGCATGGTTCATCTTGACTGTACCTGATGATGACGTCGTCGATGTTCTTCCTCCACTCATCTTTGTATTCTCATCCCTGCATAGAAATGTTATACGGAGTAAGTTGTACGTCATCAATTCATCAAATCTTTATTAAAAATGATCATGATGATGATGATGATTGATTATATCAGATGATGGAAGAACTACCTCATGAAAAGAGAGTATGAGGCCCTTTTTAGTTTTGATTTGGCTTGGGTTGCTATATGCCATGAAAGAGTTTTGGGAGCTGGCGAGCCTAGCTAACCAAATATATATAAAATTAAGTCTCATATACATATACTTACTAACTCCATCATATAATTAACAAAACACTAGCAAAGTCACATCATATATATATATATATATATATATATATATATATATATATCTGTGTGTGTGTATATATGTATGTATCTTTACCAAAGAGAACAAGTTTGGGCTTAGTGGGTTTGTTTTGCAAATGACTACACATTTCAGTGGGTTGCAGCTGGCTAGAGGAGTCCACCTTCTTCCCGACTGCAAGAGCTGTTAATTATACACGTAGGAAATAATTATACATATGTATTCTTTCGCACGTCAATAATATAAGGGAAATTACTTAAATAGCACTAAAACATACTCCCTCCGTCCCCCTAAGATGTTCTCATTTTGACTTTTGGTGGTTTTTAAGGAGAGTTGAAAAAAGGTGAAAGTTTACCATAATACCCTTAATGAAAAATGGGTGGAGTGTATTAAATGAGGTGGGTGAGGTGTAATAAACAAAGTAAGTGGGGGTAGTTGTGGTATTTTAATTGTTAAAAAATGAAATGAGAAGATCTATTGTGAACAAAGAAAAAGGGCTATTGGGAAGATCTATGGGGGACGGAGGGAGTAATAATTTTTCCTAAATAGCATCGCATGTGTTTTTTTCCCAATGTAACACTTTTAGTCGTTATCCATTAGTCATTATTCAGGTAAATGTTCGATAATCGAGATCACAGGACATTATAGACATTATTAAGTGCTATTTTAGGGAATAAAACAGTTTATTTGCGATTTAGGGAAATGACTTAGTTTTAGTATTATTTAGTGCAAATATTTCATAATATAATCTGTGTTGTGAACGTAACATACGTAACATGCATGCATGGATGCATGGGTTTAATTAATTAATTAATTAAATAATTACCAGGCAAAGTGTAATGTTTGTGGTGCGTGTGATCGGCGGGAAGGAGGAGCTGTTGTCGGAGACCTTCTTTGTCAATATAGGTCTTGCAGGTAAGGAGTTTTTGGTGGAGACAGTCCACCTTTGACTCCACAACTGATATGTCCTCTAGCAGTGTTTGTTCGTCCATGATTTGGTTCAGTTTCGAAGCCACGGTGCCTATGTGGTCTACTGCATTCACCACTGCTCTTTCTGCATATTCTTTTAGGTTCTCCACCACCCTACATAATGAGTCAAATTTGCACTACATATCACTAAAACATACCGAATGTATATGTCTTTTCCCGGACGTAGTACCTAAAACTTTTTTATTTCCTAAATAATATTTGAACACTTTTCAGTGACGGGAACAATGTCCAGTTGCGGTGGACATTTACTTCAACAGTGGTACTACATTATGAAATTAAAATATGTGGTACTACGTTGAAAAGAACTCATTATCTTTTAGTTCTATATAGGTAAATTCTTCTATATATAAGACTAGCTCCTTCCTAGCTACTCTCTCCGTGCAGCAAAGATCTTCTCATTACGCGTTACGAAGCTTGATCGATTTCATTTTCAATTCAATTTGTTCAATTGTAGTAGAAAATTTAAAAATAAAATTTATATAGAAAAAAAAGTTTTACAAGCTATATTATTTTATGAGACGAATAACAAGAATAAGCAAAAAAAAAAAAACAAGTTAAGTTTGACCATGGGTGAGAGGGTGGGTAGGAGATTATGGGGAAGAATCGCACATACATCCAATTCTGCTTGCCATATCGGTATGATTTTTCGGTACGCTCTGCAGCAGAATAAAGTTGAGGACCCAAGTTCTTGAGTTCCTAATAATCATGATATGCATCAACACATTTGCAACACAACAACAACTCAAAAATTAAATCAAACAAATTCAATGAAATTAATACGACTACTGAAAAAGATAAAATACACAACTTCTTTTCCTTAAATAAAAAAAATAAAATCTTGTACTTCTGGACAAACCTAACCGAAAACGTTAGCAACCTTTTTATGTTGCAAAAAGAGTATAAAACAATATCTAAAACAATCCATATGATTCTTTGTGTTTCGGTTAATTGAAAACATTATAGAGTGGTAACAGAGTTGCATTGTTCATAGTTCAAAACATAATTATATGATAATTTAACTAATTTTTGCAAAAAACTTGTGAATCCAACATTAATAATTAGGCCGGGCTTGTTGACGTTTTCGATTAGCGCTATTGTTTTAAATAATTTTATAATGGTAAATGTTAATTTTGAAAACACTAAAACTAATTAACACTACCATTAAGTAATCAAAGCGTCAAAGTTGTTTGCCAAACAAGTCCTACATGGATAAAATCATGCATAAATTTATCACAATGTTTGATTCAAAGATTTTGAGTGAGAAAAGAAAAAAATTTAAAATAATCTTTCTAATTTGGCCAGAACAAAATAGAAAAACATGGAGAAAAAAAAAAGAGAACCCAAAATTATTAAGAAGAGGAAAAACTCATTTTTTTTCTCGTTTTGGTGAGAAAAATGAAAAAAATTATTTTTTTTTATCTTTTTCTTCCAAGTAATTTGAACCAAACATTAGGTTAATCATGTGAATTCAGTAGATTAGCTAGTAGTGCTTATATTTCATCCCTTTCACAAAACAATTTCGCCCTAACGTAACAAAATACCATTTCCTAAAATCCTCGTAAATACAGAAGTACATCATTTTTTTCTGTACCAAATTGGAGGAAGTAGTATCTATTAATACCTGTAAGGCATTGAAGAAGCTCTGGGTTCGCGCCGTCGTGGAGACCTCGTCGAGACTGGTGGTAGAATTCTCCGGCGGCGGCGGCGGCGGCTTGGCTTCCTCCACGACCATCTATCCGATCGATCGGTCCCTGGCCACAAGCTAGCTACTTTCTCCAAAATAGGCAGCTAGCTAGGCGGGGTTCTATTATATTATAATTTATAAGTAGGAGGCAGTTAACTATTAATTGAAGTAAGGTATATATACTAAGGGGAGCCGCGCAAAGAAGCTAATTAAGCTGTGGATATTTTGTGCAACTGGCGGCGGCGGCGGCGCCGGAGAAGAAAAGAAAAGAAGCAAACTCATCATGAGAATATATACTATTACTATTACTACATACTAGGGAGTAATTAGCAAAGCTTCTTTAATTAATTAATTACCTCCACCGCCAATATATAAGAACAAAGTGAGTAAGTTGGCGATCGAATATATACTCTTGTCTAAATTACTAATTAATTAAGAACATGATGTTCTTTGCTGTAAAAAAAAATTTAATATTCGAAGAAACGGGAAGAAATTGTATAAATTGAAAAAATAAAAATGAATTAGAAATGGGTTGTTTTATAAGTACATTGTAGTTAATTGCACTCTCTATCCCATAAAATTTCACAACTACGGAGTACTATTTATATGTCGAATTTTAACCATTTTTACCTATTCTCACAATCTTAATTATTTTGCTTGATTATTAGTAGAGAAATTGATAAGAAATGCTTTGGATAGTGTTTTTATTTGGTGACTTTTAGAAAAATTGAAGAAACCGATTAAATTGATCGCTTAAACCAACACTTTTCATGAGATTTTTGCTTTGAAAAATGATGATTAATCATATTGAAACATTTTGGTAGAATATAATTAGACAAATATTGGAAAATGATGATTAATCGTATATGCATAAAGCACTAAAGTAGTCATTATACAAAAACATTATACCAAATGAAAATTCAAATGTTTGTGCAAAATAAAAAAGAAAGAGCCAAAAATTGTCAGAAGTGGGATTTGAACCCACGCCCTCTCTCGAAGACCAGAACTTGAGTCTGGCGCCTTAGACCACTCGGCCATCCTGACTAGTTTGTTCGTTCCCGATAGATTTACGAATTAATATGTTAACTATAAGTTTTACTGTAATTCGAAAACAAAAACAAAAATGATAGATCTGATCAGTGAAATCCGATTCAATTATTCTGAACCAAAACTACAAATGACTCTATTTTTCCCCAGATTTAGGTAAGGCTGGGCAGAGTTCATCATGATTCGGTATAATGTACTCCTCCGTTCCAAAGAAAATGTCACATTACGTAAAACAGAACAAAATTTTAAGTATTTTTAATATAATGTATTTAAAGATTAGTATAGAAATTAAATAGTAAAATTTAACATTTAAAAACAATGTCAGAAGCTCTATAAAATAAGATATAATAAAAATATTTTATTTTATGAAATAATTAATGAAAATAACCAAATAAACATAATTTTTCTTGATTTTTATACAGTGACATAATTTTTGGGATGAAAAAGTATTAAAATCAAATTTCATTTTGGCACAATGTCAGCTCAATTTTGTAACACTAATTACTTTATTACAAGAATATGTTCATATATTATCAACCTAATAAAACACATGATAAAGTTACTACTTGTACTGAAGCTTAAACCTATGACCTCCCATTTAGAAGTTTCATCTTTGATGCCGCTGGATCACAAGGTGTTTGACACCCGTTAAACGCTTAATATCAAAATGTACCCATAACTAAAATCAAACTCGTAACAATGTCCCATTGATACTAAGGGGGTGTTTGTTTTTTCTGCAGGAAAAGGTCTGCAGTCTGCGGACCACTACTGTAGACATCTGCAGGAGAAGTGGTGGACCGAAGGTCTGCGGTCTGCAAGAAGAAGACTGTTTGTTTTTTAATGTCTGTAGACTGCTATATAAATTAATGGTGGTAGTGTACGGTGGCGGTGTATGGACGATTGTGGNGTGGTGGACGACGGTGGTGATGGACGGTGACGGTGATGGTGGACGGTGGTAGTGGTGGACGGTGACGGTGGACGGTGGCAGTGGTGAAGAGAAGTAGAAGAAAAAAAATAGAGAAGATGTTAGAAGACATAGGTTAATGTCTTCTCTTAAAAGATGCCAGGAAGACCTTTTTGAGTTAAATGTTTTCCAAAAAACAAACAATCTGCAGAGCTCAACATCTGCGCACGTCTACACGGCGCAGACAAAAGATGCCAGAAGCTCTTCTGGCCAAAAAACAAACACCCCTAAAAGAAAAAAGAACAAAAGAAGCAAATTTCGGTTTTAGCACTTCGTTTGGTAAAATCAAGTGGACATATCACACATTCACACCAAACGGGTGAAAACAGAAAATTCAAAACACTGCCAAACGACACACCTTCTAGATTATATGTATTACTGGCAAAAACAAACACAAACTCTCTGTTTATATAGCACTGGGAATTGCACTAGTAGAACAGCTAAATCTAAAAGCTAATTCTGCAATCTGCCACAGTTGCTTCCATATAGAGTAACAACACAGAAACAAGTCGTCGCCATGGAACCATACACACAAACACATGAAAAAGCTGAATTAAAAAAGGTTTAAAAAAAACAAAGACACATCGGCAACGATATATGCCCCTCCCCACACAGTTCATTCCCTCTTCTTCGCCTTCATCGAAGGCCCTCTGGGGATTTTACTCAGCACTTTTGCATCAAACACAGCATACTGCTCCTTGATCTTCAGTGTTGCTTTTTCAGCAAGTGGGTCAATTTTGTCCTCATACTTCTCGTAGATCACTGGAACGGTGTGCAGCAGTACAAATACTGTTTCATCGAAAAGAAAATCAACATCTCACGTGTTTGTGTGAAAAAAATGTGAGCGAATCAGTCATTGGTTTAAAGCTCAACTATTGAATGCACTTACTTATGTAGAACAGTGTCACAAAATTGCACCAACTGCCAACAATGGAGAGGATCCATAGACCAGTAATTACCTTAAAAAGAATTGGAAAGAAATCATATATCGTTGACAAACAGAAAAAACACAGCAAGTTGGCATTGATTGCGCAAACTTCACAATTTTAACAAACTCCACATCAATTACAAACATCAGAATCTATCAAGGGTTGTGAAAATTTATGTAAATATGAAGTGTTTGTAAATGGGGTTTATATTTACATTTCGCTATTGCCCCGAGGACAATGATTAAGATAGTCAAACATGGAAACTTGTCATTTCTTTCAAGAACAAATCTATTAGACGTCTACAAAATTTCATTTTACAATGACAAATTTCCACTTTAACAAACTTAACCATTGTGTTAAGCACAAGGGTCAGCAAACAAGTTTGATAACCTTGACCATTGTGTTAAGAAAAAGGGTCAGCAAACAAGTTTAATGCTCCCTAAGCCCCATAAAAATTGTCACTCTTGCTTTTTTATTCATCCCACAAAAGGCTTCACTTTCGTTTTAAGGAAAACAATATGTATCTCAAAAAGCTTCTCTTCTTAACAAATTCCAATCACAGATCTTTCACTTTCAACACTTTTCTTGAACTCCATGTGAATTAAACACGAAAGATTTTCATGGGAAGGAGCTAGTATTTTGATGGCAAAAAGATTCTATTAAGAGGAAGAAATGAGCCAAATACTCATCAATATACAATATTGCTGAATGAGGTAAAGCAAAATGCATGAGAAACAATCTATGTCTAGAGCATTCTAGAGCATGGAGGAAACAAAAAAGCTGAGTTGAACAGAACATCAATTTGTCTGCCAAAATTATAAAATTAGACACTTACAACAAGAAATGTCTTCAGATCTCTTCCGGATGCAATTTCTCGCAGTATGGCCAACCCGCGGTTAACTTCAACTGTCAGGGCATCTGCAGCCTCGATGAAGGGACGCTCTGGAATAAGGACTTCTGGGATGCGTGGCGGAGACCTGAGAAACAATGATCTTCTGTTCAGTACATAGAGTCGACAGAGTAAAATAGATGAGCAATTGAGAATAGAAGCACACTTGTTAATGAAGGTTGATGCATTGGACCACAAGAACGAGACTGCAAGAGCAATGATCAAAACATGGCAGACCAGTGTGAGAAGGTGGTACTCCATCAATTCAAACAGAACCCAGATAGCAGTAGCAACACCAAGGACTCCACCAGATATCTTCTTGTTCCTCCACAAAAACAAATCAGCAGCTGCACAGATTAAGCAGGTACTTTCCATTTTAATGATCACAAGTAACTAGATAAAAAATGTTTTCCTTGTCCAAAAGCCAATCTTCCATGAGCTTGCATTCAATAATACATTCATTGGAAACAAACACAGAACAGGAATTTATTTTCTCAGCATCGATGCCATTAGTTTCTAATCCATTTATAGCATGCATTGTTTCCTCTTCTTGGAAACAATTAAACAACTATACAACCACATCTGCACATTATTAAGTTTTTTTTTTCAAAAAACAACTGAGGGCATAGCTCAGCATTGAGGCTGCTAGAAACTCAGCACATACCACAACCTGAAATGGTCCACAAAGCAGCAAAGAAACAAACAGGGCTCAAGAAGTTTTTTGTACAAACTATTACTCAAGAAATAAATACAGATCTAGGAACACAGGTTAAGCATATTCAACAGCTAAACACCACCATGCTGAGGTTAGATCACAAAACACTCAATGTTTGTGCATCAGAAAAGAGGAATCGCACAATTGTTTTACAAAAACTCTAAACCCTAATCTCTTTCATCAAGCACCTGCAAATTCACTTTTTTAATATTCAAAAATGAAATGATACAAAGAACAACTCCGAAATACACACAGAGATGCAGATCGAAATCAATTTCTATGCGTATAAAAAGTGTATGTAGGTGTAGGTAAAAGTAACGTACGCTTGCCTCCACCGAAAACGTGGTGAACCGGCCGTTCTCGGCCAAAAAGCCGCCAAATCTTTGACTTCGCAGATGAATGCGAAGCCGGATGCTTCACGGTCTTTTTCTCAGATTCGGAATCAGAAGACGACGAGCTGTCACTGCCGTGGCCGTGAATCTTATCATGGATCTTGTCCATCAAGGATTCTGTTTGTTGAACCGGATCCGCCATCTCCGATTCGATCAGCGATGAACGCCTGCAATTCAGATGGAAATGGAAACTCTTGTTGAAATTTGATGATTATGATGACGACCTCCTAACACTTGTTCTTGGCTCCGGTCCTGGTGCGTACCTATATATTGCTTGAAATCTTGAATCGGGTGAAGCTTCGAGCCTGCGGGTCGGGTCACGCCGCTTTTATTTTTCACTCGGGGTATTTTTTTAATGTAACAAATCTTAATTACTACTCCGTATAAATTACGAGTATTAAATTCTACGGAGTACTAAAAAAATTACTTTGATTTTTTAATCAAATTATTGAAGCACTTTGATCATAAATTGTGGATAAAATATATTTATTTAGTATGTATATTTAATATTGTGATTCTTATCATATTTTTTGTGCAGTTGGAGCCGGAGGTCTCTTGAAAACAACCTTCCTACTTTCGAGTAGGGGCAAAGTCTGCGTACACACACCCTCCCCAGATCCTATTGTAGTGGGATTCAACTGGGTTATTATTGTTGTTGTTGGTATGTATATTTAGTAAAGAACTGATTCATTTTAAAAGGTAGTTTTGATATATTAAAATTTAATAATATTTAATTATTTAAAATTATATTTAATTTGTAATCAAAGTCTGTCACAGTTTGATCAAAAAGTCACACAATGATAATTTTTTGGGACGAAAAGAGTATAAACCAAATTAAAATGTACGAAGTTATATACTCCGTAATTATTTAATATAACTCTCTATATCAAAATTTTAAAAAATTTAAAGTGTCTCAATGTATTCTCATTTAGAATTAGCTTAAAAATAATAAGTAAAAGTTATATTTATAACACTCGTGAAGTGTAAAGAATTTTTTTTTGTGAAAGGGGAATAAAAATTTAAAACACTCCCTATGATTTTCGAAGACAAGATTTAGAAACCGGACAAAAACTGATTTCAAATTGGATATTAAATGTACAATAAATTCGTATGACCATAGGATTCGATCTAGAAGTTTAAAATCGTACGACTACAAATTTGATTTTAAAACGGTACTATAGAATCGTAGTAGATTTTACTCCCTTCGAAATTTTTCTTTTTTCTTTTTTTATTCGTCCCACAAAACATTTCTCGTTTCTATTAAAAAGTCACTTTTACCCCTTACTTTTTTATACCCTAAGTATTACATCATACATGTTTACTAATAATCTATCCATCAAATCATACTTTTACCCATCACATCAAAGGACATTTTTGGAAATTCAATATCAAAATACATTCTCCTTAAATCCCTCCTAAAAAGAAAAGTTCCATGTTTCATGGGACGGAGGAAGTATTAAAAAAGAAACTTGTCGAAGTCCTGTACGCTCTCAATCTTTTTTTAGCCAATAATTTATTCAGAAAGTGTATTTCTTAGCCACCAAGTTTTCGTTTTTATTTAATACTCCTAATATTTGATCCATATTAAATAATGCCATTAATGTGAACTAATGATGCGAGACGGCCGACCTAGAAAGTGAACTACTAATTTCATGTTCAAAAGAATAAGGATACGTTTGGTTCACGAAAATGACGGAATTGGGGAATTGAATTAGAAGTTGAAATTCTTTTAAATTGATTTATTTAGAATTGAGTTCTCCAATACTAATTCATTTTTTGCACTACTAATTTTAAATTCACATATTTTTGTGCTACCAAACAGCAGAATTAGAATTATTATCTTCAATTTCAATTCCATAATTTGGTTTCTGTGTACCAAACAAAGTCTAAATCTATTTGTATTCCAAAGATTAACTTCAAAATGTAAAGGTTTATACTTACGTTTTTTTGTTAATGTGAACAAAAGATTGATAGTAGTTTACAGTAACACAAAATATGAGTGCAAAATCTTACGATTATTTTTGTGTCAATATAACCCATCAAAATGTAAAAGTAAATTGTTGGTACATTTTGAAATACAATCTTTTAGGTACACCTAGCATGATTGTATTAAAAATTATTTCAGTCACACTTTGAACGAAGCGAATGAATGTCACGTAGTCATTATCTCAGAAAATGAAAGATGTCTCTCAATGGAGAAATGTTAGAATTATAAAATACAGTAAGTATTTGTGAACCCAGACAAACAAAAGAGAGCACAATAGTCTCAAAATATAATATTTAAAATAGTAAAAAACTAAATTAACAAATGATAAATTTGCAAATCTTGTGTCTTTTTGTTTGTGACTCAACTCTACCAGCATTATTTCTCATCTTGGTATTCTTAGGTATTCAAGCATAGTTATATAGCTTGTTCTCTCCAAACTATTCTTATCAATGACTAATTTATTCTTATTGCAATCAAATCAGAATATATCAAAAATAGTTTTACAATCGGATCAAATTAGACCAAATCAAATCATTAGACTCGAGTAGATTAGACCTTAGTAAAAATAAGTTCACATCTTATCAAATCAGTCCCAATTTGAGAGTAAAATTTACGCCATATTTGACGATCCTAATAGACAATTAATAGTAAATTAATCAGTTTGTTAACCTTTTCCTTGATTTCACTCGTAGAAAGCACATTTCTCAAGATTCATATGGAAGTCCACCCAAATTCGAGTTTCAATGGAGGCAGAGCCGTTAGCTCTTTGTGCGTCATTAGATTAACAAATATATGAATAAATACTACACTTTTATTTGTTTGCAAGTTTTTATTGATCATTTGATAAAATAAAACATTTTTGTCACCTCTTGTTTAGTGGAGTTTTTTATGTAGCTTTTAAATATAGTTTTTATTTTTTTACCAATTTGTGAATAATTTAAAAAAAAACACAGGATTTTGTACGTTAATTAAAGAAGGTGATTTTTTTGGGACGGAGAAAGAAATTAACAGTACTCCCTCCGTTCTCAAAAACACTTCCTCTTTCATTTTTTCCACTTCCAACAAAACACTTTCCCTTTCTATTAAAAACTCACTTTTACCCTTACTTTTTCATACCCTACCTATCACATCATACTTTTTCTCTAATAATTATCCATCACATCTTACTTTTATCCATCACATCAGGGGCAAAATTGGAAATCAACTATAATTTAACACTTCTTTATTTTTGCCCCAAAATCAAAATGAGAAGTCTTTTTGCAAACGGAGGGAGTATATTATTTTAAAATTTGGAGTTTTTAATGGGGCGGTCGGAGTATTTTTTTTCAAAGTATTGGTACACATTTAAGCTCTATTTCCAAAAGTAATGTATGCATGCAAGTTTAATAATGTTGAAGAAGTTTAGTAGATACTTAGCTTGGATGAATTTGTTTGATTTTAAACTTTAATTTAAGTAATAACTGAAAGCTTCAATATTTTATTACCCTCAAGACTTGAAATTAACTGCATGAAAATGTGTTTTGGATATTATAATTCTTTAATTGGCTCCGAAATTAAAGTTCCATTTACAATTTAGAATCCAAAGAAATGTTTTCACTTATTTAATTAATTAATTAATTGTTAAAATAGTACGGAATATATTGTATATATAAAGTATTTTTTTAATAATCACTTTTACTTGAAAATATTATTAATTTTATTTGAATGAATTGATTTGATAATAAATTTAGTCCATGGTAGGTTTTAATTAAGATATAGAAAATATTTAATTTAGGTAGTGCTTGGTCAGGGGAATATTCTCTCAAAAAAATTTCATTACAATTTCTTCTATTTAGGAACTTAAATTGTAGAAAAATATTTTCTCTCGACAAGGAGAACACATTTTCTGTTTTAATTTTAAAAATATATTTTCCGTTTGATTTTAAAGATCTACTTATCATCTCATATAAATATAAAAGATCCAGATTTTATATGTGGATTTAAGAGCTATGATAAAACAAGTTACGCATGTCTGAAATAGTTTTATTTCATTTATTAAAACAATGACTCTGAATTCTAGTTAAAGCCTTGGGTTAAGTATGGGACAAGTAAATGAGCTAGGGTGTTTGACTACCCATTACTTCTTGTCACCACTTGTTTTGTTAAACTTTTGGTGTAGTTTTTAAATATGTATGTTTTATTTTTTATTTCTATACCAACATTTAAATAAAATAGATTGAAAAAACTTGGGATTTTTCTTCGTTTTGCGAACCGGGAAGATCATTATAGACGGAGGGAGTATATTAGAATTACTAAGAAATAATAACTAGTTTAGACCATTTCGGTACTCCTTATGTACTCCCTCCCAAAAAGAAAAAATGGCTGAAGTTGTTTAAAGCTAAAGTTATTTTCAATTCAATTTATTTGAAAATTAGTAAGAAATTTAAAAATAAAATTTATATTTTTAAAAATTATATCAAAAGTTATACAGAGGACAAAGTGACAAGACTATTATTTTCTCAAATTAGTAGCAAAAATAGATTCAAAAAATGAGGGTTTTACGGTTTTGTGGGTTTTACTAGCACACGCATTAAAACCACCTAATGTCAATTAGTTCCATCATACCAATAAGTATATACAATTCCAAGTAGTATGTCAAAATTGAATTATGCTAGTAACAATTCCAACTACACTAAAAGTGGATCGGAGTTTAGTATTTACAAACGCAAAAATGCTAGAATTACATCAAAAGTGGAGTTTAGTATTTACAAACACAAAAATGCTAGAATTATATCAAAAGTGTACCTTATTTATATGCCAATATGTTCTCTACCACACATAGCTTCTTGATATTGATGTAAAAAAGAGAGGTGGATAAGAAATGAGTGGTTAGAAAAATGAAATACACTTTTAGTGTACCGCTAACATTTAGTCTTACAAAAGAATTGAAGACTCTCTCTACAAAATAATGTCAAACTTGATATAAGATCCTAAAAGTCAAAGTAACTATTTCCCATCAAAATTTGGTACATCAAAGATTTTGTCAAGACCCAAAATAGCTGGTGTATCTTCATTTTGGTCCGCAATGCATTATATTTATATCGAAAGTCAACTTATTAATAGTAGAAGAGAACTAAATCCAATAAACATGATTCACCCTCATCATCTTCATTTTATTTCCATGGTCAAAAGAAAAAGTACATAGCAGCAAACAGTTAATGGAGGAAAGCATGGAATTATGGATTCCTATATATGAGTTAAGAATCACCAGATCTGTTCCAGAAATGGGAGAGAGTTGGGAGCTTGATCTCACCGCGGCGGGAGAGAGGGATGGAAATGTTTCCGATGAGGGGAAGGTCGACGACGAGGGTCAGGTTGAGGAGGTAGTCGATGTCCCAATCGCGGCCGATGTCCCTCCCCAGGCTCAGTAGCACACTGTGTGCCACCTTTACCGGCACATCAACCACCGTGGTTTCGTTCCCTTTCAGTGACCCCGGGTCTGGTATTGTCCCTGAAGCTATCTCCCTGCATGCAGAGATCGAACAAATTCAACCACAAGATTAACAAGTAATTAAGCAGCCAAATCGTGAAGACATTATTGAAGGAAAATGATCATGGCCAAAGTACAGTAACCAAGTGTAATTAATTAATTAATGACCAGGATACACCGCTGAATTTTGAAATTTCTCGAAATTTGGGGGAAATCTGGAATTGAACATACCGAAACCAAATCAAACACAGCCTAAATTAAGATGGAAAGTAGGGGGATCGAAGAAGAAATCGCATGAATCGGTAAGAATTAGGAAGAAGAAGGAGGAATTGAAGAAGATGGGATAGGAATACCTATCGGCACTGTGGAGGGCATATCTGATCTCGCAGATGGGAATGGAGGAGGAGTAAGGGTTCTTGACGTCGACCTTGACGTGATACGAGATGCCGTCGACGGAAATGCCCTTGACATCCACGTCGGAGATGCTGGCCTCCGGCATCGGCATGCTCGCCAGCTTCTCGCCGACGTAATTCTTCGCCTTCTCCACTAGATCCATTTTTTTCTCTCTCTCTCTCTCTGCAAGTGTAATTACTACTCCGTAGTTCTTAGGGAGAATTTAGAATCGGTCTTTTTCAAAACGCCATCCAATCCATACAGTAAGTGAAAACCAACCAAACACGGCCTGGCCTATTTATTTATTTTCCCACCACCAATTTATACTGTAAGTCTTCCACTAGAGGAGCGCCAAATTCCAATTCACGCCTTTCACGCACCACCAATTGTCTTCGGAAAAAAAAAAAATTGAGCGAAAGGTTATGAATCCCATTATCTAAGGTATGTTCAGTTTTTTTTGAATTTTTCTTAGCGTATTTGTCCAGTTTGACTTGAAAAAGTCAAAATAGATAAACTTTGAACTCCAATTACTCTCAATTTATATTGCAATATTAGCATAATGAAATACAATTTAAAAGTTCTCAGTACGATAAAATCAATAAAGTCATTTTTATGTTAAAATACATTACACTTTTATTTAATTGAAGCTCAAAACTTACCTAGTTTAACTCGAAAAAGTCAAACTGAACAAATACACTTAGACGGAGGGAGTAATAGGTAAATTTTATTCCCTCTCTCTAAGTTTATCCCCAATCCCAATATGAGTTAATATGGAGGGCAATTCCTCTGAATATAAACTACACAAATTTACTATGTGAATAAAATGATTTTAGATACAAATAAAAAATGAAAAATGGTAGGAGTACACCAAAGGTGTTCCTCATTTGTCCCTCATCCCTTCCATTACCATGAAAATGGGCAAGAAAATTGAAAAAAAAAATACAAATAAAAATCAAATAAAAATAGGTAGTTGAAAAGGAGGTGATGTACATTTAGGGTACACCTTTGGTATACTCCTAGCATTGCTCATAAAAAATTTATGTAGTTATTGTCCAAATAGTTAGACCCTAGCATTACTTAGAAGTTAACACTGAATTTTTGCTGAGTCATGTGGAAATTACGAGTGTGCCACATGGAATGCCAAGTAGGGAGTATAAGAAAACCTAACGTTAAGGTGCTGGCACGTGTATTGTCGTCAGTGGCACGTGGATGGTCAGACTCAGAACAGCTGGAAAAGGCCGCCAAAGTACGAGGAAAATATGGTCGGCATACTTTACCCAAAAGATAGTACCGTACTTCCTCCAAATATTTTGAAAAATGCATTAAATCCCATTTTTTAAAAAGTAAAATTTTATATGAAGATTAAATATTTAATCTTCATATTTCTTTTCCAAAAATTTCTCAGTTTGATTATTTATATGAAGATTAATAAAATTAAAAAAGTATACATTTTCATACAGAGTATGTTGTCTTGATGCGATGGAATAAAAGGAGTAGTGTAGATAAAAAGTTAGGATTTAATGAAACATTCATTAAAAGTTTTTTGTCAAAATAAGAAACGAGAAAAAAAGTTGGATGGCTCAAAAAGCAAAATGAGAAAAAAAATTCATGGACGGAGGGAGTACTAGGTAGTATGTCTTTTTCAATGTTATACTTAAAATTTTTTATTTAAATATTGATGTAAAAAAGTACACATTTAAAAATGATGTCAAAAGTTCAATAAAACAAGATGCGACAAGAATATCTAACTAAGTTCTACAAAATGAGATATGACAAGAATAACGAATTATCAAATAATCAACGAAAAAATTAAGAGTACTAAAATTTATGTGAAGTTAAAATAGTAAAGTATGTAAATAAATCATTTGGTAATGGAGGTAGTATTTTATACTCACCTTATCAAAACATATTCCTTCCTTTCCAAAATTTTAGTTTGCGTCTTTGCGAGGTTATCACTTTGTTTTAGACATAGAAAAAATACGTTGGATAATGCTACATTTTTTAAAGGTGGGATAATGCTACATTGATCATGTGCATGATGAAAAATGCTAGCTAGTCACAAATAAATTTGTTATATGTATATTTTCAATTTTTATTTTTAATCAATTAAAATTAATTTGTTCTCTAAGTAAAGTGCACAAATAATTAATAAGATCGTGTATTTTATTATATTTGTGTTTATAACACTAGCATTTCTGGTGCATGATTAATATTGATTATAATGTTTATGGCCAAATGCAATAGTAGACCTCAGCTTCACACCATTTTCATTTTGGACCTTCATGAAGGTCATTTATTACTCCGTCCTATCTTCATAGGTATTTTCCTTTTGATCACAGATTTATATGACAATTTGTATTTGGATTTTTAATGTAGACTTACCTAAAAATTCTATGATAGGGAATCTAAAAATTTTGAGTTTAGATTTGAGACAAATTTTTATGATTCATACAAAAATATACCTCCTATTCTTATCTAAAATTCAAGAATTCAAATTTTAAAATTTAAATGAAACGCTAGTTCTCAAACACTACCTTATATAATTCTTAAATTTTACGCAAAAAAAAAACAAGACACAATAAATGGACAATTTTCCAAAAACAATCTATAAGCTCCAAATGCTCTAGTACTCGTTTTTTGTGTTTGCAGATTTTGAAGATATAAATAACACACTTCAAATTGGACTGAGAATCCATCATCATCATGTCAAGCCTCCGGCCTAATCCCGGCGATACCAAAGGGGGAATAGAAAGACTTTAACGGCCGGCGACGTCCAAATAATAAAACCTACAAAACTGACAAACTCTGCTCTGCAACAACATCAGCTGATGATCATCTTGTTCAGGAACGCCGCGGCCTGTTCCGGAAAGTACTCTAACAGCTCGTCCTTTGTCACCCAAAAGAAATCGTCGCACTTGTGAACATCAAACTTGTTCGCCGCGATCACTTGGGATTTAAAGAAGTAGCGCTGGAAATGCAACAACAAACTAATCCCACTAAAAAAGTACGTATGGAGAGGGTGAACGTACGCAGTTCTTATATTATTTTGAAGTAGGAATACGGTTTCAAAGAGACTCTCGGCTCAAGCACAATGTAGAGATTTAGGTTGCGTTCCGTTCAACTTTTTTTTAGCTTATTACTTATTCTTATAAAAATTAGATCAGATCAGATCACATCAAATCAGAAACAACTTTAAATATAACTGCAATCAGATCAGATCAGGCAAACGGAACGCAACCTTACAACTACATAGGGCTGCTATCTAAGGCCAATACAATTGGGAAACTACAAGAACACTTACTCGATATTTAGCAATAACCCTTCAGGAAAGGTGAAAAAAGATTGAATTTGATGGCCAATGCATTTGGGACAGTAAAATTTACTGACCTTTAGAGATGGTGATGGTTCATTGGCATTCTCGCCGAGGTGGGTGACCATATGTCCCATTGGAGCATTGCCGACGAAATAAGTGTGGGAGAGGTCTCCAATCACAGATTGTAAAGCACACTCTGCACACTGAAAATACATTCTAAGTTTTCGTAATGTATTGCGACAATTATAATACAAGTCCATGGAATTCCATGTCTAAAATTAAAGAGCACGAGAGATAATGATGCAGCAATAACTTATTACCCTGCGTAGAGTCTCTTCTGATTCGTATGCTTTTTCTGGGAAATGCCAAACGGGCTTCCCATTGCTAGAAAGTGTTGTCCCGAACAGGAGAAGATAGAGCCTTTTGTCAAGTGCTCTGTTTAATGACCTTAAGTATATGGGTGGTGTTCCAATATCAATGAAAAAGAATCACATAAGTGCCTACAGAAACTATATAATAACTAGAGTTTTTTTTCTACAATTTAACACCGATATGAAAAGTAATAAAAGCATTTAGTTACCCACTTCGTGTCATTACATTTATCGGCCTCAGTGGTCCGAGGAGCAGGAGTATAATCAATATGGTATTCGCCTTTCCCTCTGGGACGAAAGGAGATCACTGTTATTAATTACAAGTACGTATATTCTTCATGTAGTTAAAAGATGTAAATATGATTTGAAAGAAAATATTATGTTGTATATTTAAGGTGTTTATTTGGAGGGGGAAAGGAAAATGAATTTCTCCCTTCATTTGGTTCATAACATTTGGGAGAGCAAAAACTTTATCTCCCCTCCCCTCCAACCAACCAACCAACCAAGCCCTTAATGGATAAAGGCATACGAAAAACAATCTTGAGGCTTAATGGCAACACAGGGACAACAACAACCCAGTAAAATGCCACAAGTGGGGTGTGTTTGCAGACCTCACCCCTATCTATAAAAAGTAGGGGAAGTGTTTCTGAAAGAACCCCGGCTCGTGCAGCACACATTATATCTAAAAAGGAAAGAACAATGGGGAAAAAACACGAATGCAGTTTTAAGCATTAAGAAAGAAACGTCAATAACAGAACAAGAGGGGTTTTTTTTGTAATAAGAACAAGAGGATTTAGTTGCACTATAAATTGGAAAAAAAAAAATCATGTAGGCAATCATAAGGGTGAGTGCTTTGGAGGAATGAGAGCAGTATGGAGACCTAATTTGGTTAAGAAATTTTGCAAATGGAGCAAAGTTCTCCCTCTTCTTTTTTTTTTCTTTCCGTGCAAATTGGATTTTTTTTGAATGGCAAACAAAGATTTAGTAACTACTCCTTCCCTCATCCATACACTCTTGTCCAACAAAACCAAACAAGGTTACAAAAAGAAAAAAAAAAGCTCCTCCATATCATGTCTTACCTTTAACAAAATGTATCCTAAGAAACTATGCACATTAACTCAAAAATGTATCCTACATATACTCCACAAAGGTGATGAGGGACAAAGCATCATCGGTGTGAGTTTTGTATATACCTGGAATCAGCCTTCTTCAATAATTTCTCTGGATATTCCCGTCTATATTGTTGCTTCCATCGGAACCTAGAAACTCATTTTAGACAAGAATCACGCCTAATAAAAATATTGCAACACCACTTATCCACAAAGCAACACCAATAAAGCAAATCTTCCTTGATCTCAATTTCAAATGATGAGTAAAAGATCAAAATACATAACATGCCGAGCATTCAAATTTTATATAGATTAAGAGCTCATTTTCGACTAAATTATTATAAATAGAAAATTCAAGTTGTCAAGTATTGAAACCAATCATCCTCACAAAATGAAATAGGAATGGAAATGAAGATTTAGAAATCTCACGAAAATTCTTGAAAGGCATAAACAACGGGATCGATCTTTGGAACCACAACTGGAAGCCTCTCAAAAAGGACAGACGCTACAACTTTATCACCGCTTGAAGATGTGCTGAATGCTCGTTTGGCCAGCAAAGATAGACCAAAATACCTCTGCATTGTGGCAACCTATGAGATGCCAAAACAATGGATATGAAAGCCTGATGCCATAAAAACTGCAAAACAACACTAGAATCGAATTGTTTACAATTTACATGTGTGATGCCTTGACATGGACTAAATTTTTGAACATACAGAGTATATACATTAATGCAGTCTGATATATAAGTTTTTGCACACAATATGACTAGAAAAACGGTAGCAAAATTACAAAAAATATCGTCACATACATTCCATTTTCTTTTAATTTTAACTTTAGTCTTTTGTAATCCCCAATAAAATGTATCCTAATTAGTTGGATTCGTGCAGAAAATTATGCACTGCAAAACTCAAAACATTGCAATAATGATGGCTATTTTGAGTTTACGCATCAAAAACAAACTCCCTGCAATGAAATGTGACGTGTGCAGAGAATTATGCATTCCAAAACTCAAGACATTGCAATAGTGATGCTTAATTCTTGCCCAACATCTATTCCTTAAATTTCCATTTTGCTCAGTTATAATACAAAGATCAGACAAAAAAACGGCAGATTTCACAATGTAATACTCGTAGAGAACATAAAAGATTAAAATGCTGTAAAATTTAAAGTACTCCGTAATAGATACTCCTAGCATTAAAAAACAAGAAGGAAAGTGAACAACAAAATATATAAACCCTATATAAACAAAATTATATTCATAGAAAAAATTGAAAAACATATCTATATACTCATGTAAAATGTAAAAATAAACTCTAAATGGTGGCAACAAAAAAATCTTCGCAAGCCCAAATGAAAGATCTGTGGAATGGGGTTTCAGATTTGGAGTGTCAACAATATATATTCATATATCAATTCAATAATGATTGAAACATATTAAAAAAATTGTGTTTCATAAATGGATTGTTGAAGGAGCAAAGACAAGAAGATGGAGCTTAGAAAATCGAAATACCTGAGGAGGTGTTCTGTAGAATTGGAGTCCAGAACCAGAGGGGAAATCTGGCGGAAAGGGATTATTGTAGTGGATTTGGGCTTGCGTCTAAATCTAGAATATGAAGATGGGCTCTAAATATGTTGACCGACCCATACAAATTGTAGTCCTTTGGGCCCATTTTTTTGGGTAATTTTAATTTAGGTGGTTCGTATTCCCACTGTCACGAAAAAAGCAGGTTTTGATTTTCACGATCTGGAAAAAGTGTATAAAATGTATAATTAGAATTTGTTTCAATTAAATAGAAAAATCAAGTTGAATCGCATGTTTATAATTTTAAAATGAAATAATGTACGGAAATGAGAAATGTTTTTGAAATGAATAAAAAGAGAAAGTGAGAAAGTAATTTTTAGTTCGAGGGTCTATATTTACACATGCACATTTAACTAAAAATATACGCTGTAAAAATTACTTGGCAGGTTAAAAGTAATGCTTTGTGCACTCTTTTCTTTTTTAACTATTCATTTTAATGGTTCGTTTTGATTTTTCATTTTAACTGTCAATTTTAATTTTTGAGTTTATAATTTCTACCTATACACTTAATATATATTTTCGGTCATTCGATATGAAAAATATAGCATACAATTTAAAAAGAATGAAGTGATGAAATACTTATATATAAAAAGACTATCTAAACAAAAAACTAACATTTGTGATTGGGGATACTCCAATATATTTATACACTAACACTCCACACGTGCCAACAAAATCTCATAATATTTGAGTCAACAAAGACTTGATATTATCAAGAAATCAAATCATCCAAACTTGGACTTTTGGTTGAATTTATTTCTAACGAATTAGCATGCTACAAATATACTACACTTACACCACACTTCAAATTTTGAACTACATTGTCAAACCTTGTCTATTTCACAAATTATCTAAACAAACAGACATAAAAGGGGTATCTAGTTCCAAAGTTTGAATGCAAGGTATAAGTTGGGTGTGTAAGGGTATGTTTATTTTTTTGAAAAAAATTAGCTTCCAATCTTTTCTCATTTTTTCGACTTTTTCCAACTCTTTTTAGTTTCTTTCGACAATAACTAAAAAAAGTATTTACTTATGATGAATGCACAATAACATCATATACTCAATTTTTTAGCATAACTCAAACACGGACAAATTTTCTTACATACTGTATTTGTTTGAGTGGTTGTTTCATCGAGTGATTTTTTTACACTATTTTTTCAAATATTTATCAACTTCTTCTAATTTCTTATAACATCCAAGTGTTATTACAACTCAAAGTCTCAAACGAACAAAACCTAGTTATCATTCTCCAAAACAAATAGAATTATGCCGTGCATTAAGAGGAATTGAGGTGTGAATAATTGCAGACCACACATCTACATACAAAACTGACCAGTTACCAAGAATTCAACTGCCTTTGCACTTCCCAGCCCAGACAAAGACTGGTTTAGGAACACACCCACATTAATTCAACAGAACATTATGAAAGCAACCTAAAATTGACTAGGTTTTCCAAACATGGGAAGACAAGAGTGTGCCCACAAACAACATGCAATGCACAAATTAAGCTAATTTTACAACATTTTTACTGGGTTCTCTCTTCACAACACTTGATTTGTTTTTTTTTTTGTTTTTGAATAGACATACAGAAGAAGAAGACTGTACAAATGGTAAGCTTCTTGGCTTTATAAATGACAATAATACTAATAATAATGTGACCTCAGCTGGGCTTGCACCAATAAGAAAACCCAACATGCAAGAGATTTTTGATAAGTCGCATTTACTCAATTCAAGAGATGACACAAGCATTGGGATTCTCTTCAATGCTGTGGTGGTGGCCATAATAGTATGTGTTCATGGGGGGGTAGTAATACTGCCTGTAAGGCATTACCACCACCGGCTGCTGGGCCCCGGCGGGAGGCGGCGGCGGTCCCTGAGGCGGCGCCTCTGCCTTCTTCTCTGCCGCCTCCTCCTTCTTCGGCTCTTCCTTTGCTGGCGGCTGCGCTGGCGGCTCTTCCTTCTTCGCCTCCTCTTTGGGCGCTTCCCCTTTCTTCTCCTCCTCTTTCTTGGGCTCCTCCTTCTTCGGCTCCTCTTTCTTCTCGGGCTCTTTCGCGGGCCCCACAGAGACGATCTCTGTCCTCCACACTTTGCGGAGTTTGCTCACCACTGTCACCGGATCAACTTTGCCAATCACTGTCAGCTGCTTGCTGCCCATGTCTATAGAGATTTCGTCAATTCCTGCAGCAGTTTAGTGTCCACAAACGCTATTAACATAATTCTACTAACAGCTTTAGGGTTTTGAATGGACTACCTATGGTGTCTAACGGTAGCATTAAGGGACAGCACTTTCTAAGTTAATCTGCACGCGCCATTAGAATAATCTAAAACGCTTACACTAATCGAAAACTATGTTCCCAAACACGGCCTTCAACTACTAAGCTCGGAGTATTTTGCACCATTTCCCCTTTTACACAAGTCTTTGTCCACAAAAACTAAAATATGGAGGTCTTTCTTGTGCCAAACAAACATTTTTTGCACCATTAGTGTTGTTGAAAGTGGTGTTGAAAAGTGGAGTGTATCTGTATGACTGTATCAGTCTTAAAGCATAGACATAAGATTAGGAGGTCCAAACTTTTTGTATGGTGGGTGATGCATGTGTGAATTCCTAATGTAGAAAGCCATATGCCTAAAAGGCTATAAAAGTTTTACAATTCAACTTTGTTCACACCCCTTTTGATGCCAATGAATGATTTCACATACAAAAATTGTCTGTGAATTTCTTTTTTGGTGTCAAAGTTTCACGGTGTTGAAAGTTGCCATGCCATAAGCCTTTATACTAGTTACTATATGTTTGCAATCAAGCAAGGTTGCATTCTAAGGGAAACCAGAAGTCCTTTTTTTTTTTGTGAAAGAAAATGACAAATATGCCCACAGTCTCTTCATTCAAAGCAAGTTGCATTGCAATATGAGAAGTCATATCTCTCTATGTGTAGTTCAGCAAAAAGGATATGTGTCCTACAATAAGTGGGACCCATCTGAGGTGGCACCTTGTCACACAGACAACTTTGCCTATTCTTTTCCCAATTCTATTGATGTTTGCAGCGATCAGCCCACCATTGATATGTGAAAGGGCAAAACAATAAAGGAACTGTGCCAGCTGCCATGAAAATGAGGTCTTTTTTTCTTGCTTGTAAAATCTAATCCCTTTCTCCCCTCATTTGAGAGGGTCCTACGGTGCTTCATTGACAACTAAAATGGGTGTCCAAAGAAGTTTTTACATAACTTGTTACTCAATATGTTGAAGTAAAATCAAAGCAATAGATGAACACACTCACACACACACTCAACACTTCACTCACCAAACTCGGGAAAAATTAAACGTAAAACAAAAAATAAAATAAAGTACAGACTATGATATGATACCAGAATGAAATGAAGAAATTTTAAAAAAAGAAAATGGAGATTACAGTATGATATTGTACCTGGAACAGCAGAGACCTTCTTCAATGCCCTGCGTTTGTCGCTGTCGTCTGAAAGCTCCAATTTCAGCACTAATTTCTGCAACAAATTCAATGTTTAATCACAAAACTTGATGGGCATGTCATAAAAGCTCATTAATTTCACCCCAAAAAAAAAACATGAAAAGGAACAAGAAATTGACATCTAAATTAACCCAAAAAAGAAGAAGAAAGATCACAAGAAAAATAAATGGGGCTTTCCATCTTCTGCTCATGATTTGTCATGACATGAATCCTGGCCAGAGAATTTCAAGTTCTCTTTTTTTTTCTCATCAATTCATGTAATCTTACAAGACAACAAACACAAATAATCTCTTTGGTTCAAACTCGAAAAACCTCTAGTCAAACAAGATTCTAATACCTATAAATTCAACCAAAAAATCCGAAGGATGTTTTTATACTCCTAACTAATAGAGCCAAGCTATAAGCGATCTATCCTAAAGAATCTTAAATAAAAATGAAGCAAAAAAATTAAAAAAAAATTGTTTAGAAATGGAAAAAAGGGGGGGATGGAGAGTGGAGAACGATGATTACCTTCATGAGTAAGTTTCTGCTGCCCAGAAAAGGAAAAAACACAGAGTAGAGAGAGATAGAGAGAGAGAAGATTTGAGGGTGGAGATGGAAAGATGAAAAACCAAACAAAAAACACACAGCTGGTTTCAAAGGTTGCTGCAGGCTGCTTTTGAATTGAATGAATCAAATAAAAGAAATTTAAAAAAAAAGTTTTTTTTTTTTTGAAAGATGAAAAGAAAAGGTGAAGTACTGCGAGAATATGAATCAACAAACACAATAAAAGCGGTACGAAGTACTTCGTGGTACAGTTATTTCTTTGGAGACCACGCGCGGCGCTTGAGCGTGAGGCCCGACTCTTGGAGAGAGGTAAAAAAAAAAGTTGAATGCTAGGCCCACGGGCGTTCCGCAACTTGGCCCGGGGTTTATGAGTAAATAAATCATGATATAATCCATGAGGCCCAACTCATGTACAAATTATAAATCTCTTGGCAACATTGTTAGAGGTTATAAATGGCTTTTTAAAAAGGCTATATATCTAATGACAATGCCTGATGTTAATATTTTCAAAGATAATTTACATTATTAAAATTTTATATGAAATGCTGACATTAATCAAAAATGTTATTTTTAAACAAGGTCCATTATAAGTGGCAATATGTGTTAATGTTTTTTCTTACAAAAAGAATGCTCCGTGAAATGTAAAGTTGAGTAGAAGTTTAATTTATTTGTGCTTAGAGCATCTCTAACCATGTTAAAATGACTTGCTATATGCTATAATTTAACAAACTAAGTAAAATTTCATACTCCAAGGGGCTTGCTAATGTTTGACAAGCTTGCTTAAAAATGAAAATGGCTTGCTACTAATGACAAACTTGATAAAATATAGCAAGCCAAAAAGAAGAAGAAAAATGTTGGTTGGGTTAGTTTTTTCATGTGCCATGACGCATTTGTTCCCTCACTTTCAATACCACAACGCAAGAAAAATTAATAAATATTATTTTATGTTTTTTACAAAAAAACAATTTTATTTTTTACTAAAAAGAATTATAAAATTTATTTTATTTTAAGTTTAAATTGCATACTTGTAGAATATTAATTAATTTTTATAATAAAATTTTAAAATTATAATAAATAGTGTACTCTAATAGTGAAATCAATACATTTTTGCTAAATTATAGCAAGCAAAGATTGGAGATGATCGTGTAAAATGACTTGCTATACTACTATTCATATGTTAATAAATAACTTTAGCAAGCCATGTTTAGCAAGTGTGGTTGGAGATGCTCTTATAATCTAACGAAATGTTATTTCTAACTTACAAATCACCTGATGATATGTTTCTCTGTGTTTATAAGTTGACTTATAAGCTAAAATATTTAGTAAGTCTTACGTACTTTTTTTAAGCTAATTTTTTTGTTTCTCCATTTTAACCTGATTATTTATAAAATTATCTCTCACATTTTATGAATATTTTGGAATGACTTGTCCTTCATTTAAGTCATTTTTACTTCCACAACAAATTATTTAACCTATAAACAACCCTCCTCATTATTTACCGGTGAATCTATGATTTATATTCAATTTGTCTCCTTTAAGGTGATCGTCTGACCATTTTAAAAGAGTTATGGAGAGGAGGGATTTTTTTTGTTTGAAAAGCAAAATTAAAAAAAAATTAAGATCGTCTCAATCAATTGAATGACGTCTAAAAACTCCACAGATTATTTTTTGTGATCTCTTACGTGATGAATTTTAGGCGGTTGAAATAGTGGGAAAGGGAGGCCCATGAATCATTGTCATTTTGTCCCTCTTAATGGACTAATTAAGAGCGCTAATCAATACTCCGTAGAATTTTTTTTTTGAAACCAAATAAACAATCATTCCATCAAAGTTCAAACAAAACTAGAGCATGATTAACTAATTAGAGCAGGATTAAGTGATCAACCATTCACTTATTGCTAATTTAACAGTAAAAAAATTTTAACTCAAAATAATACGGAGTAGCTATTTTCCTCTACACTTGCGTCATTTCTTTGCAGTGTACATTACTCTTTCTATCTTTCTATCACAAATTAATAATTTTTATTTTCTTTTAGAACGTCTCAAAAAAGTAGTTTTTGACTTTTTTTTTCTTTACTTTAGGAAAAAAATTGTGAGAGATAATATGAATACAAAAATTTCATATTTGTGAATGTTTTAGGGTATAATTCTATCCTTTAGGAAAAAAAAATTTAATTCATTATTTTTGTCATTTCATATTGCCTTTTAAAAAAATAGGGAGTGCTGGCCTCCGGGCTCCGACCAATTGTACCCTCATCTATCCAAACTTCTAGATCCACCGTATAATGCTAAATTTCATTACATAATTTTAAAGAAAAATAAAATTGTATGATTGAAAATGATGAATATGGATAAATTGGGTAGGGGGGGTGATTATCAGTCTGATAAACATTAGTGTTTTGCATCAAAATACTTTTAATATTTTTTTGTATTTCTGAGGTTAGAATTATCAATTTAACATTATTAGAGTGGACATAGTCAAAATAGGGCGGATATAACAACTCATTTATTTAAAATAAACAATTAAATTAAAAATAAATTCAATCCAATTTTTTTATTTAATTTGTAATGGCACAATTAATTGGGAAGGAATGTAAAAAGTATTTGGAGAGGTGTTAGATTTTGGGATGGGTTGCTGTCGATGCGATGCGTACATGGCCGACCAAAACCATGCAACACATCCAAGTCTACATGGCCCAAACGTGACCTCCTACAAAGTTTTATTTATTTTTTTCTCTCCAATTCTTCCATTGTAAGATTTCAAATAAAAAGTTCTTCCATTCTAAGCAAACCTTGATTTATACGTGCCCAAAAAAAGCTCGATTTATATATACTCCGTATTAAGTTCATGCAAAGAATTTGTACGTTTTCAAGCAAATCCCAAAACAATTTGAATTTTCCAATCTCACATGGAGTATTTTTATTGCACACTGCGTACCTCTAAGAAAAAAAAGAAAATAAAAACTAGTTTTCCTAACAAATTTTTCTTCCGTATTCAAATAAGGATCATATACAAGTATGCAACAACAACAACTTTAGTTACATTACTCCAGTGCCTCAACGGCTCCTGCCCTTTGCGGGGTAAGGGAGTCCGATATACGCAGTCTGACCCCTATGTGTAAAACATAGAGCGACTGTTTCCAAATGACCATGATGAGCGTCGAAAGTTGCATTGACTAATTACTACTTCACAAATGCAAGATGTATAGAGTGTAAAGAGTCAATTTGCTTTATTCCATCGTACCTCTAAGGGTCAAAGCCAAAAAAATGTGAATCTTTGACTTCACATGAGAATAGAATATCAAATAAGGTTCATACATTTAATTAAAATATATCTTTATCACACTTTAATTAATGATTTAATAAAATAAAATAAATTAAAATTTATTTCAATCAAATACTATTAACTTGTAAATGGAAACCATGCATATTTTAGGAGAAAGAAGTACTCCGTAAAAAGGTAATCCAAGTTGCCACCAACACTATTTCGAGTCAAATGTTAATTAACTTAATTTCATTCAATTTGGTCGGTTAATAAAATATTTCAAGTTTCCACAAGAGCAATCAATCCATAAAAGGCAATTGCTCTTTTGTCCGGCCCCTACATCGGTCAATTCTCCATAGCACATTATCCTTTGCGACTTGCGAGGGTTAAGTCCTCTAATTACATGGAAAACCAAATCCCACTTTGATATATGGTTTAATTTTGCCACCCACGAATCAACTATATATGCACTAGACTTTCTACTACGTTGAAGACAACAAAATTATTTTTTTTGTTAAACTGTGGCATCCTTTGATGATAACAAATTATGCAAAAAAATATATATTTAATTATAATGTAAATTTAGTAAAATTAGATTTATTTCAAAATATAGTTTTGAAGTATCAATTTTTTATAGTATTTAATTATTTTAAATTATATTTAATTCATAGTTAAATGATACTATAATGTGACCAAAAAAATCAAATTGTATTAAACTTTTAAAGATTATTAGTCATTAGTTCGTTGTCCCAATATTGAAAACCTTCAAGATACATTTTGAAACCAAAATATTAGCCCATAAGTTAAAGACCAGCAAATTTACCCATATTTCTCCGTCTCTAGACCCCAATAGTTGGTCTTTTTTTCAGGGCCCATAATTAATTAATGCGTCACATAAGCCCCCCTAAGACCAAAGCCCGGTATCTGTTTGTTAGTATTATATTTGTTCTAATTTAAATCATCTGTTTGATTAAAATTATTTTCAATGTAATTTATTAGAGAATTGGAACAGAATTAAAAAAACTTAACATATTAAAAACTACATCAAAAGTTCTACGAAACACATGTGGCATTACTATGTTATTTATCAACTTAGTAACAAAAATAAAAAAAGAAAGTGAATGGAATTTGACCATGTAAATAGTAAATAAGAAACTTAATTTGGGATGAAAGAAGTAATAAGTGGTGTTGGACTTGGAACATTTAAAATTGTGCTTGTTTTATAGACTTATTATTTTTACATTACAATACGTGTATAGTGATAACTGATATACCCACTCCTTCTGAAAATTTGTTTTTTAGAATCCTTTTCGTTCAATTTGGAAAAATTCTTCTTATTTCCTTTTTTATCTTATTTTTTAAGATTAGATGTCAATAACACATTTCTACTTTAACACCACTCATCCAAATTAATTCACCCCCTATAGTTTCTTATACTTATTGAATAAAGACCAAAATTAGTTTATACTTGAGCTTATGGAAATCACCATTAATAAGAATAAAACCTTGGGGAAAAAAATACTAAAATAGATATTTCATGTTTTTATTTTCTAAATAAGAGTTTGAACTGTGATAATATAACATTGTACATGTATATTTTACAACGGAGTATATTTTTTTGGAAATATACATGGTCATGATTGATAATGTAAATATATTTTAATTCCTATTTCGAGAATAAAAATATAAAAATCTTATTTTGATGTATTTTCAATATTTTATTCATACTTTACTCCTTTTTCTAAACCTACACATTATTAATTTTTTTTTTTTTTTGCAAAATCATTAGTGAGTTTTCATTAGTCTCCTAAGAGAAAGACTCACTGATGAATTGTTTTGGGTTAGGGACGTAAGAGGAAATATGACATTTTGCGGGGACATTTGTGTGAAAGAAAGAAAATGCTTCCGCTCTGCACCAGTGATAACACTCCAAAGGATGCTGCTACC